CACCTGTGTGAGAATGGTAGCTAGCAGTACGTCAATGAATGTGGCAGCTGTGGGTGCGTGTGGACAAAACTGGTGAGTGCGTATTATTTAAAAAGTGTGATTGCTACAACATTTTCTTTTTGCTTGCATAGCACAGGGTCACGTGTACGAATATATACAGCTCCCAACACCTGCAACTGCCTAAAGAAACGTGTGCAACAAATAATACTAAACCAGGAATCGTCAAACAACTTACGACAATCCGGACTGGACACCAAATGCTTGTAGATGGCAGACTTGCTCTTGTCGATATCGAACTCCTCCTCGTCAGTATCACGCTCATCCTCCACTTCCTGATCCTGCTCACCCTTGCTGTCCACCTGACCATCCTCCTGACTGTCCTTCTTTTCATATTATTCTAGCTATATAACTGGTTGTTTTAGTGATTCTTACTTGTGACGATGCTCCACTGATGATAGTCACGAGAAAACGTTCTGGAATTGTTTCATTTTAATTGTTTTATAAAACAAACAATAGGAGAACAGAGGAAGTGTTTTTACTCAGAGTTTCACGCACTAAGCGATCATCAGAAAACAACTGTTTTCTGATGATCGCTTAGTGCGTGAAACTCTGAGTAAAAACACTTCCTCTGTTCTCCTATTGTTTGAACCAGCTCTACCACTCGGTATTGAGCACTCTCTTGGACAGCCTGGAACCTCTCTGTTTTAATTGTTTTATACATTGTTATGAGTGCACAATTGATATTTTTTCATTGCTATTTTACGACTGTTGTCTCCTCGTCGGTTATTTAAAGTTCTAAAAAGAAATACTAAACAGCAATAGCTGTCTCAGAAACCGCCAGCGTGGCGGGAGGCTCTTGTTGATCAATTCTTTGTTGATATTTGCCAAATAATGTTCTAGACCCTCTAAGGCACACTATACAGGACCTTAGGAGGGCAAAAGAAATGCGGCACCTGACAAATGCCATGACAAGTGCATACGGTTCACTACGCTTGTCAGCCAGCAGCGATGCAATTCTCTTATACAGGCTGGTTGCCGAACGCCCAAAACCACCGGGCGCCGTCATGACCACCAGGGCAAACGACGCATGTTCGACATTCCGGACCTGCTCCTCGAACTTCCTGCGTTTTTCCTGTTCATGTAGGTGATAGACCGTGGCCAGTGGTGCAGTGCGGTTTGAGGCAGCATGAGGGTTAAGGTGACTGCCGTGCGATAGCGAAGCCGCTCTCCAGTGCTTACGTACTATTATTCTGTATAGGTGCTAGTACATGTTCATTTCTTCTGGAAAACTCTGGAAACTACGGAAATTCAGCAGCCCGAGTACGCGAATCAGACCGAGCAGGTTGCTGATGTCATCGTATTTTTCCCATTTGAGGTTGCCGGCTCACCTTGTATCGTGGATCGTTTTTGGCTGTCGCAAGGTCAACCTTGTAATCTGTGCCTGAGACTTAATTGGGTCAACCTAATCTGCCGAATTGCACCCCACTCTGCAAGGACGTAACACCAGTCTGCAGTTGACGGCAGCTCTGAGCGGTAGCCAATTTCATATGGCATTCAATTGACCGTAACTTTGGTGTCTCTCAATGGATTTGAGTGAAATTTTCACCACACACTCCCAGTGCCACTATGCTGGCCCTCTGGACATACTTTAAAAGTTCTTGCGCCTCACTGACAGGCTTTCCAGGCCGGAAAAACTCAAAATTCCGGCATAGTGCCACGGTGTGCGAGTCACCCAGGAGCCAAATATAATTATGCATTTACAATTTTTTTCACATTTTCTTGCCCATTCTGTCCGTGCGCGAGATCCAAACATAAAATAAGTCCACAAGCAGCCATGGATGGTGGGATAGGGCCCCTCAACGAGGCCCTGGAATCTGTCACAAGGGCACGAGTGGGCGTTCTCTCACAGACTCCCACAGACCCAAGTCAATTTTAGAATTTTTTTAGGTTTACGGCGTGTTTACGAGGTCGTACCTTTGATACAACATCCAGTGCTGGGACGTCCACAGCAAGCCATTTCCACAGCGCTGCAAACCGAATCCAGGATACCCTCCAAAATCGGCAGAGACTACCACTCACGTTCCACTACTGCCTAGTACTGAATCCTACCTGACTTCTTGACACGACTCAAACTTGCCAAAGTCACTAAACCAACGTCAACTATCAAGCCACATATCTGCAACGTCACGAGGGTGCTGGCAAAAGTCCTGCTGCACGGCCAATACGTGGCTAAAAAACGTGATTTTTTGGACTTGGAGCAAAATTCTGCCCACTTTCGCGTGTTTCCATGATACGACAAGTTGCGCACGGTCTGCTCACATTCAAATACAGTGCCGCCAACAAAATGACAGCGTGCAACAAAAAATCTTTCCCTGCTAGGGCACATTTTCGGCCATAACTCTTGAACGGCTGGTCAGATCGAGACAAGATTTTCAGAGATTTTGCAGCTATTCATTCTCTTTCAACTGATGTAGCACTCAATATGAATTTACAAATTCGATTTTTCAGGGATTTTACGACCAGGCTGCCCCCTTAAAGAGGGTTGTGCAGTGGGCATATGTAGCCGGAAATCTGCCAGCTGGCATAGGGGTAAGCTCGTGAAGTGGCGCCAGTCCAGAAACAACTGCTTGTAAATGATGGTCGCAGAGATAGTAGGTTAGCCATCCATGCAAGGGCTCGTCAAAGACCTAACGTTCACCAGTGAGCTTATTCAGGACTCAGGAGGCCGGAGAGTGAAACCGTGTCAAAAGCTCAAGTGATTTCTGCCGCCACCACCCGGACTACTCCACCTGAGTTGATAGCGTGCAGCCATCGGTCATCAGTTCAGGAGAGTCAGCAGGTCTGCTGCCCCGAGTCCATGGTGGAAGCCAAACTGTCGTGGGGAGAGCAGTTGGTGCTTCTCCAGATGGCGCATCACGCTGTTGTTGACAATATTCTCCATGACTTTGGATATATTGCCGATCTACAGTTCTTTACTTTGGCGCTTGATGGCTTCATGTGGACCTGCACCACATTTGCTGCACAAGCTTCAGCGCACGTCTTCATAACTCAAGCAGGTATGCCATCTGGGCCTGTAGCTTTTGTAGCGTCAAGCTGTCTCATTTGACGGTCTACTTTGCAAAGCTGCTTTCAAGGCATTATTGCCCAGACTACAATGTCTCAGTCAATCTGGGCAGTAGTGATTTGAATGTCAAAATTTCATTTTGCTGGAGAAGAACGCTCCAAAGCGAGCAGCGTTTCCTCCACTGGTAGAGTGCTCAGAACCTTGACTACCCCGAGTAACTAGTAAGTTGGTATGGGAGCCAGTACTCTGGCAGTAGATCTACTACCCGCGTGCTTCATAGCAAACCACCATGGCTTGTTCTAGACTAGAGGGAGCCGTGGCGGAGACGATGTCTAGCTGCAGCTATACCACTGTGCTTGCGAAGATAAGCAGCTGTTGCTTTGTGTAGATATGGCTTTGAAGATATTGTTGTTTTGTACGGTCGGGTATCTTTTGTAGCGTTTCTAGGCTTCCTGTTTATGAATATCGGCAACTGCCGCAGTACATTCTCGTGTCCACCAAGTGGGTTTCAACGGTTTAGATAATTACATGAATACAGCTGTACCCAATTTCGTCGGAATGATTGAAGCGTTCCATGTCGGTAAGATGTGGTGCGTATGCGGCGCGTGACACGAGGCATTGGGGTCCTCAGTGAAGATGATCGTCCAAATACACCGTTTGGAAGTGGGGTTAATGTTGATAGGGTGATGCCAACCGTGGCTGCGATTGTGGCATGGTTGGAAGACCCAAGCCTGCGATCGCAGACAGTCTTCGACACATTGACCATAACCAGGTCAGTTATGAAGAGACCAAAGATGTTGTCTCCACCAGTCGGCCGCTGTGTAACATGTTGAGCAAGACCATGGATGGCACAAAGCTCTTCAATTGCGGAGCCATTCATTCAGAGCCATGGACGTTGAAGTCACCAGCAGTTATAATGTTGGAAGCAGATGCGGCGAACTAAAATTGATAAAGGGTATTGTTAAGATTGTTTAAGAGAGAGACATCACCACCAAAACAGGAACCTTGCCGATACAATGCACAGAGGGTCAATCTGCTACATGTTCGTATCCAAAGGCTGAGCCAGATGATTTCATGCTGCTGGCAACTGATGTCTATTTCTTCACACACCAGGTCCTGATGAATACAGACATCGACACCACCATCTTGTGCAGTTCCAGCGGGTCTTATTGGCGTGTGGTAGCCAGGTATGGTTGAATCACCAAGGTGAACTTCGACAGTGTGAGTTTGATCTCAGTAACAATTGCAATATCACTTGCTAGGATTAGATGACATTCATCAAGCTTTGCACACAGCCCACATGCGTTGAGTGTGAGAGAAAGCGAGAGGGAGCGAGAGAGAGAGAGAGAGAGAGAGAGAGAGAGAGAGAGAGAGAGAGAGAGAGAGAGAGAGAGAGAGAGAGAGAGAGAGAGGGGGGGGAGAGAGAGAGAGAGAGAGAGAGAGAGAGAGAGAGAGAGAGAGAGAGAGAGAGAGAGAGAGAGAGAGAGAGAGAGAGAGAGAGAATCACAAAGGGAAACAAACAGAGACACACAGGACAGACACAGAAACATACCCAGGGAGACAGAGAAGGACAAAGGCAAAGAAAAACAAACATACAGAGAGACTCATAAAGAGGTACAGATAAACACATGCAGAGAGACAAGAAGAGAGACCCACACATAAAGTGACCCAAACCGAGAGAGAGAGAGAGAGAGAGAGAGAGAGAGAGAGAGAGAGAGAGAGAGAGAGAGAGAGCGAGAGAGAGAGAGCTTACGATTAGTTCGTATGACCGTGTACTTATCGGAGTCATTACTACTCGGCCTGACCGGCTGGTTATAGCTGTTTCGAGTCGCCAGTTGTGGCCAGTCTTGTAAGTTCCACGTAACCATGGCGACGTCATGTTCACCGTGCAAACGTTTGAGTACGACTCCCTGGTCTAAACTAAACCAACGGCGTACACGTTTCCAAATTCTGATTTTCGTTCAGAAATTAGCGACAAATAGTAGCGGATCAAAGCAATAGCCGACAAGCAGAGGACAAAAAAAAGCACAGAGGAGATGATAGGAGCAGATTGACGCCAATGCCAAAACAATGGCATCTTTTGTACTATGGCTACGCTGTTAGTTGTAGGACATTTAAGCCATGAGAAGTATTAAACAGGGAATACAGTCAGCCACCATCGATCTCTTAGGTATATTACAAATTGAGATGGCCAATGTTGAGCATGATCAGATTAGGTTCTTCCTACAAAAGCAATAAGTAGAAACTGTGGCAGGTAGTTGGTTAGGACCTGATGAGTACGAGACACAAACAATGGCACCGGGATAGTCCTCGGTGCGAAGCAGAGCGAGCTCAGTGGAGCCAGATTTTCTCGATGACGGGATGCGGACATGTGTGTTCGTGTGCGAATATGTGCATATGAGACAGCAGGAGTGTTCATAGATGCTTTCACGGATGATCCTGATACCGATGGATACGCTCTAGGAGTTCATGAAAGACCTGACTGGATGTATGCGGGTGCATGGGTGAAGACGTGAGAGTTTGCAGTTCGGGTGGATGAGTGGACAGTACTGTTTGTGCGTGCATAGTTATTTGAGAGAGTGCCGGTGTATTGTATGCGTGAGCATGTGAGGGAGAGCGAGTGTGCCCGGGAACAAGTTAAATCAGGTCAAGATAACTGTGTGATGCCAGGCTAGCCGGGGAGCTGCCCAAAGCTGCAATGCGGATTGCGGCTGTGTGGGTGGCTCCAGCGACTGCAAACAACAGGTGTTCCGTGTTCACTTCTCGGTTGAAGCTACTAAAGGTTCTAGAGCGGTTTGAGGTGGTTGCGCAGTGAGTCAGCTGTTTCAACTCAATGGAAGCAATAGCGGTCACAAAGAGCTGTTGCCGTGTTGTCATCGGGACAGACTGTGTCGAGTCCAAAGTCCAGCACCGGGAACATGCTGGCGTCTCCGGCAAGATCGAACGAGAGTGTGTTCTACAACAAGGACAGCACAGACAGACGGGAAAGCAATCAAAAAGATGTTCACATCCCATATCACGGCAACCATAACGTCACGTGCGGGGACTTCTGTGGCCCCAGTGCATGTGGCTTCCAAAAAATTTCAGCATTTCAAATGTCACAAAAGATGAAAATCACTGCAAAACATTTAATGCTTATCAGAAACCTGTGAGAATGGACACAATAGGAGGAAACCGTGATGCTCTAGTGTGATTCGAACGAAAACACAAGCTACTCATCTCCGGCTTTCATACTACAATAACTGACCTCCGATGTGCTGAAGTCAACAGCTCCAGCCTCCAGGGTGGACTCATCAGCCATCTTCAGCTTCAGCTGTGTGCCAATTGGTGGTCTGCTCGAGCACTTAATGTTGCATCTGGCGTTTCCAAGACAACCACACTGCGTGTATGGCATGGTGGTAGTCGCATTCTGCAGTTGTTCAAAACGAGACAGAAGATGCAGGAAACTTCAGAACCTTTGGAGCCTCAAAAGGAAAAAAATAGACTGCAAAGTGTGTAGTGCTGGAGTTACCACTTTGAGAATATCAGGCAGTTTAACATCCATGAGGAGAGGAGATAATTCGGTGCAGAAATGAAGTGCACTTCTGGTTCTAGTTCATGATATTCCTTGCCAAAAAACTCCGTGAAGTCCAAATTTGAAATTGCAAAAAAACACCAAGCGGAAAATTTCTTGTCACAAATGTTACCCACCTCATGAGAATAGAAGATGCAAGTTTCGTCAATATCCTTGTTGCACTCTGTCAGTATGGCATCTGATTTGCTTGACAGAGCAGGATTAGTGTAATAGTACCCTGTACGAACACATGAGAGATTCAGGTTGCAATAGAGATTGAGAGAGAACGTGAGTGTGTGTTTCTGTCACTATGTGCATGTGTGTGTGTGTGTGTGTGTGTGTGTCACTGTGTGCATGTGCACGTGTGTGTGTGTGTGTGTGTGTGTGTGTGTGTGTGCGTGCGCATGCGTGCATGCAGTTACAAACGTGCACAATAAAATTGGTAAAAATCCTGCCTCCCATCATTCAGTTACAACATAAGCACCTGGTTTGGGCTCCTTTGCCATCAGCTTCATCAAGCTATCTACTCGTAAGCACATCTATCATGTAAGCAGTGCAAATCGACACTGGACAATGAACGTGTATGTCGTCAATGCAGCCGCTGGCAGTATTCTCCAGTGAGAAAGGCAGGTTAGCAGAACACTCTGAAGTGGAGAAATGCAGAAGAAAGGCTGGGGGCCGGCGAAGCGTTCTCGTGCAAAAAGCCACCGATCACACCGAGTTTGTCCTCACCTGAGCTATAGTGAGGATAGTCCTGGAACAGGTCGTAGCAGCATCGAACTGGGCAGCTGGCACTACCATTGGGCGTGAAGAAGCAGGAGAAGTCGTCGACAACCTGGTCAAACTCTTGGTCCACGCTGGCGTAGTTTGTGCTACCACCCTTGCCTTTGGTGGATGGTCCCTGGGAAAATGGGGTAAAAAGAAATTTATCAAATTATCAACATGCTCACCAGGCACAGGAGAAAAGTATTGAAGTACATACTAGGGTTGCAGAAGTAGTGACAGCAGCAACATATTGCTGCCAATACACTGTACAAGCACATTTCATAATGTGTTGTGCTCAGTTGCAGCATTGCCACCAATACAGGAAAGCCAAGATACAAAGTAGCGACAGCAGTTACTTAGAGATTTCTGGTATTGCAGAAAAGCGCCACAACTCACTGATGATGTTCCCTTGCCCTTGTCGGACACGATCCAGCCATCACCGGGCGGGCCAGTTTGTCCCTGTAGAAACACACACAGACAGAATGCTTAGGTTTGCGAATCTCTCCGGGTATACCTCGGTAGGGAAATATTCCAATGCAGTCTACCTATACTACAGTTCTTCAGGAGTATTCGAAAAGGAAATTCGAAGTTTGAAATCAGCGCTAGACCTTGCGTACATAATTTCCCTAGCCAATACAGCTATACGGAGGTTAGCAGATTACTCATCCACTCGTTGATTGATATTGGTTCGTTACATCAGACTATAACTCATGAAAATTGACTTGGAGGAATTCTGTGGAACTGAGTGTTGAGGAAAATTCAGAAAATATTCTAGCATCCAGGTGCTTCAGTTGCAGGCAGATGCATTAGGTGCTTCAGTTGCAGGTTGCAGGCAGGCAGATGCATTACGCCTTTCAACTGTTTTGTTTACAGGCTGCCTAGACTTTTGCTGTGATCTTGAGCTGCAACATTCTTTGGTATTGCACATTTTGTGAGCTTGAGGAACAAAATGGTTCTGGGCAATTGTGATGCGCTGTCATATCAACAGTTCTTATTCTTACCCTAGGGCCTTGTAGTCCGGGATCTCCATCAGAACCCTATATTCAGGTGGGACAAATCAAACATACGAAGGCATAGGCATGTCAATGAAGGTGCGAGCAGAAAATATTTTGCATAGACCCACACAGACACACACAGACGCACATACACGCACAGACATGCACAGACACACACACATACAGACACACCACACACTCAGACACACAGACACACAGACACACATACACACACACACACTAGTATGTGCACACAAGTGTGAACACACCCATGAACACAATGCACACGTACGTTCACCGTACACACACACACACACACACACACACACACACACACGCACACACGCACACATATGGTGGTTTAGCGTGTGCGCTAAGCCCTGTTAACGAACGTGGAGCATCTACCACTCATACTTAGTCTGATGATCATGCATCTGATTATGATGTCATTGCTATACATGCGCATGCGCAGCGCGCGCCACTCTCCCACGCATGCATTCCAAATCTTGCTTTAGAGAGAGAGAAGGAGAAAATAGACTCCTTTGTCACTTTTGCTTTCTGACGACTTGACTGTTCACTGGTTTGTCCGTCAGTGTCAATTTCCCCTTCCCTCCCAACCCCATTCGACTGGGGATCACTATCTCTCCGTCACTGTCACCATAATTTCCTCAATAACAGTGTCAGTACAACTCTTGTCAATATACTTATATCGGGTGAGGGCAGTCTATCTCCGCAGCTGGCTCATTTCAATCACTACCGGTCGCAGCTCCTGCCCACGGCAGGCCGACCGTCTCTCGTTCACACTCTGTGTGCTCCAGGTCACAGCTCCTGCGCAGAGCAGGCCGACCTGTCTGTCTCTCTCTCTCACACACACTATGTGTGCACCGGGTCACAGCTCCTGCGCAGAGCAGGCCGACCTGTCTTTCTCATGCACGCCAGCTGCTCCGCCCAATATCCCTGATATGCCAACCAGAAAACAATGTGTTCTGAGCCGGGTGCATGCCTGTATGTGGAGAGTGCGTTAATGTATTGTGTGGTAACCTACCGGTGCTCCGCGCATGCCATCTACACCTGCCATGCCCTGTAACCAACAAAGAAGTAGCATTGTAGATAACAGCACAATGAGAGTAGAAAACAGAAATTCAAGATACGAGTCATGATTTTCAGGATGGACACACAAACAATGTTCTGCAATCAGTCGTCTGGTTGGTCACTGGACAAAATCCACAACAAAGAGTTTCAAATTTGTAAACATCTGCTATTTCAAACACCCGCCTCCAAGGTTCTTCATATGATGCATGTAGCTGCTCAATTGTAACAAAGTAATGTGGACAGTACCATGAACATCCCACTGCCGTGTAATCCAATTATACCTGGTATCCAGGTGTCTACACATCGTGTTATGTCCCCTTACAGACTAACGTACATTCTCTAGTTTGATCATTACGGTCTCACAAATGATCTCGGACTCCAAAATCGAAGTTCCTTGGTAAGGTGAAATAACAACAATCAAACCGGAGTATGTGCAAAACAATGATAGCAACCATTTTAGTGCTACTTACGTCGGCTCCATCTGGCCCGTTTGGTCCAGCTTGTCCGAGAGGGCCGGTGGCTCCCTGGGAAGGAACAGGACAGGACAAAAACACAGTAATGGATGAGCTAGTCAGTAAGTGCCTACCATACACGACTACTATATCAAGCATGGCATGCAGTTCAAATAACATTTGGAAAATCCGCAACTAGTTTCAAGCTATCATCATCCACGTTATGCTGATTCATTTTTTGTCTTCCCTGTTCGAACGGTTCTTCACATAACTGCTTGTGATCGGTAGCTACACACATCAAGAACTTCCATTGTGTCCTACACAGTCCATAGATGAAGAACTGCTCAATCAGGGGGCCGGGCGGGGGGGGGGGGGCAAGAACTATATCGTCGGGTAAGGAGGAACACGTTTGGAAAAGAAGAACTTACCCTCTCTCCCTTGGGACCACCTAGGCCATCACCGCCTCGTTCACCAGAGGGTCCTTGTAGACCCTCGGCTCCGGACTCACCACGGTCACCCTCAGCACCAATCTCTCCCTGAGACAAAGAACAATCCACCAACCAGTGAGTATTGAGCAACATGATACCTATACAAACTATTATTTCTCTTCGACCGGTCATTGATCACTGATTTCCACCAGACAGTAGTCTTCTTACCCTGGCTTTAGTGAATGCATATTCACAGAGTATGTTATTGGATTCACTAGGCCGCTAACAGATAATCAAAGAGGTGAGCTATTTCATTTATCTACAGGCAGCAACTCCCCTTAAATGTACATTAAAAGACTGATCAAGCGAGAGGAACAAAAACGGAAGGACTGAGTGAGTTCACGGGCACTGCCGCATCTGTACTAAAGTAACATGAAAGATTGGCAACAAAAAAAGCAAATTGCAATCTTACCGGGTTTCCATTGTCACCTCTCTCTCCAGGAGCTCCGTCTTCACCTTGGCGGCCCTGTGAGTTACAGAGCACACATACCATCACTTGCATAAATACAGCAGTTTGGGATGGAAAAGTAGAGGAACTGGGAAAATAGTCTTAACTGGTTTTACATCAACGATAGAAGAATTGACGTGTTGTTTGTTGGACACACACGCATATATATATACACAATCACGCACACGTAAACACACATACATACACCCACACACACACACACATACACACACACATACACACACACACACACACACACACACACATGCACATACACGCCCCCCATGCACACACGCGCATGCATACACATGCACACAGAGGCAAATATCCTTGATCGTGGTTTGAAGCACGGAAGTAAGGCCTACCGGGAATCCGGACGATCCGGAGCTTCCAGGTGCACCGCGGCCACCAGATTCACCAGGAGCACCATTGTCACCGTCTTGACCATTTGAGCCGTCACGTCCAGGTTGACCCTAGGGTAGCATAGTAAACACAGGTAATCAAGTCATGTACACGTGGGCATACATTCAAGGAACCACTTCCGTACACCTTGATATAGTTCCATTGACACCATGATGTGATTTTCACCAGCATGGCCTGGCACAATTCAATGGGAAGTGCATATCTTTTCAAGTAGGGTCCAGAAGAAGGATAATTTGATATTGGCAGGGACGGCTGTTGCGTACACCTCTTCGTAGACTACCAGCCTTTAGGTATTTATAAAGATGAGCCAATATTTAGCATCATTTATTGCTATGCTTGGGACCATTAAGCTCATTTCACCTCACAACTATTGTAATAAACTTACGGTGGGACCTGGTGGACCGACGATGCCGTCTGGTCCGGCTGGGCCAGAGGGACCCTGCTCTCCAGATTTGCCAGGGACTCCAGCCATGCCGAGACTTCCAGCAAGACCCTGTACATCAGAAAAAAGGACAGACATAATACTTATATTCATAGGTTGAGGAAATGGAAAAGGGAGAATATGTGGAGATAGTAATTTGCAACGGAACATCAGTGCAGATCCATGGAGCCGTTACACAAATTTCCATAAAGCTATTCATATAGCTGCCATGCAGGCTGGAATATGAGGAGTTGTTGATTGAAAAAGCACGTATCGGGTTTTCAACGGCATGCCACATTCAAAGGTCTTTGTAGCGCCTGCAAATGAAGTTAGGATCGGGTTGTATGGCACGTAGACTGTACCACAATCTTCGAACTATGATCAGCTTGTCTAAATTCCATACTTACTCTTGGTCCAACTGGGCCAGGTATTCCAACGGTGCCTTCAAATCCAGGAGGACCCTGAAGAACAGAGTGATGACACAGTCATTATACTTTAAGAATGCAATTGGTAGTTGCATAATGAAACATAGTTTCTGACAAAATTAAGGTTGTGCCGCTTCCTGGCCGTTTAGTTGGATAAAAAGGTTTGCTTTTTCGGAAAAAAACAAACAAAAACATCAGTGCTCATCGGCATTTCCAATACTCGCTATTGATATCATCTCTTTACTCTCAGTAGCTGTGAAACCAAAGTTGTTATATGAGGCTATTGGAATGTTTGCATGTGCATGGCAAGCATACCACTTTGCCTCTGCGTCCGGGCTCCCCAGCTTTGCCAGCTTCACCAGCTTCACCCTGTGCATCAGCAGAAGCAATCAAGAGAAGGCCTCAGTCAGACATTGTTTATCAGTTGAGGATGTCGAACACCCATCAGTTAAAGATGTCGAAAAGGCAAAACAGTCTGAAGAACAAATGTACTGTCCTCACCAGGACTCCATTCCAATCAGGGTAATTTGCTACACTATAGGCTAGAGATGCTCTAACCATGCAGCTGTGGTTGAGCCACTATGCCTTGCTTGAAAAGTTGAACCTGGCATGTACACAGTGTACTGTGGTCAGTTGCAGTTCATGTAATGAGTGGTTCAGTGTGTATTTAGATGAGCTGAGTATAGCATTGAGGTACCCAAATTCATCCCATAGTATTCATGTAGACCAAGCAAAGAAATCCTGCAGTGAAATTCATCCAGACCCAGAGGACTTTGAAAACCTTGTCTGAGAACACACACACACACACACACACACACACACACACACACACACGCACACGCACACGCACACGCACACACACACACACACACACACACACACACACACACACACACACACACACACACACACACACACACACACAGGCACAGGCACACACACGCACTACCATGAGCTTTGGAACTTACAGCGCGTCCACGGACACCTCTGCTGCCCTTAGCCCCAGCGGAGCCAGTTGCTCCCTGAACATTCAAAGAATCACAACGCGCACAGTTGAAGTCAACCATTACAGCATCAAACAACGAGCAGAATTCCTTAGGCTGTGCCAATGTCTCCACAACCATAGGCACTGCTGACAAATATCCGCTTTCTCACTGCCATAATTTTAGATTTTAGATTTGATCAAGGAAATGTTATGTCCATCAACGAATATCACGGTACATTGTACCAGGAGTAACCGCAGAGTACTGGTCATGACGCAAAGGGATGGAGTAGCCTTTCACCTGTAGCCAAGTAGTGCCGGTCTGATGTGCATAGTCATCGTTGCATGGACCCCAGTACATGATACGTTTAATGCAAGTTTTGTACTGGCCGAACAGACAATGCTAATCTAATGGCCGATACTCAGGCTACAAACTTACTTGTGGGCCTGTGGATCCATCGGCGCCTGAGTCACCAGCACGTCCAACCATACCCTGTGAAGCGGCAGCGAAAGTATTTATAAAGGACAGGATCACAAACGAGTTGTACGTGAAGTTCAGATAAAAGTCCGGTAAGACCAGACAACTGACAAACTCTGCGGCAGAATGCACTAACAAAGTGAACTTTGCTTCATTTAGACAAGGTGATATTCTCTTCTAGAAGACTAAATTGCTTCATGTCGAGCTTCTAAAATGCAATTTTTGTGAGGACTCACAATTCAACGGGGACGACAAAGGAGATTGTGAAGTTATCAATACCAGAGGAAGTGATGAGGGAGAGAGAAAAATACATAACAGACTACGTGATGGGCATCAAGTGGGAGAGACCCTGTGGCACTGACAGAGAAAGACAGAGAGAGAGAGAGAGAGAGAGAGAGATAGAGAGAGATAGATAGATAGATAGAGAGAGAGAGAGAGAGAGAGAGAGAGAGAGAGAGAGAGAGAGAGATGTCCACAGCGTAACACCTCTCAGCCGTACTTACGCGATTGCCATCTTGTCCGTCATTTCCCATCAGTCCGTCTCGGCCACGTGCACCCTATTCAACAGGAGTAAACCAGGAAGGCGTTTGAACTGTCACCAGGTATTCCGGTTTGATAGTATTAATTTTAATGACAAAGGACATATGTGCACCAGTTTATTTAGGGTTAGAAGCGAGGTTGGTGTCCCCCATCTAGGGCTAATGGACATGTGCCGAGGAGAAAAGAATTGCAGGCATGTGCCTTCAAACTCCTTTACCTCAATCCTGTTCTATCACGGCTTAGGAACTATCACAAAAATTATGCAAATCGCTGCGTTGTAGGTGAAAATTCTTACAAAACTACCGGAGAGTAAGTACACTGATGTACGTGTGCGTTCCAAAAATGGAGCCACCGGAAATGGACTAAAGTTACTCAGAACTTACATGTAGTAGACTTGTAGACTAACATACTTCAGTATCTATATCTATATCTATATCTATATCTATATCTATATCTATATCTATATCTATATCTATATCTATATCTATATCTATATCTATATCTATATCTATATCTATATCGTGATGATGCATGACACACATTGCCGGCAGGTTAAACAAACAGATTGTGTCTGGTTGCAACTTACCTTGGCGCCGGTCTGACCAGTAAAACCGGAATTTCCCATGGCTCCAACTTCACCCTACACAGAGAAAATCAGTGACACCAGGCAATAATTCCACCATATCTTCACGTTCCAAAAACTGAACTTTTTGAAATCAAGATTGTTCACGTACTATTCACGGTACAACTGTATTCTAAACTAAATAATATATCAATTTTCTTGTTTGCTGCTGCTCATGGCACTGATTATGAAGACTGATGTTTTGCAATGCTTCATTGGATTTGCCAGTACGCATGCAGTGGCTAGTGTGCTCTTTGTGCAATTTCGTCTTCCTCAAATCAAAATCTATTTATCCACAGTATACAATGTACCGTGATTTGCAAAAAGTAGTGGTGACAAGGGAACGAATGGACAAAAAGATGCATGGCACCGATGCACACTTGCAGCAGGCTTGCAGGATATTGACAATACTTTGCCTCACTAGGCTGTCTTACCTTGACTCCCTTTTCACCCTTGTTACCGTCCCGTCCATCACCTCCTCTGGGTCCCTGGCACGCAAACAAGAAAAGATGTGTGCTCATACTTGGTGAATTATTGCTATAGTGTGATGCTGGGCCAGGCCCAAGAAATTGTTGAACTGGAAGTGGAATTGGAAATTGTTGAACTGGAACTGGAAGTGACTTGTGCGGCGGAGAGACCAAGCGCGAGCGTTCGGATCGATTAAAGTAATGTGAAAATGACTGCAATGGAGCTTGTGAATCTTTAGATAAGCTTGAAATCAAGTATTAATGCAACCATAATGCAAAAGGCAAATTTGAATTGTGGCTATTCTTGTTCGTGATTTGGTGCATGCTTTGTTGCTAAGAGTATACTTACAGGTGGTCCACGGGGTCCGCTAACACCTGATGCGCCGAGACCTCCATTTCTTCCCTACACAGAGACGACACAGTAAGCATATGTGCAAGGGAAACGGTTGAATTTGCAACAACAAATACCTCTGTACATGTGCGGGAACACACACACACAACTAGGGAAGAACACGCATGCATGCATGCACACACAGACACACTTGAAGTTCAAATACGTTCAGCTCGGGACCTTAGGACATATGAATCGGCTGTCGATTTGGTTGACTGGCTGTGAGAGTTCTCTAAATTCCATCTTGTCTATTTCGTACATTGTTATGTTCCCTGTGACAACCACACAAAGTACATTCCGGCAGAAATTGATTATGGGAGTTTCGAGCTTCGGTTTAACAGTGTAATGCCAGGGACCTTCCCTTCCTCAAGGTAGCAAATACCTCAGCTCTCGGCCCCTCACACAACACCAACTTCACAGCAAAATGTGCCAATGCCTGTAAAATGTGACAGTACTTTCAGCAAACAGATTATGAAGTTAAAGAGGTACGTGTGCATATGCGTACCTCGAAGTATTACAAAGAGTTCATTATTAGAGCATGTAATGATGTATACAAGCTGAAAAATGTTACTGGTCAAGGTAGGAAAGATGAAGGAATCACAAAATTTAGAGAATTGCATGCTGCTTTTTCGTCACTTACACCTGGGCCACGATCTCCACGGACTCCCTTCTCTCCGTTTGAACCACCGCTTCCCTACAGCACAAAGAATATCACATGAAATTAAATAGTATACACATGCATCCTATCAGGAAATCATCATGAGGCATGATCATGATCAAAGCTCATCATGAGGCATGATCACCATCAAAGCTCATTACTCAAAGTAAATTGTATTCAGTGTACGGTATCCACTGAAACAACTACCGCAATGTAAGTGTACTACTGCAGGACGACCCGAGTACACAGCTGAGCTTTGACGGGATGACAACGTACTCAGCCTACAACAAACTCATTCTGCTGCGTGATAAGCGCCGCCCAATTGTTGACCAGCATAGGGTGTACATGGTATGTGTGTGTATGTGTGTGTGTGTGTGGGGGGGGGGGGGTATAGTGAGGGCTTTGCCCCACCGCCCGTCTGGTGTCACAGCAAGTGGTCGTGTCAAAGTCTGAAGAAATTCCTAAACAGTCTCCATTGAGATTTCCTGCACAGTGGCTTTGCAGCAGAGCATCATTGGCCACTACAGAAGGTCGCTGGTTAAGTCCTGTTGATGATAGCCAATTTTTCTTCAGACAAGTTGTTCCCTTTACAACTTCCTCAAACCTCAATCAAATGTGTTAACTGCACACATCCGTTTTTTCCATAAAAATATCCGGATATGCGAGGGAACCGGATAATCAAACACACATACTGTATGTATGCATCCTATATGGTGTAAATCGGTAACTAACGATTTTCTTCCGGATGGCGAGGGATCTGGATAAAAGAGGAGCGGATAAGCGAGGTCAGACTGTACTTTTATTGATTGGATGTGTACAAAGCACTGTACACATGTCAAAATGGCCATCGGTTAAATCTTCCGACTAAGCCATGCCACACACACGGGGGGCTAGAGTATCTATGGGAAAGGCCCGGAGAGAAAACAAAGAAGGGGAACAGAAGACTACAGCTCAGCTGCCCCTATCTTTGAAACTGAAAACAAACAAACAAACAATTAGTTGTGCCAATAATACTTACTAGACTTCCTTCGGGACCAATTGCACCTTTAGCGCCGCTGTCACCCTTTGGACCCTGTTGCGCACATGCAGACAATGATGGGAAAAGTAGCCAGTTAGAAATTGATTTCAAGCTGATGCAAATGTTCAGCTCTGTTGCATTATAATACTACCTGGCTAATAGCGAAAGAGACGTATTGGAGCTCCCTAACAAAGAAAGTAAGCAGGCAACAAATCCGAGTGTGATGCCTTTCTAGTTTTGAAGTGTATCCTAAACATTCTCAAGAAGAAAACTGGCACGAAATGGCTGATATCAGTAGATGCAATGCATTAGATAGCATAAGATGCTGAAAGGCAGTGGAGCTTATTGCCTTCTTTGTCAGAATCATCACACTGATAATACGTAAGGATACTCAATCATTTGTTCCCATCCACTGCAAGTAGATTTTGATAAGCAAAATTTAGAAGGCCAAATTACTTCACCGAGATATGATTAACTACCAATCAACTCACTCTCTCTCCGCGCTGTCCATTTTCACCATTTCTGCCGTCGAAGCCAGGTTCACCCTGTGAAAGAGTAATGCATACCAAACATCACCATTATGTTCAGCAAACTGTAAAGTCCGGCCCATCGCCTTCCTCTATCAGGCATTGGGGCAAAGGAAATACCCGTTCGTCCGAGAGTGGTGGCCACATGGACTTCAATCAAAATCATTGACCTGTTTTTTTTCCATTTGAATAAGCAGATCATATTATGATAGTATAATTATGAGTGGTTCTTATATACATTCCTGGCATATTTGCTCATTCTTTCCTTCGCTACATCTTTCACCCAGAAAAGTCAAAGGGTGCCCAGGGAAACACGCCTGTGTCCAATCATTGACTACATCAGTAGGAATGAGTCGTGAATCAGGGCCGGGTACTGCATTATTAGGAATGTGGAGAGTGAATTCAGTGCCGGGACAAGCACAATGTCTTTCCCCGATCTAGTATCAGAGTGAAAGGAAATGTTCAGGGTGAAAGGAAATGTTCAGGGTCGTTTCTTCTTGTGTGGAAAATCGTAGCCGGCTGTTTTGATAAGAGCTTCATGGTATACATGCAGGTGGTGAGTGGTTAGCTAAGTCAAGCATGAAGGAGTACTTACCGCAGGTCCTTGTTGTCCTTCAAGTCCGGCACTGCCTGGTGTACCTGGGCCTCCCTACACAAAAAATGAGCAAACCAGCCAAACATACGCTCGGCATTGTCAAGTCTTTTACTCGGCTCATTTTTCCTCAACTGACCCTTATAATTATTAAAAGTCAATATTTGATGATACTGCTATAATTATAATACCAAGATTCCATAACCCCAAGAGTGTGCAACTCTGTGCATGGGAATTCGCGCGGCAGAATTCCAATATTACGTCAAAATGGCGTACACGTTCGTTGGGCTTGTACTACTCCCTGGTTCCAAGCACTGCGGAATGCGAAGTTTTGTCCTCTGTGCCTCAACGGCATGACGTAATGTTGAAATTCCGCCGCACAGTGGGCCTACATCAGCCCGACCCCAGTTGCTTACTCTTGGGGTTATGGACTCTTGATAATACTAACACTGAAGAAACACATTTCCAATAAATTGTGAAAATGATCAAACCTAGCACAGGCTGAGCTAGCAAGATACATGAAGCAGATGAATGACGATTATGTGGTCTTAGCCCTTTGAAGACAATTGATTGTGGTAGAAGTATAGCCCCGTGGGCTCTGTAGCAAACATACTCGTGGTCCTCTTTGTCCTTCTGGGCCGGCTTGTCCTGCATCTCCACCGTTGCCCTGCAACAGAACGGAAGAAAATGACAGCATTGACACAGCTCTCATTTTTAGTCCCAGTTACTCCACACTAGTTACAAGCAGGAGAAAGAACGGTTTAATACCCGCAGGGGTAGGCTTTTCGCACAGCCGAAGTTTCGAGATTGCGCGGCATTTGTGAGAGACAGCCTTGCAATTGTACCTGTCGTTCAGGCAATGAGACTTACAGGTGCGCCAGGATTTCCTGGTAGTCCTTTGATACCGTTTTCACCAGGATTGCCCTGTTAGTGACAGAGGTGAGAGAGTAAGCACAACACACACCTTTTAAAACAAGTGTAAGTCCAAGCGGGTGGCCATACAAGGTACGTTATCTGTATCAATGGATGTGCACGTGCGCGCGCCGCACACACACAGGCATGCGCGCGGGCACACACACTCATATACCGCCCTAGGGAACATACTCATTGCCAAAGGCAATAATGAGCAATGCTATGTTAGTGACACAAGTAATAATTGTAATGTATGCTCACACTTGCATGCACATAGGTCAAGACACACACACACACACACACACACACACACACACACACACACACACACACACACACACACACACACACACACACACACACACACACACACACACACACACACACACATAGAGACATACAGACACATACTGAGGTCTCCACTTCAACATAGACTTGGCAATGCACAGGTAGTACACACAGCAACCAGTCTGGACCTGAAGGAGGCATCATACAGTCAGGGTAGGATTACTTACAGCGGGACCATCCGGACCTTGTACTCCGTTTCTGCCTGGATCGCCTTGGACTCCCTACAACATGAAGAAAAGTGAGTGAAATTAAAATCAACATGATGCACGGCACAGTGCATTTGATAAAAGTGAGAATTTCTGACACCGTTAATCACAACAGAAAAGTATTACCGATATTATACTCAGAAACACAGAGTGTGATAAGCAGTCTAGTGACTAGTTGCTCCATTGCCTGTCATTGCCAGGGCCTGTATTTGCAACAGCTCAGCGTCATGTGCGAGGTACTGGACAAGAACGGCAGGGGCGTCGGAAGCGGTACGACTGGTACGGCTCGAACCGTACCACTTTTGGCTCCAGGTGGTCCACGCGGAACGTCCAGATCTGGTGTAAAAAATTGGGGTATCGAGTTTGTACATGACCACGCATGATCGTGAGCCGCGATCCGTCACCGGTGCACCAGTCAGGTCACTGCACCGTGTAACACGTGACTAGACTGTCGACTACGGATCTGCATGGCATGTATGCGTCATGACTCGTAGTCGGTCTCTTTGTTATCCTTAATGACTTCGTACCTTCGGAAGCCCTCTGAGAGAGGTATTTTGAGTGTTTTTTGGAAAAAAAATCCCGGAGGAGGTTTCCCCCGCACCCCCTCCGACTGTCGAGCCCTACCACTTTCTACCTCTTTCCGACGCCCCTGAACGGTTTACCTACCACAGGCCCGAGCAATGTGATTACAGCACAAGACCTGTCCTGTGTTTTCCATAGACTATTAAAAACGCCCCGTGGGTGCTGGACAAGTACTGTACTTGTGCAAAGAATGCGCCTTGGAGGTTCAGCTAGTGTTCTTATTAAGCATGTGAAGTGTTGTCATTGGTCTAGTGTATTCAGAGAGCACAGCTTGCTGTCCCTATGGAAACAGCTTGCTGTCCCTATGGAAACCATCTAGAACACCCCCCCCCCTGGCTTGGATGCTAGCTATCGTAGACTTCATCACCAATCCAACGTTTCACCAAGAACCGTACCATGTAGTGGCAGAACAGGGGGATGCAGCGGCAGAACAGGGGATGTACAGATCACTGGCTGCTAGCAATACTCACTTGAGCTCCTTGTGCACCATCTCCGCCTTGACTGCCTTCTGGACCGACGGGTCCCTGCAATTGACAATGTATCACAGGTCAAATTTCAGCATGACACAAAATTAATGTTAGTGCACTGCAGAATAGTTTTGGGAAGGTTTGAATACGCCCGCTCATTCCCAGTTATAGTGGTGTGGATGTGCAGTCATTGAAAGCAGAAACAATAGAACAACTAAAGTAGAACAGGCACAGCGGCCCTGGATATTTCAAACATACTTTTCACAGTGCATCGCAGTCAATTTAGTTCCTCGGCTGTGAGGTACCGATTGTTAAGTAAATCCATGTTGTACTGAATTTTCACTGCAGTCAGAGACCAATGTACCTAGCCGGTTGTATCATATAAACCCATTCCGGTGCTTGACATGCTTGAGGCTGATCTAGCTGTATTTCGAAGTATCTTCAATCAAGTTGTACACACAGTGTAGGAGAACTCAACAGATAGCATGTTACTTACAAGAGGACCTTGATTGCCTTGGTCTCCCTGCGGGCCATCAGCACCTTGAAGACCCTGCAACATTCAACACACAGCAGCAGCAGATGGACCACTTGAGTTATGCGCATTATCATGCCATATGTGTGTGTGTGTGTGTGTGTGTGTGTGTGTGTGTGTGTGTGTCACTAAGTTATTTGAGTCATCATGGGCCCAACACAGCATTGGGTATATTTTCTGTACTGCTCCAGTCTGCAAACTGGCTGATAGGCATACATTCCAGATTCCGATTGACGTCAGTCTGAGCTTCATACGTGTACAAGTACCGTATTTCCCCGAACATAAGTTGCACCTTTGTACACAAAAAATCGAGGGTAAAAAAGGGGTGCGACGTACAATCGAGCATGACTTACTACTGAAGTCAATATATCAAAACGGCTCAAACCTGAAAGTGGGGGTGCGACTTATAATCGGGGAAATACGGCACTTACAAAAGAAAAATACAGCAAGTGCCTCCGTAGATGTGTCTATCATATCAAGCCGCGTTTAGAAAGGGTGGGTTCCTTACCTGGGCGCCATTCTCTCCAGGTCGTCCTTGTGGTCCACCTGGTCCTGTTGCACCCTAAAACCGGGGCAAGAGGTAAACATGACACAAGTGATATTAAGTAAACATAATCGATCAACATCTGACGGAGATAAGGACATAACATGTTGAACGTGTCTAGCAATTGTTAGAAACTGCTTGCACATGTCCACCATGATATACAATGCACATGTCCACCATGATAAACGAGTACTTCTACAGATTCATCGTTTTGTTTCCATCGTGGCTTTCTTCCCTGTTTCCTGGTTTACCATGTTCTCCACAGCAACAAAGAAGAACTTACCTGGGCACCGTTCAGTCCAGTGAAAGCGTCGTTTCCGGGAAGTCCCTGTGATGAGGCACACGAATAACGCAGCATGTAGGTTTTAGTGCAAAGCTAACACTTGTGTGGGAGAAAATACATCTCGTACACATCGTGGACATTGATCTCACATTGCATGGCACTGCGGACCATTAAAATCATTAAAAGGAAGATTACGCAGATATCTAGCTATGAAAATGTGTCAAAGTTGCCTGCCCTAGTGCAACGCTCACTGTGTTTATTGCAGTCTGACTGTTTATTGCAGTCCGACTGACTGTGATGTTTTGAGCCAGTTTAAACATGTTTTGCCGTTCGTTAGACTTCATTGCGTTCGGTTCGGCCAGTATCTGTGAGCTCCACTGACGAGATCTTACAAGATCGAACCAGCTAGCTGTCCGGAGATTGAGTAACATAACTATGAGAATGATGCATTTCTCTCGGCACTGAACGATAAGTCCTTTACAAGTATTCGCCATGGCCAGGTTGAAAGATACTAGGAACCTACCCGCTCTCCCTTCACTCCTCTGCGTCCATTAGCACCGGAATTTCCCTGCACGAGAAACAAAGAAAGGAGAAGCAAGTAGTGAGTGGAATGGTCGACTTGGAAGAAAATGAAAATGAAGGTTACATCAACCGTTTTCTATAAATGGCTTTGGCATCACCTGGAAATCGAATGCCACTCAATAATATGCGCATACACACACACACACACACACACACACACACACACACACATCGGTGCATCCACGATTCGACACGGAGGCGTCAGCACAACCTCCTCATTGCTTGCAATCACACAACTCAAGTTGTACACCTAACAAACCATACTTTGTAGCCTTGGGGTCCTTGAGAGCCAGTGTCACCTGCGAGTCCATTCTCACCAGGTCCTCCGGGATTTCCAGAAGCACCAGGAAGACCCTTGAGACCGGATTCTCCCTTAAGGTAAGGACATGAACAAAAAAAACACATTTAAAATTAATTGGCTGTTTCCTAACAAGTCGTGAAGTCGCTACCACCTATTCGTACTGTTTGCATATATATAATTATAAAGAGTTCAATGCAAGAAGCTTTGTAACTTGCAGGAGTGTCTTCATTGCTATTCTTATGTCATCTTACAGCAGCGGTGCCGCAGCAAATGACACCATCATCTCCTACCAAGCTCACTGAGACACAATTACAGATATAATTCAAGCAAAGCTATGAGGTCGATCATCGGATGGGGTGCTTAACTTGGCTTTCAAAACTTTCGCCATATATTCAAGGAAGAGCTCCGTGCCTGGCCTCCCATTCTAAATCTGAAGAAACTTATGACAAAGTGGATATACTGAGCCCATGGCAACACTGTCTGAATCTACAGCATAAAGACTCATAGGAAAGTCTGTGATAACTAAAGAAAGTCTGTGATGACTTGGCATCATCTCAGCAAATTGCATTTTTGATTGGGATTCACTGGTTTCAGGTTGGCGGAACCCTGTGTGCAAAACCCTTCCCATAGACTGAGCACAACCCTGTGAAATACCTTCCTACAGACAGCGCACAACACTGTGGACTTACAGATGGGCCAGCTGCACCAGGGTCACCGACTAGACCAGCGTCACCCTTCTTGCCCTGAACACACACAAACAAACGACAGCAGCAAAAGTTAGACACCTGTTTGACTTCGGCTCTATTTTACTAGACCGAGATGCCCAGTACCAACATGTTGCCACCAAAGCAAAACACTGACTATCGACTCATACAAACATGCTGCACGAAGCGAAGAAAAAAGGTTATGAACAGTTCTGGAAGCGGCTTTAAGCTTGTCTTTATTGCACATCGGCACTGTATTACAGTGCGAGGGTATAACACACAAAACAGGATCGACAAAAGCACGTTTTGGTTAGTCCTTCATACGTTGTGTAAGATATGGCGAATACATTATGACTCCCTGACCAGTTAACATAGGTTGGTGGCCAAGCAGTCGGTCCGGTCATGGCCCGAGCAACCGGACAGTGGTTCCGTCGCCCCTGCAAAATTATGGTTGTGCTGCTAAGCTGGTGATGTCAAGTGTGGGCACCATGAACTCTATGACATGTCCTGGTGACAGGATTCAGCCCGGTTCAGGCTTAGGTGTATTTCAGAGTTACTCACCTTGTCGCCGTTTCGTCCATTGCGTCCATTGGTTCCGTCTGCTCCAGGGTCACCCTGAATACATGGTACAAAGCAACATAGAATTTAGCTAGTCCCTGTGCTACATTTCACTTTTCAATGAGACACATTTCTAAACAAATTTTGAAGTCAAAATTTCCTCAGCAACCAGAACATGCATGATAGAGAGAAGATATAAGACTTTTAACTTAAAAGTTGGATACCGTGACACACACCAAGCAAAGATAACATTGACAGTACACCGTACCCTGACTCCTTGCTCGCCTGTTGGTCCAGATGGGCCAGCTTCACCTCGTCTGCCCTGGATGACACGGAGAACAAGAGCACACTCTCTCTCTACTTATCATGAAAGATGCACTATAACTGTTAGCAGAGGGTGAGAAAGAAACGGAACTTAAGAGTCTCTGATAGCACTGTGCTTAACGCCATGTCAAATGCCCAAGGGTCACGCATCCGCTGTACATGTAATTGCAATGCTAATAGACTGAAGCAGCGTATATTGTACAGAGCGCAGTGTATGTAAAAAGCAGCCGCACCGTACTTGTTTGCACTGGCAGTTTATGGGAAATAGCTTCACATTGTAATTGACAGCACCGGGACTGTGTGGAATGTGGCCAACACAATACCTGCCAAATTGTTGACACTAGCAGAGCTCTGTTACAGGTCTTCCATGTGTGCCAACTGTTGTCACTACTCACAAGCTGTAGTACAAAGCCCTGCTAGAAAAGCACGATGGGACTAGACTAAGAAGTTGAATGTTGATCGACATGGCCTTACCAGGGATCCAGGTCCACCAGGTCTTCCATCTTTGCCGTCAATGCCTGGAACTCCATGTCGACCTTGGGAGCCTGGTTCACCGTCACGACCAGGAGGGCCCTGAAAAAGAGGCATGGAACATGAAATAATAAGTAAGAGACTTTGATTGACACCTGCTTGCCTCTGGAGAACCCTGTAGACATGTAGTACAGCCCAGTAGTGTTATGAGTGATGTGCTGGATTATTGCAAATGAAGGAAAAATACAATTGTGTGTGTAGTGCATTTGGGACCACAAATCATCATGCAAAGAACTGGAAATGTTTGAAGAAGCTTCAATCTCAGGTTCAACCAGCTAGTTTTGCGGAGATTGCGCACAGAGCGATCCTGGACACATCAGCGTATCACACAGCAACATTGTACTAAAGCCCGCAGCAAGAAGGAGATATGAAAGCAGGCTGTTATCTGTGGCTGTATACACATCACAATATGGCATGAACGATGGACACGTACTTGTCTGCCGGGACGTCCAGATGGTCCATCACTGCCACGTGCACCCTACAGCGTTCAATCGGCAAAGTACACACAATGAGATGAAAAGCATGAGTCAAGTACTCAAGTACTCAATAAGCACAGACCAGCATGACGCACAAACTATGGACACTGGGTAGTTCAATTAGTCCAGGACATCAACTTTGATTCTAACCTAATTGTAGATATGCTCTAGTTACCACACAACAAAGTCTCAGCACAACATGAACATGCTTCAGCACAGCGTGGTCTCAGCACAAAGTTTGTGAGACTCATTCTCTTACGTCTATAGTATGGAGGTTTTACTGGTCCCTGCCTGTACTTAGCTATGCTGGTAGGTTGGACTGGGCAAGCGTCAGTCACGGGAAGGTGGTACAGTTGCAAGGTATTGGTGTTTTGTAGTTTTGGGCGTACAGCATGATGCTTTGACTCAATCAAAGGAAACCTCCTGTAGCAGGAACGTTACTTGCATAAATGGCCATCTGAATCATCTTCTAACACATGTAGATGGTAACATGATCAGCTAAAGTCTGGCCTCACCTGCCTGCCCTTGACGCCAGAGTCACCAGGTGCACCTTGGTGGCCAGTTGAACCCTTGTGGCCAGTTGGTCCTGCTTCGCCAGTTGTTCCCACCAGGCCTTCGAGTCCCTGTGGATGGCAACATGTCAAATACGTAAATCACAACAGGATCAAGTTGTGAGGGGTTACACGCTTCCATGAATTACAAAGTCACAATAGTGAGACATATCATTATGTGCTTCGCAAATCTTCGGAAAAAGCAAAATGGAGAATAGCATAATGTTCTATACACACCACATGTATTGAAGTGTAACAATGATCTCTTTCCATCATGCCCATAACCTCACCGTCATTCCAACAGCTCCAATGCGGCCGACACGTCCTGGACTTCCGTCGGCGCCCTTCAAAAATCAAACAGTCAGAAAGTGGTGTGATTTAGGGGGAGGGGGAAGGGGGAGGGGGCAATTGCAGAAAAATAGTCATAATCATGACTGGCCAGTTCGGCACGGTATTGCAATTCGAAAGGATGTGCGAGGAAATAATGTACGGGAGATGGAGATCTAACATTTCTTACAGAGTGTGCACAATGGAGCTCATGATAATCTGAAGCAAAGGGAGAGTAATGTTGTACTTCAAGTACCTGCTTCATGAGAGCAACAATGTTACAGTTGAGAATAGCAAAATGTAGGAAGCGGCCGGGAGTGCCAAGATGCACACAGACACACACACACACACACATTCACACACACGCACACATACACACACTCACATACGCGCACACACATTGGACTCTCTACTTCACAATCCATTTAGCAATTACTATCAGCTTGACGTGTATAGTGATCTGCTAGGCATGGAAATCTGCTAAGGGAGAAAAGTCATACCTTGGCTCCTAGAGGTCCGGGTAGTCCAGTTTCTCCAGAGAGTCCTTCAGGACCCTACGTAGAGCAAGCAGAACGCAATACCAAATCACTGATAAACTAGTCTATATCAGTGCTCAGCAAATGAGACTTGGCTATGATTACACCAAGAACCTGGCCATTCAGTTGTGCAAGTGCAATGTAAAATAGTTCTAAAATTGTTCCATAAGCAGTAGGTGGAAGAGTATCCTCAATTGTACTCTGCTACCCCAAAATTCTCTTGCCACCTAATACCAAAATACATGATATGTAAAAGAAGAGCAAGTTTGCCCATTTGCTTTCTCGATCTCATCAATATCCCCCGTATACAGAATTGGATGAGACTTGGTTAATTCCATGAATGCTGCACTATACCAGAAACTTACTTGTGGGCCTCTGTCACCCAGAGGACCCTTGGCGCCAGAACCTCCAGTCCTGCCACGCTCGCCCTTACGTCCATTGATGCCATCATAACCGGGTCCTCCCTGCGGCAATAACGGTGTGAAGAATATGAGCGAGATCATTATGCAGTTTCTTTACAAAGAGGAGAGCCATTATCGGAATCTGGTGTGTTTCCAGAGCACAATGCTGCATCTCATCAGTACACTAGACAGGGCCAAAGACCTATTTACGGGCAATACTATTGCAAAAATCATTGTCGCACTATTTAAAATAATATGTGTTTCAAGGCTCTGCCAGCATAGCACTACATGTACATGAACTTAAGGCAGACAGACTGGTACATGTACATGTAGGTGTAGATGTTTGAACTGGTATGCACGTGACTGCCACCTAGTCAGCTGGTTGGTACTGTATCAACTCAAATAGGAGTGTGCGCTTCTCGTGGGCTGAATATTTGAAGTAAACGGGTCTTGCAATGTGGCTGCCCGCAGCCAACCCTACACTAGTTGCTGATGTGAGGTGTGAGAAAGAAGCAAGACTCACCAGTCCCGAGAGCACTTGATTTTAATTATCTGCTTACCACTCTCTGAGGAAATCATGGAGACTGGTACTAGGTAACTATGGTGACCATGGTGCAAGGTAACCTACCTGTACGCCTTGTGATCCTCGTTCTCCGGCCGTTCCAGATTCTCCTTTCGTTCCCTGCAAAAGAACAAAGCTCAATATTGGCTACACTCGTACTGGAAAACCATAAATACACGTTGTACAATTCATATACAAGTATCCTAAGTTAGTGTGAATGCATTGCGAGAGTTGGCAATCTCGGAGGGCCGGCTGTGAGGTTTTGGAGACGATGGTGGGCAGGACAGTGCCCTTGTAATTGTATTTTCCTGGTTTTTTTGGTTTTTGTTTTTTGGTTTTGTTTCTCTTTTTTTTGCGTTTTTTTCACACATACAATTGTTTTCATTTTTTGGTGTTGTGTTCTAATCATACGCCATGCCACTGTCAATTGTATTCTGTTTGCCCGTAAAAGAGGCTCGGTCACACCTAGCCAACAGCTAAGTTAGTGGTTGCTTCAACAACAACATTTAGGTGGGATGCAAACTTTGCAGCACTGCACAAGTGACGTTATCTGCTGCCCTATACATCGCATGCATGCACATGTGTGCTGTACAGGGGAATGAAAGTATACCCGGGTGTACACATGGGGCGACATATGTATCGAGTTTTAATTGACCCTGCAATAGACAGTGTCAACACATGAAGGGAGGCACATAATCCAAGCATACACTTCTCTTCTGTACGGGTGCTCACATCACATTGCTACCAATGCATCCTCCAATAGTGTCTATTTTAGCTATACATGTTCATGTTCATATTATGACCGGGATGCACACTGGGGCTTGCCAGCAATTGCTACAGAAAAGCTGCCAGCACTGGCGAGCGAGCGAGAGAGAGAGAGAGAGAGAGAGAGAGAGAGAGAGAGAGAGAGAGAGAGAGAGAGAGAGAGAGAGAGAGAGAGAGAGAGAGAGAGGATGGCCTGCGGGCCGACTTACGGGATCGCCAGCTGGTCCCGATGAGCCACCTGTTCCAGGGAGTCCCTATTCATTGAAGCAGAGCAGGACGTAAATCTAATAATGCTTCACTCTTCGAACAGAATCGATTATGCATGCCAATGGTCTCAGCTCATGATACATCAATACTCACCAGTCACCACAAAGTGGTTCGAGAGGCTCCTGATCAGGCCATTTCAGCCAACAACATGCAATTTCAGTCTCCCTTGTATTGCAAATCCAGCAAATTGAAACTCTGTCAATGCAATATGAGCAGCCGCGTCTTAAAACTCATGGCAACGATAATCCGGAAATATGCCGTTGTGGCAGCAAGGCTGAGAGTTGTAAAGAAAAGAGATCATGCGAAAAGAATTGCTTACCACCAAGCCTTGAAGACCCTTACGGCCTGGGTCGCCATCACGGCCATTTCTGCCCTAACCACAAAACATATGCAACAGAATTGGCAAAGAACGGATTAGACAGACCCTGGATGCCTTAATGAAGAGGCTTCAACGCAATATCAGTTAAGTTAGCGATCACAGAAGTTTCCTCTGTTAGGTTTACAGCATCCAGATGCAGTTTTCACTATACCCAAACCATGCACATGATTGTATCTTTCTAAAATCAAACTTATGATTGCACACTGGATTCCCAATACTAATCTATTGAACGTGACAGGTAGCCAGGAGGAGAATTCAACTGAGAAAACCAAGCGTGGTCTGAAGCCCTGAACGGGATAACCAGAAAATGAGCATATGATATGGACATGCCACCAATTCGGCGTGAGCAACTGAATGATGGCTGAACGGAAATTCCGATCACGGCCAGGCAAACCGGACATGCTCAACATCGATCCACTCTGCGACGTACCCTAATTCCTGAGAAGCCAATAGGTCCGGCGCCGCCCTTTTCGCCCTTGATGCCTCTGGAGCCGACTGGGCCACCTGCTCCGGGCAGGCCAGTGTCACCCTAGCACAACAGAATAATTCACACAATCCTATCATGCGGCTGTAGCCTAGAGACTGCCAGTTATAGTGTTGTCTGAGTGCAGGGATAAACTATTCTACCGTATTCTGAGAATATTGGAATGCACACTGCTAACACGATTATTTCAGTTGCATGTACAAAACTGATGACCCACAATGGAAACCCTGAACATAACCCCTAAAGAACTTCAAGATAATATTATGTATTATATTGTTTCTACAAGTAAGTTGTCACAATAGACAAGAATACGCACCACCTGTATTCAAGAATGACCTTGGAAGATACCGACTTTGGATCAATGCCAATACGGAGCCTGTTGTTTGTATAATTATTGCGTTAATAATACGGCTTGAACGGTCAAGCACTGAGGTGGAGCTGTACTGTAACACAATGATATCTATAATACAGGTACCCTCAACTCCGTATTGGGTCGAACGGCTTCCAGCAATCCCATGAGGGCTGATTCCTAAAAATGACACGCGCACCCAACTAACCTGTCGGCCTGGGTTGCCAGCGCGACCAGGTCCTCCACGTGTTCCCGCAGCACCTGGGGCACCGCGGGCACCTAGTGGTCCAGGAAGGCCATCTTGGCCGTCGGATCCCTGCTTTCCGTTGCGTCCCATGTCTCCTGTTGATCCCTAAACTCCAAGTCAAAACGCAAGAACAAAAACGTGTGCATGTGCACGTGAACAAACACACATGCACACGTCCACACCGCACACGTTGGAAGAAAGGATACACTTCAAGAAAGGATAAACTTCAAGAAAGGATAAACTTCAAGAAAGGATAAACTTCAAGAAAGGATAAACTTCAAGAAAGGATAAACTTCAAGAAAGGATAAACTTCAAGAAAGGATAAACTTCAAGAAAGGATAAACTTCAAGAAAGGATAAACTTCAAGAAAGGATAAACTTCAGAGGTTCAGTTTAAAACCCCGAATGTTGTTTTATTGTTTAAATCTAAAGTTCAAGTTGAAGTACTCGTAACTCTCCGTCTCCCTCTCCCAGTTAGTCTCTCTGTTGTGAACACGATATTATGTTTGAAATTGTGGACATGGTTTATCAGCAGGGCGAAACTCATCGAAATACTAAATCTAAAGAAACGTTCTTCGCAGGGAAGCTCACCATGGGATTGGGGAATGTGAGTATGGATGTGATTCTTCACAATGGCTATACAACTCCCCTACTTACTCCTGCTTAGAAGCAAGCACACGGGGCGCAGGGTAACTACAGGGGAAACAATGTGCGGGAGACGGGGACCCGGCGCATTCATAATCTACCTTAGCGAGACTTCTACACATAGCAGTGGACAGAAGATAAACCATGCAGGTAGGCATGCAGGCATGTTGATGATAATCTGTAATGGATGCCTATGCTAGTGCTGACCTTCTGTCCGTCATATCCATTGTTGCCTTGTTTGCCAGTATGTCCGCGACGACCCTGCATAGGGAAACATTTACAATTCGACACAGGCAGAACACCTCCAGATTTTCACCTTGCAATTTCAGTGTACTTGCACTACACTACAGTAGAGAGAACGAGTTTCACGGTTTTTTTTAAAATATGCACAACCATCAGGGAACTGGATAGTGAAAACAGGTAACTTCAACATAAAAGGAGAGCTAGGCGAGGTGGTGAAAGCATTGGCAAGTACTGTAGCACAAACTGGGCATTCATGTATCACCGGTGGTAAGGCCGTGAGCTGGGCAGTGTTCAGAAAACGGTACTAAAATTGTACGAGCTTGACTCAAACTTGTACAATTTTAGTAATTAATATTTGAGTGCTAAAGTTCTCGCTCCCGAGGAGCAGGGAGCGAGAAATTTGAAATGTATCACAGGTGACGGTGGTGTGTGTGTATGTAGGGGTGGGGTGGTAAGTGCTAAAACCACACAAGGAGTGCACCAGCATGGGTGCAGGTGGCATGACTGCGAAAGACTACCATTTTCACATGCCGCATCATGGGGAAAAAGTTGCCAAGATAGACCTTGTTTCCAAGATTACACTTAGAGATGAGCTCCAACCTTTTTGTTAGTAAGTCAGGTTTCACCAGTTGAAACAGACCGCACGACTTCTATACTAGTACACTTCTAGCAGTGAAATGTAGCGCCCAGCTCTCCTCGTGACCGACCTGTAGTATGCTGCGACAAATGCCGCAGTGTCAGACACAGTCCAACAGGTGGGATATCTAAACACACCGACCGGTGACACATCCCTGATCTGCAAGCTGGGCCAGTCTCTACTATGACTGTGTGTATTTGTGTATGTAATGCTAGTAGGTATGACCAATGGCAGGCCAGGCCTACATATAGCGCTGCAGCTTACCTTTTCTCCTCTCAAACCATCGGGGCCCTTGGGACCTTGCAGGCCATTTGCACCCTAGAAAGGTTTCAAATAGACAAAACACAAGTTGCCGAAACTGTTATTTTTGATATTCCACTATGAGCATTTGGCTTGTAGGCCATTGATATCTAAGCTTTTTTTATTTTTAAAGGTACACACACAATGGCAGTCACCAGATCAGATCAATGCCTTCCCAGCAGCTAAACTATCGTGGCCCGACCCAGGGATGATACTTCTTAATAATGATGGCCTCCTATCTCCATTGCTGCTTCAACCAGTCAAGTTTTATCCGGGCACCACAAACATTACAGTTTGAATCGCACTTATCTCACCGTGATTTCATGGCAAGTTTACCAGTGCCGAACTACTGGTAAGCTGGCAAAGAAACACGCCAGTGTCACTAACTCACACTACCTGATGTAATCGGAGACTCAAACGTGCAGAGTACTAGTAACACTATCTCTTCTAGAACATGCACTCCGAGTACGTACTGGTTGGCCGATTTCTCCCACAGAACCATCTGCTCCACGGCCGCCTGGAATTCCCTGCATCAAAGGCAGTAGTCAGACATCACATGATAAACATGTCAAGTACGTGTATGTGTGATTATTACATGCTTAGAAAGGCAAGCGCAAGAAGCAGTTCAACAATACAACTGACTTCCTTGAACAAGTACACAAGGTCCCATAAAAACAACTGATCTACGGAACAGTACTAATGGTGTATAGTGGGAAAGGATGGCATGGCCTACACCTGGCTTTATGATAGCGATCTCCTGTCAGGTGGTGGAAATCCATTGATATTACAGAAGAAGCTACTGTGCGCTTACATCTTTGCCAGGTCGTCCAGGCTGGCCATTTGCTCCGGAGGGTCCAGGTGGTCCCTTTGCACCTACAGAGCCTGTCTCGCCCATGTCACCATCATTTCCAGCACTCCCTTGTCTGCCCTCTCGTCCAGTTGCTCCGGATGGTCCAGGTGCTCCCTTTGCGGTTAACAAATCAACAAACAGAGCACATGTTTGACACGGATGTATGCATGAATCTCCAGTAGTACACTGCCGCAACACATATTCCTATGTACTCTGCTCTGGGCCTGAAGAAGGAGAGCTCTCACCTCCCTCTCCCTCTATGGTTGTAACGACACCAAGCCATACATATCCAAAAAGTAAAGTTCCCGGTGAAACAGCTGTTAAACAATACGCCACATGCAACTTGCAGTCACAGATTCCGTGCTACTGTAAAACAAATTGATTTTTTAGTATCCACCGCATGTGCAAGTATATGCTATCCACCTACCCGTGGTCCAGGTGGCCCGGTTGGTCCTTTCTGGAAAAGACAAAACACAATACAGGATACTTGCGGTGATGGATCAACACTGGACGGCCGGTGATAGGCCAGTGTCAAAAAAAGGTAATACCGTAAAAGTCCGTAAAAAAATTTCTTTCCAGCTTTCACTATGCAATATGGCGGTCCGCAGCCAACCCTGCACTACTTCTGGCTGATGTGAGGTGCGAGAAAGAACGTAAAAGTCCCGCAAATACTAGTAGGTACCTGTTCATTTTCAAATTGACGTAGTGGTCACACCCGTACCAACTTTCAGGCGTGGACTCACTTTCGGACCTGACTTGCGCGTAGTAGAGAAGTCATTTTCTCCACTGCATACCATAGCGTGCACATGTACGTGTGTATGCTTAGCCGCTACCCGCTGCATGTGCGAACTATATTATCCATTAGAACAGGCGCTTATTTACGTGCTTTAACAGTGGTCCAGTAAGAATGGTGAGGCTTCCTGCAGCATCATACATATAAAGTCGTGAAGAGCAGACTTCCAAACCTGATGAGGGCAATTTTGCCGAAATGTAACCACATGAACAATAATTATGATGAAAAGGAATTCAATGGTTGAAGAGTGATTGGGGAAGAACAGGTCTGCTTTGCACTGTTGTATTTACGGTGGTCGTTTACCTTAAAAAAATACTTATTTAGGTTTATTCACTCTGGCCTTTTTACCAAGACAGACATATTTCCTTTAGATGCATGGTTTGAAAGAAAAGCGCCAGGTGCAGGTGCAGGTGTAGTGTCAATGAAATTTAACTACTTGCAGCCTAGTCCAATTCACACATTTAACGTACGCCTTGAGAGAAGTTGTCACGGAAGACGGTCGTTCCCCAGCCCTCAGGACACGGTATGGTGACACCAGCTAGGGTTCGACAGACTATATCCTTGCCAGGCTCTCCAATTGGGCCAGGCTCTCCTCCCATTCCTTGCGTTCCCGGTGCTCCTGGGTTTCCTTCGGGACCATCGGCTCCATCGGCACCTGGCTCACCAGGCATACCATCCATTCCAGTACCTCCGGAGTTGCCTGGGGGTCCATCGGGGCCTTTCGGGCCAGGCCCTCCGGGTGGACCGGCAGGACCAGGTGGACCCTTGACGATTGGGGCCGCAGTGGTAGGTGCTGCATAACATGGCACACATGCACAAACACACATATACATGTACAGATGTGAGCATGTACACGCACCCACACCCACCCACCCACACCCACACCCACCCACACCCACCCACACCCACCCACACCCACCCACACCCACCCACATACACACACACACACACATGCATCCCACACAAACTCATACACACATGCACACAAATGCATGCAATTGCACCCACGCCCACCCACATCCATTCACGCACTTGCATACACAACACATACAGCCACGTCCACAAATGCACACACACACATAAGTTGTACATCCAAGCATGCACACGTGTACCGTGCACACATACACACACGTACACGCACATAAAGTTACTTAAAAGTACACGCACATACACAAACACACATGCAAACACCCATGCACACACATACACGCACCAGCACACACCAGCAGGTACACAAATTCACAATTAGCACATACATACAAACATGTGCAACATTGAATGGATAAATCATTGCGATGACTTACTTGTATTATGGTTTGAAGAGTTAAAAGCATGCACCCTGCAGTTCACAACCATAATTATTATAGCTAGTATTTATAATTCTTCTAGAAAGTGCAACGAGTACCTTCACCAAGTGGTGATATAGTGACTTACGTGCATCTACTTGTGAATACGTCACAGTAATCGGAACCGATGGGATTGTTCTCTCGCCAGTCACAGAGTTTTCCAGGAGGAATGTGATGCTGTACTCGCCGGTTGCACCGTCCGGGAAGTCGAAGAACTCCTGACTGAGGGGAAGAACTCGATTCTGCGTCTGCCCTCCGGCCGTTCGCCAAGTGACCACCCACTGATCATACTTGCTTCGCAGCTCGTCAGTGAGCGTTGGACGCTGTACTTGGTAACGAGTGTTCTCCAGCTGATATTGCCAGGAAAAGCTGAAATCACTTGGAACCGTTCCCCCATAGCCAAAGTTCTCGTTACCAACGGAAGAGGTGACCACACTACCATCAGAGCCGTATCCAGCATATCTAATCGAATAGTAACCATAAGGAAAGTTACTTATCGTGTCTGGGAAGTCAAAACGGGACAGTCCGGACTTTGAGTATTGCGTGGCCTCATACGACTGTGTAGCTTCATTCCACCTATAGATATCATATGACCAGGTGGTGATCTTGTCCAAGACTTGCAATGGCAACACATTGAGGTTGGGAAGGTTGACAGACAAGTCAGCTGCAGAGAAGTATGAGGAGGAAATCAGCATATCAACCATCATCACCACGCCTTATGATTACATCACTAGTAAAGCATTGAGTCTGGGCTTAGACTGTGACCTGTGACCTGACAGTCACCACACCAGGTTGGGTTGGTGGTAAAGACACACCGGCGGAGAGAAACGTGGCGTTACGCGGCATGTACACGCCCACACATGCTCTCCAAATTTGAAAAGTATCAATCTGACACAAAGACGCTCCTTCTCCAATGACCAGGCATCAGCTTGCAGCCACTGTTGCCTGGTCAATACATGGCTGGTGAAACCCGATGCTCAGAAGGATAATAGTACTTAATCCATATTTAGGGCTTGCGCCTCCGATCATGGGAAATATGTTCATTGCAATGAGGTAGCACTGAGTGATGCGGCAGAGTCACTAGTAGCTCCAAACTATCTTAGCAGCCAAACACCATGACTGGAAGGCACTTTCAAATACCTACATGGTAATATATAGAATACAGAGGGTCTGTTTTCCAAATTTCTGTGTCTTTGGGGCGGTGGCCAGTTGAACCTGGGAGTTCCAATATCTGGTTCACGAGCTGTTGTACGATCCGAAAATTCATTTTTGAAAATTCCCGTCCCGGATACGACAGGCAGCTAGAATGGTGCCCGCGCAGATGAGGGTGAACATTAATGGTGGGGAAAATCTGGTCCGACCTGAAAACGTGGGCGCATCTTTCAGTTCAAGTTCCCCACAAGTTTGACTGCTTCGCCGACTTTAAAGACAATTCCCAAAATGAAGACCGTAGTGCCGGTATTCAACCACAGACCGAGCACAATGCCTCGTGCCGATTGATGTTGAACGTCACAACAACCGCTGCAAAGCATGCTGTGTGGCTCTTGTAGGATATTACAAGCTACTATTCTTGGTATGATACTGTGCAGACAGTACAGCTAATAGCACAGGAAGGAGAGCTGTATTTCTTACCACTTGGTGTATTGACCATGACCGATGGGGCTGATATTGTTCTTCCACCGGGTCCTTCCAAGTGGAAAGTGAAATCGTAATTAGTGTCACCCGCTAGCCCGGTGAGCCGTGTTTGCTCAGTAGCCAAACCGGTCAGCGGTACTCTCAATGTTTGTGTGTCTGAGCTTCCTCGTTCGGAGTAAGTGACGACCCAATTTGTGTAGTCCGCCCTCTGTTGACTTGACGTCGTCGGCAAGATCAGGTCTGTACCGCCTCTATAGTTGTTGTCATGGAAAAACGTGGCTCCAGCTAGGGTTGAAATACTGTCCTTGTTGGGTACTGTAAATCAACAGAAATATTGAAAAACAGAAGTTTTGCGGAAAGGATACGATTGCATGTTAATTGCAGTTGCGAACTGCGGTCCCCGCTACACACTGGCGGTGTAATAATCCCAGCCTACAACCCACTATGATGGTGTGTTCAGTGATCTCCAGGATGTTTTCAACATCAGACACCCAGAAACATATGGTTTCATAATCTATTACCTCCCATATCAACAAGAATATCCAATCGGCACACCACCCAGTCGTTAGTTAATCCGAGGCTCCCTTTTGTTAAGGTCTGATTTACACTACTTTGATAGTGGCTCTGATTTACACTACTTTGACAGTTGCTCGTAATGACAAACCGGTACTTACAAGTACTATTTTCGTAAAAAAGAAAATCACAGCAGAACATGACCAGCAAAAGCTCACAAGTCACATCACATACCTCTTACTCCATACTCTGCAGTGCCAGCAGCTTGCAAGCTTCCACCATTCATGTCTTGAACGTACCAGTGATAGTAACCCGCGGGTACTTCATACCGCAAGGGAAATTCCGATGCTGGAACTGCCCGCCGGTCTCTGTACGACTCCCATGTGTTAGTGACGTCATTAAAGCGGCTCACGAACACATCCACGGGCCCTCTGGAATTACTCGGATAGTTGATTGTAATGGGATACACTCTCGGTTGTGTTGGCCTGGGAGGATTAGTTGGTGGCAGAAGGGTGAACGAAGTTCCCTGAACGCTAAACTCTGAAGAATACACATGATCAAACAAAAATCCGTCAGACATAGCAATAGATATTAGACCGTAGCAAACTTCCCAGCCCATGGTCACGCGATCCCAATCAGCCGTAGGTTAAACTTACGGTAGAAAGCCGGGCCTCCAAGGAACAACTCAGCACCGGTGGTACTACTGCTTGCCTCAGCGGAGAACGAGTATTGTCCCGGTGGCAACTCCAACACCACATTGGACGAGCTGGTTGGAACTTGAAGAGTAGAAGTAGGACCATCAACCTGGAGACAGAAAAAGCCCATCAATAACATGCGTAGTAAATCACCCGGGAAAAGCAAAGAGTGCTGCCACTATAAATTACATTGCTCACAGCTAGTAGCTTTTAACGACGCATAGCAATAAACTTTTGCGGCGTGCAAATTTTGTGTTTTCAAGAATTTCGCTGGTTCATGATGAGAATTTTTCGTGATTTGATCTGTTCAGTTGGATCTTGTGCTGCCTACAGTCAATGTACAGAGCAGTTTGCAGCGATTTATGTTCGCGAATGTGTGATGGTCGCAAAAATAGCGAAATTTAATCTCCAGCGAAAGCTTCTCACTTTACAGTAGCAGAATTACAGAGAAGCCATGAAGCCATGATGGATACAAAATATAATTATTATAATTATTATTATAGTCACATGCCAAATAACAGGACATGTAAGTTAACACAGGGCACGCATTATGGACAGAACGGTTATTCAAATCTGAATATGAATCATCCATGCTTCATCATAACCTGGTCTAACCACCCACTACGGTACACATTCCATGTGTTTGGAAGGACTCGGATGGAGAACCAAGGATTATTTTATAACAAAGAAAAGGACAAAGGAACTACAAGTTACGCCATACTGTCCACTAACACCACCAGTTACTTGACAATCAGCTCATGCGATAACATTGCACGACACTGACCGACGGTACTGACGTTCTACAACTAACTGTCAGTCAGCACTAGCACGTCTTGGATGCGCACTCCAACAGCCTTATTACTTGGAAGGTTCTAAGTTGTAGGAATAACAGAGGAGGGGAATGTGCACACAACCAAGACAGGCACAAGTTGACAGTCTCAGCTGCGAAAGATGTTGGCGGATGTACATGCGCATCGATGACGATAGCGGCAAGACCACTGGACAATACGATTGATCGGCAGCTAGTTGTAGAACGTCAGTACCGTCGGTCAGTGTCGTTGAATGTTATCGCATGAGCTGATTGTCAAGTAACTCGTGGTGTTAGTGGACATTATAGCGTAACTTGAAGTGGTTCCTTGGTCCTGTCCATGTGTTAGGTGTGAGTTTGCCCTAGGCCTCCAAACACGCCTATACCCACCCAGAGGTACTCACCGGACCATAGCTCAACGTGTACGTGTCGTAAGTGTTCTCATTACCAGAAGTCAGTGGTGGGAGGTCGACGCTCACATCGAAATTACCATTTGGCTTGTTTGAGTCCGGCACAACGAATATTTGTCCAAATTGATCATTTTGGAAGGGAAATTCACCTGTGTGGTGCAATATAGCAAGCACATGCATGCACACAACACACACACACACACATACACACACACACACACATATGCATATACACACACATGCACACACACACACACACACACACACACACACACACACACACACACACATACACACACACAAACAAACACAAACACACTTGTACTTGTACTTGCTCACTGCCAAAACTGGTCACGTGGGTCTATGATCCCACTTATGAAGTTATGGGCTCACCACACTGCAGTAAGTGGGTGAGGACAAGGCGCAGAAAAAGGACAGACGGCATCAGGGTATCCGTCCCGGGATCCAACTCCAGTTACCCCTGCCCCCAGTGAATGTAATACGTGCTACTAGTGTGGGTGACTAAATCAGAGTGGATTATATGTTTCACTAGCACAATTGATTACACAAGAGTTAATCTAGCCAGAAGCAGTCCATGGTTAAGAGGTCTGTATATTTCAAATAGAAAGTATATGAACCCTGAAACCAACAAAGGTGGCAGGTACAACATTACACCTTCAAGCAGCCGAGCCCGCTGGCAACAGACCCAACACTAGCTGGCATAAGTGTACCCACCACCCTAACTAGCTGACACACACACATACACACACACACACACACACACACACACACACACACACACACAAACTGAAAATTATCATCATGACCAACTGAAGACTGCTGGCATCACTTAGCTGCATGGCAGAATAAATGTTCCGTTAGTTGAGAAGCTCTAAAATCTACATGAGACTCGACGTCACACCTCTGGAAACAGACCACCACGTCGTCGTACACTTTAAACAGCACAAGAGCCAGTACGCATCCTTGCAGCAAACCATTCCTGACGGATATGTGATCAGTGCAACCACCAGCCATGAAAAGATGCCACCATATACACATGGAACAACTTCCGACTAGAGCCACATTCCGGAGGTCCACAAAGACGAAAAGCAGTTTGGAGCAGTGCTCATACAAGTTCTCTACAAGTCGAAGGACCAAAAGGATGCCCTCAGAACACCCATGAGTTTGCGGGAACCTGCACTGAAACTCAGGCAAGTCAGCCTCAGTAAGAACTTGTAGCCGATCCTTCATGACCCAAGCAGCTAGCTTTCCCACATCCTCCGGAAATGCTATTTCTCGCCAATTGTCACAAACAAGAAAATTCGCCCTTCTTAGAAATTGGTTCGAATAGCACATCACGTCACACACACCCACCCACGTACACACACACACACAAACACACACACGCACACAGATGCGCACACACACAAGCACATGCACACACATGCACACACAGACAAGTGTGCATACCAGTGACTGATCCTGTTTTTGTCGAACTTTTAAACTATAAACATAGTCTTGCAAGTTGAAAGTATTGTAGAGAGACAGAGTCACGTTCTCTATCTGGTTCCGTACAGTGTTGTTTTGAGACCACAACATTGCCAAATTTGCACACCGGTTTGCTTTCTACTTTCTGCGCAGTGTCGTTTTCGGCACCCTTTCCCCAGCTTGTCACCTTGCGTACCGGTGATCATTTTCACACCCTATTTTTTTTATGCACATAAAATCTGACATACCTTTGGCTGTGTATAGGCGTTCCTTTTCGCCTCTATCGGGTATGCATAACCCATATCTGGTATTTTTCTACTTTGCAGTAGGCATTTTCCAACTGTCGTATTCCTTGGCGCATCACTTTGTGCCAATGCCCGACTTTGTATTACCTATTGTCATACATCATGATCCTCTTTGTCAAAACACACTGTAGAGTGATGATCAAGTGCTGTGGCTGTGTTGAGCTTGACCCGTGGGATCCTTTCTAGGGGAACCGCAATGGAATTCTCCGACATTCATCCGACCAAGTACTACTCCTGTTTGTTTCCCTGATAACGCTTGATGCCCGACAATGTGGGCCTTGCATCCATGACTCTTACATTAAGAGTATAAGGTGCTATACATTGAGCCGGTTAGGATTTGATACGCACACCAGCTCACATGAGTCAAGGCATAGCTTACTTGTCTGGAGCGCACGCTGTCAGCTAGTTGCATGGTTAATACTAGGCTTGCACCGGTGTGTGTGTGAGGGGGGGGGCATATCAGTGTGATCGCTGCGGCCGTTGGTTCTTGAGCTGTGGTGGCCTTGCCCGTCACAAGTGGCTCAGTCCCCAGTCACAGTAGAGCCGTGTTGTGGTGTGCACTGTGCGTCCTGAGGCCGCTGCTTCCGTTCGGTCCAGGGCAGGAAAGACACTGCTGCTCCGGTTCTCCCCCGACCATACGTCAGTCTCGTGGTAACAGTCGCAGGTGACCTGAATCCTCGCAAACTCTCGTTTTTGTGTCCCGGACGCCGTGGGACGACGTTCTTCTATTCTCTCTCCCTTGCCCCTCCGGGGCCCACGTGAACCTTGTGGAAGTGGCTCGACAGGACAGGATAGGTGTGTGTGTGTGTGTGTGTGTGTGCCACGGTGTGTGTGCGTGTGAATGTGTGTGTTGTGGATGTGTGCAACTCACCAGCGTTGTTCTGCATTGCATTGAAGTACGTTCATGTATGTAGCGATGTGCATGCTCCCGATCCATATACACACGCGTCATATAACACGCATAAGTACATAAATGTGATCATTGTGATGTTCATGCTGATGTTATGTGTCAAGTACTTCTTATGGACTAGTAGAAATCTCAACACACCACAAGCCTGCCGTTGCCCTTTACAAAGAAGGGTCACACTACAAGCCTGCCGTTGCCCTTTCCAAAGAAGGGTCACACTACAAGCCTGCCGTTGCCCTTTCTAAAGAAGGGTCACACTACAAGCCTACGGTTGCCCTTTACAAAGAATGGTCATCAGACATGGTGAACAACATGATTTCGTCACAGACGTTTATCCACTCGGAAATGCAAATTAACTCTTGATATTTGAAATCATGCGGCGTGTATTGTTAGCAGGCCAGTGCCATTGCAATCCACTGATGATAAGCGACAACCTTGTACTTAATCATACCTGCATTGAAATTGACTCCTTCAGTAGCGAGGTGATGCCTTATTCCATTAGCGTCCGTTCCAAAAACCCGCACAACATGACCACCAGGATTAAGAGTCACAGGCTGTGGAAATACGGCAGGCTTTACCGTTTGTGAGACATCATACTGCTGGGTGCCGGTGTTGTATGTGTGCACCTCAAGGTCATAGCTGACCGGGTTGATGTAACTGGGAACGTTCCGAGGTGTAAATACTGTATGCGTTGTCTGTATAACCTGGGGTGGTTGAGCTGTTAGGAATGTTCAAGAGCCAACAACATCAAACATCAAGTCTGAGATAGCGAGAGAAAATGAGAGTGAGTAGGAGGGAGTGTGGAGAGGAAGAGGGAGGGTAGGGGCAGAAACAGAGGCAGAGGCAAAGGCACGAGGAAAGGGAGAGGGAAAGGAAGAGGGAAAGTACGGGAAAGGTGAAGGAAATGTAGAGGGAGTGGATAGAGGGATAGGGACATAAAGGCCATAAATATGTGCTTGGCCAGCTTATTCTCTGCCGGAGTAACGTAGTTTTCTGCCAAGCTTGGTGTGTAAGCTACAGTCCATTCAGAAAAAGATGAGCGCTGGCTCTGGAGAGCTCTCGTTTTTGGTGATTTTCTGGTACACTCTGCAGTGCCGCTAGATTCGAAACTTGAAAAACGGTCCAAAAAACGTACCTCAACTGGGGTTCGAACCGCAAATGTACTGTTATGCAAGTGGGGTGAACGGCCTGGATGTTCATGGTTTTTCCCCAATTCAGTGCTTTGGGGCAAAATCTGACCGAAATCCTATTCTTGTTATGGCTTGCTCATTGGAGAAATAGACTTCAAAAACACAATTGGAAGAGCATTCCATGGGGGCTTGCCAAAAAAATGTGATGAGAACTCAAAATTTGACCCGTTTATGGCCACAAGCTAGGATATCATCTTTTTCTGAATGGACTGTAGAGGCGACGGTTTCAAATAGGACACAGGTTGCAAACCGGAACGGACTCAATATTCACTTTCTCTCTTGGTATTTTGATTAGAAAACATGTCACAGTGAGACTACGATGTGTTTTACTCCGAGACAAAATTTCAGGGCTCTGCGATGACCAGAAGCGCCATACCAAGCAGGTGAGTTTTTGACGTGTTGCTTTGCACTGCGACTTGAGTTTTACGACTTTCGAAAAATCAACTTCTTGTCGTAGGTAAACAGCGGCTCGCCTCTCGCAAATGAAGTACCGCATACCAATCAAAACTAATGGAAGCATGCACAAGGCTTATTGTTACTCTGTACTGGCCGTCGTGGAGCGATGGCAATTACCTAATTTCAGACCCAGAGTGAATTTGACGTGCACTCTAAAACCTGTCCGGTTTGGAGCCACCTCTGATTTGAAGCGAAAAATTGGGCAAATTGGAGGCAATGGGTCTACACAAAGGAGTGGCTCAGTTCGATTGACTCTGGCCTCAGAGCAAACTTTAACATGCCATTTTCCTTCCACAAACATATTTCGAGTGAACAATCAACGCTGATGACCGGTTTGGGTCTATACAAATTTGGCTGTCAAGCCGTTCCAGGATCGAACCGTCGCCTCTATACTCCGCTTTGGAGACATGCCAAACTCCACTTTGCTTTTGTGAGTTCTTAAGTTCAAGTACAGGGGCGTCGGAAGGTATTTTAGTGTGGTACGGTCAGCCATCTGAAGTACAATTTACTCGTGGGGGGGGGGGGTGGCTGATCCGAAAATTTTGGGAATTTAGAGCCCAAATCAGTGCATTTTATTGATCCACAGGTACTTGGGGCAAATAGTGGTACGGTCAATACCCTAGTGACTGTACCGTGTCCGATCCCCCTGAAGTATACCGGTAAGTCGGTGAGCGGATTTCTGGGCTATTTTCGTCGACATAGAAGTGAAGAATCTAACATTTGTTAGAATACCGGTATAAATAATACCTAACTGTGAGCATCCTTGGTTGGGTGGTCTGTTGCTTTGCGTCGTCAGGTTGCAACTAGTCCGATGTCCAATTGTCGTCCTAGTCTCGTCAACATAGTGTAACATTGGGCAGTCTTTGTTGCGGTGGGGCGAATCTTTGTTGCGCTGTCCTTTCCCTGATTGAACTTTTCTGTACCTGAGCCTTTCAAGTCAGAGCGTTGTTGGTTTGCGCTTCTTAGATGAATTGGAGCTCAGTCATTGAATGGCTCAGTTCTCCTTCCAGTTTTGTGCCTTGTCATCGCACTATATGACTGTATATTATGGTGACGTTGGTGTACTGCCAGAAATAACTCATAGCAAATATTGTCCTTCCTCTTATATTTTTTTTGACGGTTCGCGTGAGACTCGGTTACTCTATATAGAGGCCGAGTTTTCCGCATCCGTAGGAACGCCACCACCCTTCAAGGATCAAAGCGCAGATGCAGCTCCTAAAACGGTGGGAGGTGAGTAGATCAGCTCACCAGCATGTGGTCAAAGACCGAAAATCCCATTCACTGCATCCATGCTTTCCTCTTGTACATGTACTTCAAAGTTTATTAGCTCGCCATCCATGTCTAATCTTTGTTTCAAGATGGACTTGGGCTGGACCACTCAAAGAAAAAGCATGGAAAGTAAGAATTTTCGGCCAATACGGACTTTGCTCAGTTTTTCATAACCCACTGGCTGAGTGTCACACTATCAAGCAAAATTCCTTACATGCGATTACATCATACATCAGCAGGTGTTACATGCGATTACATCATACATCAGCAGCAGGTGCAAAACGAAGGAGGACTGTGTTACTTTTAAGGAAATCTTGACAGAAAGCAATTACATAGGCAGCAGCAGCACTTGGACTTACTAGCTGGCGGTTGCGTTTCCTGAATAACTGCAACAAAACATCATTGACAGACAAAGTAGAGCCAACATAGTGAGTGCGTTGAAGAAGGAAAACAGGATTTATTTTCTAGATTATAGGACATGCTCAGTTTTCCCTGTGCTGTGCTGACGAATGTACAGCTGATGAAATCATACCATCTGTAGATCGTGAATCTTGCTCTTACTCTTATAGTGGTAGAATACCCTTGTTGGGGGTAGTTATACCCTTGTTGGGGGTAGTTATACCCTTGTTGGGGGTAGTTCCTTTGCCATTTATGCTTGAGCTCATTGGCTTGCCAGCGTGAGCGCTACGACAAAAAGTAGGTTCAGGTCTGATATAGATTCTGGTTTTGAAAAGCTTGCTACTCCAAGGTTGGTTTTCGCCGACGTATTTCTCCTTCTCTGTCATGAGATACGGATCATACAGTACTAGAATCATCAAGAGTGTCATCATGAGATGGAGTGTCGCAATAGTATCTACCATGCTCTAGGTAGGGTATAGTGCTCCGCCCTGCAGTGCCGCATGATCAGCTCTTTTCACTCTCTAGTTTTATCGTTGGACCTATACATTGACAGAGGGTCGGCTTGCAGTTTGGCACATGGCTTTTGCCAGGCGTGTCCACTAGTTGAGGTGTGTATATTTCAAGCGCAACTGAGTGGTTGCGACTAGGAAGTTAGGAAGTCCTCAGGATTAAGGTATTCCGTTCTTCAGTTTAAGGTTGAGCCACTCATGTGCAAAGCTCTGTTCCTACTGGGCTTGCCACTTTCCCTTCTATTAAAGGGGAAGTTAAACCTAAAATCAAATTTCACCAGTTGTAGTCTTCGGGTTGCTGAGTCGAATGGTCTTGGTCCGAGGAAGCTGAGATGCTCCCTTCCTCCTTTATTCCTAATCGAACTCGCGCACTTCCATCGAAACTGGGTGACTGTGCGAAAAGGCTGCGATGCAGCGTTCCTCCTTTATTCCCAATCGAACATGGTTGAACAAGCGGTCACGTGCCCCTGCGTACACAAGTCACCTGGTCACCGTGCCTGCAGGGTACAATTTACAGCCTGTTTGACCTTTTTTGGGTGCAGTCCTGTCACTCGAGTTGAACTCGAGTTGATCCTTGTTGTGAAAGTTGTCGCCTGCTGGCGCGGTGACCAGTTGACTTGGGCACGCAGGAGCACGTGACTGCTTGCTCAACCATGTTCGATTGGGAATAAAGGAGGAGCGCTGCATCGCAGCTTTCTCAGACCAAAACCAGTCAACTCAGCGTCCAAAAGACTACAACATATGGGCCAATCGCGGTCATCCGTGCTTTTATAAGAACGAAATGGCGCTTTTAGTGACATTTTGCATACAAATCCCCATCTAGTAGGGCGCAGTCACCCAGTTTCGGTGGAAGTGCGCGAGTTCGATTGGGAATCAAGGAGGAAGGGAGCGTCTCAGCTTCCTCGGACCAAGACCATTCGACTCAGCACCCCGAAGACTAAAACTGGTGAAAATGTGATTTTAGGCTTAACTTCCCCTTTAAATAATGGTCACGTGCAGTACCGCTGATTGCATTCTTGCCTGCCGCTGCATCTGTCAAGTTCTGGGTGGCCACGATGCCAATGAATTTTAGCATAGCTTTGAACATGAAACCACTTGGTGTGTACAGTGTTATAATAAGGTATTTGCGGCAGGGGTGTCGGACAGGCTACAGTCAATACGGTACTGACCGCATCAGTCTTTTCTCCGGGTATCCTGTGAATCAATACGTGGTATTGGTTTCAACTCTAAATTTCGAATCTTTTTAGAGGAGCCAACCCCCTCCCCAGTAAGTTGTACTTCAGATGGCTGACCGTACGACCCTAAAATACCTTCCGACGCCCCTGATTCCGATCCCTGATTGAAGTATGATAAGGTCGGCACTGGTTCAACATGGTTGTGAGTATTGATGTAGAAGTGTATATCATTGTGGTATTACGCTACTGACATTTGTGTTACCCAGTCAGCCAGTAACAAACGAGACTCATCAGGGTGGCCGGGTTTATTGGGAAGGTGACACGATTACTGAACAACGTAAATGGGAGTCTACGTAAATTACTGACCAACAACTGACCAATGACGAGATCGAAGAACAGAACAAAGAACAAAAAGAACAAAAGAATACAAAAACCCGAGAGACAACCACTCAGTGTCCAAGCAAGGTGCAACTAGCAAACCCAGTACAGACTTGCGCTGGTATCAACTTGACGTGAACACCTCACAATCATAGATGACATCACCCACATGCTACAGCCCCCGGTTGCATGCCGCACAGGAAGATGGTGAAGTATTGCGTTGTGAATGAGAGACAGGATAGGGTACTTGACAGCAATGGAATACCTACTCACAAGCACGACCGACATTACCTACACCCCGCATGACCGGAAACACGTCACACCATGCATGTGGGGCACGTCACACCATGCATGTGGGACACGTCACACCAAGCATGTGGGCCTCTACAATTCAACAAGACATCCATTACCTGCATCACACAGTTTGACGTCGCCCGGTACACCATACCAACGATAGATACCAAAAAGTAAGCATGAACGGGAGACAGTTCGGCGTGAGCTAATGGGAACCTACTGAACGTTTTCCCCAGCACTTGATACAAAACTCGATTTCATTATTACTCTTTGTTATGGTGATTGTTTGATTCCCCTCTGAGAATGTACCGTACCTGTTACAGATGTCGGTGGTAGCGGTGGTACAGTTTCTGGTGGCGCAAGTGTATTAAGACCACCAACCCCAGTGGCTGAAGGGAGAAAGCACAAAGACACAAACAACAGTATACAATACAGTTGATGGAGGGGTCCTGGGTTTTACTTAATTGGCACTTAGTGTGCCTGTACGCGGTGCAAATGCAAGGATGGAATACATTGCATAAAAAAGCTCCGACGCTGCTGTTATCCCAAACTAGAAAATAAATCTTCGCATGTGGTTGTTTGCTGAAAAGAATATTCCCGTGTTAGATCATCAAGTTTAAGGTTAATCCACTCAGTTGTAAATCTCTTTCCGAGTCTGATCCTTGCTGAGCATTTCAGGAAAGTAAGTTGGCTACTCCCAACATTCGAGGTTGCTCTTTCATGCTGACTGAATTGACTCTTTAAAAGTAGAGTCTTTACTGACTCTTGACTGCCGCGCAGAGCAAAACAGAGGCTCATCTAAATTTGTTCTGAGCATTGTTGATTAATTTTACTTCATGTTGAACGCTCTCTGCTGGGATGACAACTACACCATAGCTCAGTGGTTAGAGCATCGCTGGCCTCAAGAGAGGGTCAAATTGGAGGCAATGGGTCTACACAAAGGAGTGGCTCAGTTCGATTGACTCTGGCCTCAGAGCAAACTTTAACATGCCATTTTCCTTCCACAAACATATTTCGAGTGAACAATCAACGCTGATGACCGGTTTGGGTCTATACAAATTTGGCTGTCAAGCCGTTCCAGTATCGAACCGTCGCCTCTACACTCCGCTTTGGAGACATGCCAAACTCCACTTTGCTTTTGTGAGTTCTTAAGTTCAAGTACAGGGGCGTCGAAAGGTATTTTAGTGTGGTACGGTCAGCCATCTGAAGTACAATTTACTCGTGGGGGAGGGGTGGCTGATCCGAAAATTTTGGGAATTTAGAGCCCAAATCAGTGCATTTTATTGATCCACAGGTACTTGGGGCAAATAGTGGTACGGTCAATACCGTAGTGACCGTACCGTGTCCGATGCCCCTGAAGTATACCGGTAAGTCGGTGAGCGGATTTCTGGGCTATTTTCGTCGACATAGAAGTGAAGAATCTAACATTTGTTAGAATACCGGTATAAATAATACCTAACTGTGAGCATCCTTGGTTGGGTGGTCTGTTGCTTTGCGTCGTCAGGTTGCAACTAGTCCGATGTCCAATTGTCGTCCTAGTCTCGTCAACATAGTGTAACATTGGGCAGTCTTTGTTGCGGTGGGGCGAATCTTTGTTGCGCTGTCCTTTCCCTGATTGAACTTTTCTGTACCTGAGCCTTTCAAGTCAGAGCGTTGTTGGTTTGCGCTTCTTAGATGAATTGGAGCTCAGTCATTGAATGGCTCAGTTCTCCTTCCAGTTTTGTGCCTTGTCATCGCACTATATGACTGTATATTATGGTGACGTTGGTGTACTGCCAGAAATAACTCATAGCAAATATTGTCCTTCCTCTTATATTTTTTTTGACGGTTCGCGTGAGACTCGGTTACTCTATATAGAGGCCGAGTTTTCCGCATCCGTAGGAACGCCACCACCCTTCAAGGATCAAAGCGCAGATGCAGCTCCTAAAACGGTGGGAGGTGAGTAGATCAGCTCACCAGCATGTGGTCAAAGACCGAAAATCCCATTCACTGCATCCATGCTTTCCTCTTGTACATGTACTTCAAAGTTTATTAGCTCGCCATCCATGTCTAATCTTTGTTTCAAGATGGACTTGGGCTGGACCACTCAAAGAAAAAGCATGGAAAGTAAGAATTTTCGGCCAATACGGACTTTGCTCAGTTTTTCATAACCCACTGGCTGAGTGTCACACTATCAAGCAAAATTCCTTACATGCGATTACATCATACATCAGCAGGTGTTACATGCGATTACATCATACATCAGCAGCAGGTGCAAAACGAAGGAGGACTGTGTTACTTTTAAGGAAATCTTGACAGAAAGCAATTACATAGGCAGCAGCAGCACTTGGACTTACTAGCTGGCGGTTGCGTTTCCTGAATAACTGCAACAAAACATCATTGACAGACAAAGTAGAGCCAACATAGTGAGTGCGTTGAAGAAGGAAAACAGGATTTATTTTCTAGATTATAGGACATGCTCAGTTTTCCCTGTGCTGTGCTGACGAATGTACAGCTGATGAAATCATACCATCTATAGATCGTGAATCTTGCTCTTACTCTTGTAGTGATAGAATACCCTTGTTGGGGGTAGTTATACCCTTGTTGGGGGTAGTTATACCCTTGTTGGGGTAGTTATACCCTTGTTGGGGGTAGTTATACCCTTGTTGGGGGCAGTTTTACCCTTGTTGGGGGTAGTTTTACCCTTGTTGGGGGTAGTTATACCCTTGTTGGGGATAGTTATACCCTTGTTGGGGGCAGTTTTACCCTTGTTGGGGGTAGTTTTACCCTTGTTGGGGGTAGTTATACCCTTGTTGGGGATAGTTATACCCTTGTTGGGGGTAGTTATACCCTTGTTGGGGGTAGTTATACCCTTGTAGGGGGTAGTTATACCCTTGTTGGGGGTAGTTATACCCTTGTTGGCGGTAGTTATACCCTTGTTGGCGGTAGTTATACCCTTGTTGGCGGTAGTTATACCCTTGTTGGGGGTAGCTATACCCTTGTTGGGGGTAGTTATACCCTTGTTGGGGGTAGCTATACCCTTGTTGGGGGTAGTTATACCCTTGTTGGCGGCAGTTATACCCTTGTTGGCGGCAGTTATACCCTTGTTGGGGGTAGTTCCTTTGCCATTTATGCTTGCGCTCATTGGCTTGCCAGTGTGAGCGCTACGACAAAAGTACGTTCAGGTCTGATATAGATTCTGGTTTTGAAAAGCTTGCTACTCCAAGGTTGGTTTTCGCCGACGTATTTCTCCTTCTCTGTCATGAGATACGGTACTAGAATCATCAAGAGTATCATCATGAGATTGAGTGTCGCAATAGTTTCTACCATGCTCTAGGTAGGGTATAGTGCTCCGCCCTCCAATGCATCAGCTCTTTTCTCTGTCTAGTTTCATTGTTGGACCTATAAATTGACAGAGGGTCGGCTTGCAGTTTGGCACATGGCTTTTGCCAGACGTGTCCACTAGTTGAGGTGTGTATAATTTCTAGCGCAACTGAGTGGTTGCGACTAGGAAGTTCGGAAGTCCTCGAATCCAGGTACTCCGTTCTTTTCTTAAGGTTGAGCCACTCATGTGCAAAGCTCTGTTCCTTCTGGGCTTGCCACTTTCCCTTCTATTAAATAATGGTCATGTGCAGTACCTCTGATTGCATTCTTGCCTGCCGCTGCATCTGTCAAGTTTTGGGTGGCCACAATGCCAATGAACTTTAGCATAGCTTGGATTATTAGCTTCGCACATGAAACCACTCGGTGTGCACAGTGTTATAATAATGTATTTGCGGCAGGGGTGTCGGACAGGCTACGGTCAATACGGTACTGACCGCATGAGTCTTTGCCCCGGGTATCCTGTGAATCAATACGTGGTATTGATTTCGACTCTGAATTTCGAATCTTTTTAGAGGAGCCAACCCCCCCCCCCCCCCTCCCCAGTAACTTGTACTTCAGATGGCTCACCGTACCACCCTAAAATACCTTCCGACGTTGCCCCTGCATTCCGATCCCTGCATTCCGACACCCCTGATTCGGATCCCTGATTCCGATCCCTGGTTGAAGTATGATAAGATCGGCACTGGTTCAACATGGATGTGAGTAATGATGTAGAAGTGTATATCATTGTGGTATTACGCTACTGACATTTGTGTTACCCAGTCAGCCAGTAACAAACGAGACTCATCAGGGTGGCCGGGTTTATTGGGAAGGTGACACGATTACTGAACAACGTTAGGCCCTCTTCAGACTAGGTACAAAACAGCCTATAAGTCACATTTACATAGAAGTTTCCAAGACAACAACAAGAATCTGGCGGGAAGCCTAAAAAGCTGCCCAATCCTTTCAGGCAGGGTGCCAACCCTTGTACAAGGCAACTTTCCTGCATTTATCGTACTTTCACCAGGCAGTTGTACGAACTTTGTACCCGGGTACGACTGTCCGCTGCTTTCACACATCCCAGGCCCCTTGCGCAATTTCGTAGGGTCAAAGGTTGCCTGTATATTGCATGTAAAATGTGTAGTCTGAATGCAGGCATGGAAAAATGTTGCCTTTTAGGTTTTATGTGATTTTGTACTGGATTTTCTATGTACGTAGTCTGATGAGGGCCTAAATGGGAGTCTACGTAAATTACTGACCAACAACTGACCAATGACGAGATCGAAGAACAAAACAAAAAACAAAGAGAACAAAAGGAATACAAGAACCCGAGTGTTGTCGCCACTCGCCTGTTCTGTAAATGTTTCAAGACAGCCTCTTGAATGATTCTCGTTTTGACCTTACCTTGTCTGTTTATTTATTTATTTTCCTCTGAGTCACGTTGGTGCGAACGTGCACGTGGACATGCTCCAGCTTACAGCCATGTCGTCTGTTCCGTTATTACGAGTGTCCATGCTATTGTTCTGCTGTCACTGATAATTCTCTCCTTCTGTCTAGTCGCGTTCTACTCTGCTTCTCCGTCTCTCTTCTATTCTGTTTCTGCTTCAAACATGTAGTTGTTTGAGCTGCTCTCATGATAATTTATTAATTTTGTATTTTTGAAACCCTTTGTACGCACGATCATCATCATGCGCTTGTACAACTGCGCTGTGCTGCAGCCTGTATGACTGAGCTATGACTATGACTATGAAGTATGAGTCATGCTCGCACTATGATGCCTTTTGTGTCACGTGTACGTGTATGTCGTGGCGCAAGCGCGCTGTGCCTTTGCTGGCCCTTTTTGCTTCCTTTTGCAGTTTTGGTTTTAGAGTTATGCCGGTTATGGTTGAAGTGTGTTTTGCAAGGAGAAATCCAGAACGTCTAGTAATGGTGTGTTGTCCCATTTGCGTTCGGAGAGTGTGCCTGTGCACGTGTATTGGAATTTGAATTCTTGCCTGTAACACCGAGAGACAACCACTGAGTGTCCAAGGTGCAACTAGTACTAGCAAACCCAGTACAGACTTGCGCTGGTATCAACTTGACGTGAACACCTCACAATCACAGTTAGATGACACCACCCACATGCTACAGTCCCCGGTTGCATGCCACACAGGAAGATGGTGAAGTATTGCATTGTGAATGAGAGACAGGATAGGGCACTCGACAGCAATGGAATACCTACTCACAATTATGTCCGACATTACCTACATCCCGCATGACCGGAAACACGTCATACCGTGCATGTGGGCCTCTACAATTCAATAAGACGTGCATCACCTGCATCACACAGTTTGATGGCGCACGGTACATCATACCAACGTTAGATACCAAAAAGTAAGCATGAACGGGAGACAGTTCGGCGTGAGTTCCTGGGAACCTATTGAACGTTTTCCCCGGCACTTGATGCAAACTCGATTTCAATATTACTCTTTGTTATAGTGATCGTTTGATTCCCCTCTGAGAATGTACCGTACCTGTTACAGATGTCGGTGGTCGTGGCGGTACAGTTTCTGGTGGGGCAAGTGTATTAAGACCACCAGCCCCAGTGGCTGAAAGGAGAAAACACAAAGACACAAACAACAGTATGCAATACAGTTGATGGAGGGGTCCTAGGTTTTACTTAATTGGCACTTAGTGTGCCTGTATCATGCGGTGCAAATGCAAGGATGGAATACATTGCAGAAACAAGCTCTGACGCTGCTGTTATCCCAAACTAGAAAATAAATCTTCGCATGAAGTTGTTTGCTGAAAAGTTAGATCATCAAGTTTAAGGTTAATCCACTCAGTTGTAAATCTCTTTCCGAGTCTAATCCTTGCTGAGCATTTCAGGAAAGTAAGTTGGCTACTCCCAACATTCGAGGTTGCTCTTTCATGCTGACTGAATTGACTCTTTAATAGTAGAGTCTTTACTGACTCTTGACTGCCGCGCAGAGCAAAACAGAGGCTCATCTAAATTTATTCTGAGCATTGTTGATTAATTTTACTTCATGTTGAACGCTCTCTGCTGGGATGACAACTACACCATAGCTCAGTGGTTAGAGCATCGCTGGCCTCAAGAGAGGGTCCCTGGTTCGGGTCCTAGTGGTGGCAGTCAATTTTTTCTTCAGACTTTTCCCGTTTGCGTCTTTCCCTCAAACCAGTGAAAATTTTACTTCAAGCAACAATTATTTCTCAGAGTATGTGCGTTATACGCTCACATCCATCTGCACAATACTCAACTATGCTACGGTGCATCAACAAAATTAAAGGGAAGGCCTTGTTCGAAGCCCGGCAAGGCTGTTAACATCAGGTTTGGATGCGGCAACTGTGGCGTGACTAAACAGCATCATTCACACTTTGCTTACCTTCAAGGACGCTGTCAACAAACAAGAGGGTTGAGTCAAATCCTTGGATACTCACAGCACCCACTACCTGTACCCGATAGAAACCAGGATGAGGTACAGTAAATGTGTAGCTTGTCAATTCAGGCGTGAGATTTGCAACGACTGTTACAACTTCTCCAACGGGTGCACTATTCGCGTCAACCTCTTGGTAGGTCACGGTTGTGCTATCCGTCACAGCAAACGCGTCCAATGGAACCCACTCCACCGTAAGTACTAGGGAAAGCAAACACAGAAAGCATGTGTTTACATAATGGAAAAGGGGTTGCAAGCAAATGGAATTTTTGGTGCCACCTTTACACCCAAGATTAGCAAACAACAAAGCAATCAAATTGCCGTGGGCCACTTTTGCCCAATCCGACGCTTTCCATTGGATCGAGTAGGCGTCTTGTCTCTTTTCCAACTTCCAGACATGCTAGCCTACAACAACATTAGCAAGAAGCGCCACCTTTGCCTCGTCGAAAAGGTCCTGATCATACCCCCGGATAGAAGCACACGCCTCAAGAAGAGAAGCGAGCTCATCTCGAAATGCAGACATGCGAACAAACTCTTGCTCGCGAACTACAATGTGGTCACGTTATGGGGTACAAGGTACAATGAGAGCCTGGACTGCTCCGGCCAGTCATGGTACGATCGGGCATTCCTGCCAACCAAAACTGCTTGTTGTGCTCCCCTATGCTGTATGTTGCTATGCTCTGCAATATTTTATGCTCTGGTATGTTATAGTATGTAAGGACATGGATGTAATCAATCCCTACAAATTAACGTATACTATCTTTAAACACACGGCGAGGAGACAAAAATTTGATAACCGCAATCAATAAAACTAGCTGAACCGACATTTGTGTACTTTATTCATGCAATGTAAAAACGGTGGAGACGATGTGCAATAAAACGATGAAAATATGAAGAAATGGTGTAGGGAAAAAATATGGATTCAAACAAGTTTTCGTACAACACTCATCAGGAATCGTCGTTGTACTCAAGGACACTGAAACAAAAATTGAACTATATTATAGAAAATCTAAGTTAGAGAAATAACACTAAGAGCAACAACAGTGAAATTTACAAGTGTGAATTTTAACAATCAAAGCGAGAAATGAACAAAGGAGAAAGGAAGGAAAGACAACATGATAACACATAACAGCAGTACATTACACCTAGAACATTAACGGCCAAGCTTGGCCGCACTAAACACGACACGTTACTTGAACAATTTCAACCCAATTATACTATCTTTCTGGACACACAAATTAGGCTTGTACAGACGCTGATAGATAGCTTCCAACACTTTAAACTGTAGTCCATAACCATGACGACCATGGCACAATACAGTGAACGAAGACTCGGAATACGAATTGCAACAATCAGGACTAGCTAGCAGATGATTGTACACTGAAGACTTGCTACCACGAAACCTACACATAACACTAACACTCTCACCGGCATTCTCACCATCACTCCCATCACTGCTCTCCGACTCACTGCTCCCTCCGCCGTCCGTTCCATCCTCCGCTTCCTCTGTACTCTCTCTGTCTCGTCCATCCCGCCTGACCGGGTCCATTGAACTCAACTCGGCCGTCACCCTGGTATCACGTCCCTCCTTTCGCCCTTGTCCGCTGAGTGCGTAGCTTCTGTTGTAGTTGGCTGTTGATCGTCTTGGTCTTTCAATTATGGGCTTGGATGGTGGATAAGTTGTGGTTGCTGTAGATTGCGTTGTAGGAGGCAGTGGGACCGGGACCGCAAGCGGCACCGCCTCAGCCAAAGCCGCCGGGGGCACTGACGAGGGAACCACCGACGGCCGGAGCAAAGGCGGCGACACAAGCCGACCCGATGAGCCACCACGCCCATTCTCCTCCACCACCGCCACCAGCGACGGCGGAGCAAGCACAGTCTGTGAGCCAGGATGTAGGCAACGGCTGTGTGGTTATTGGTTGTTTTCTAGGTCGCCCTCGCTTTGGTCTTTGCTGTTGTGCGCAAGGTGGAAGTATGTGACGTGGTGTGTGTTGTTTGATGCGTGCGTTCAGGTGCTGAACAGTCCTACCAACATACCGACTAGCGCATTGTCGGCATTCAAAGTTGTAAATAAGATGACTTAGGTGATGGGCTGGTAGGACATCCTTCCGCACCGTAAACGCACGCATCGTCGTAAAGACTGGCACGAAGTGTACTGCGTAGTATGATCGATGAACAACGGACTTGACTGCACTACAAACTTTAGTCGACTCCTGCCCTTTCCACGGCAAACATAAATAAACGGGACAACGAGCAGGACCAATCATAGGAGCCTTCGTAGTTTGTTCGACTTTCAACAACTTCTGCAACAAAAACTCAGGGTACCCGTTCTTGACAAAAACTGACCGGAGAAAATCAAGCTCTTCCTGCCGCTTGCAGGACGAACAAATACGCTTCGCACGATCTACAAGGTTACGCACTAAGTTTACTTTATATTGAGACGAACAATAAGAGTCATATACAATGTACTGACCAGTAAACGTCGGCTTTCGATAAACGGTGACACTGACACACACTGACAGCTGCATTAACACTACAATTGCCGACTCAAAAAGACCCACCTTGCATATCAGTAGCTCCCACACCAACACCAACAACGCAATCTACAGCAACCACAACTAATGGTTATGGACTACAGTTAAAAGTGTTGGAAGCTATCTATCAGCGTCTGTACAAGCCTAATTTGTGTGTACAGAAAGATAGTATAATTGGGTTGAAATTGTTCAAGTAACGTGTCGTGTTTAGTGCGGCCAAGCTTGGCCGTTAATGTTCTAGGTGTAATGTGCTGCTGTTATGTGTTATCACGTTGTCTTTCCTTCCTTTCTCCTTTGTTCATTTCTCGCTTTGATTGTTAAAATTCACACTTGTAAATTTCACTGTTGTTGCTCTTAGTGTTATTTCTCTAACTTAGATTTTCTATAATAGTTCGATTTTTGTTTCAGTGTCCTTTAGTACAACGACGATTCCTGATGAGTGTTGTACGAAAACTTGTTTGAATCCATATTTTTTCCCTACACCATTTCTTCATATTTTCATCGTTTTATTGCACATCGTCTCCACCGTTTTTACATTGCATGAATAAAGTACACAAATGTCGGTTCAGCTAGTTTTATTGATTGCGGTTACTATCTTTAAACAAACTTTTATCTTTGACAAAGACTTAAGAATAATACTGCACTTACGTATGCCAGTTATGGGCGGTACCCGAACAGCTGAAAAAAGAAACACAGAAAACAGTTTATAGTTTATGTTGTTTTTGTTAGTAGGGTTATTGCATATCGTGCAGCCTAGTGTGTGTGTGTGTGTGTGTGTGTGTGTGTGTGTGTGTGTGTGTGTGTGTGTGTGTGTGTGTGTGTGTGTGTGTGTGTGTGTGTGAGTGTGTGTGTGTGTGTGTGTGTGTGTGTGTGTGTGTGTGTGTGTGTGTGTGTGTGTGTGTGTGTGTGTTGAAGTGCTCAACAGCTGTGTGGTGGATACCAGGCTAAAAATAGGGGCGGTCAATTCATCAGCCTTGCAAGCTGTTGAATGGTGTAATCCCAGCACAAGTTGCTATGTCTAACATAGCTGTTCGCTATCATCGCTCCCGCGATGGGCATGTCTAAGGTCTAAGGTGTGTGTGTGTGCATTAACAAAATTAAAGGGAAGGCCTCGCTCAAAACTGGCATAAGGTTTGGAAGCGGCAACTGTGGCGTGACTTAACCCTTGGCATGCTGGCCTGTTTCCCCCAGTACTCTGGCACTCCTGCTCTCTGACTCTCCTGGTGGAGTTTGGGCGCACTGCTCCAAACGAAATTATATAATCAGTTAAGTTCCCCTGGATGGAATTTCATCATCCTGGGCTTTTAGGAAAGATCAGGACCAAGCGAATCCATCCTGGAAGCTCTCAGCTCTACTGCCCCGCCAGAGCGATATCCAAGACCTCTCCAAACTGGCCCACCATGCCTCGGAACGAAACAACAACTCTGTCACACATTCTTTTTCGGATCCCTGCTCAAACTCAACCGCTTTTCATGATTCAAACTGCTCTGCAAAGCTGAGATCCACGCGCTTCTTTTTATGTTCATAACACATGCGCTGTGCCAAAGGGAAATCCCCTGACATGCTCCAAACAACTGCGAAGTAACGAACAAAAAATTCGCGAGCGCTCCAGGCCGTACTTTCCGTGTTCAATTTGTCGCCGCTCACTCAATCTTTATCCCATCACGAAGACTGTATATCACTGGAAGGCTGAGCTCAAGACCTTTCCCATGGTGTGTCGTTTGTGGAGATCGGATGCTCTTTCACAGAGTATCGAAAGTTTGTACACTGATCTATTAACTGCGATGCACGATGCAAACCAAAGTGCATGTATACACGTCATCAGAGAACCGGCATGGCGTTCAGGCGCTTGGATACAAGTCATCCGCACGCAAAGGGTTAACAGTATCATTTACACTTTGCTTACCTTGAAAGACGCCGTTAAGAAACAAGCTGGTTGAGTCACGTCCTTGGACATCTCCCACTACTTGTACCCGATATAAACCAGGCTTAGGTACAGTAAACCTGTAACTTGTGTTTTCAGGCGCAAGATTTTCAACGACTGTTACAACTTCTCCAACGGGTGCACCAGTCACGTTAACCTCTTGGTAGGTCACGGTTGCACTTTTCGTCTCAGCAACCGGAACCCACTCCACCGTAAGTGCTAGGGAAAGCAAACACAGAAAGCATGTGTTTACATAATGGAAAAGGGGTGCAAGCAAATGGAATTTTTGGTGCCACCTTTACACTCAAGATAAGCAAACAACAAAGCGATCAAATAGGCATGGGCCACTTTTGCCCTATCCGACGCTTTCCATTGGATCGAGTAGGCGTCTTGCCTCTCTTCCAACTTCCAGACATGCTAGCCTACAACAACATTAGCAAGAAGCGCCACCTTTGCCTCGTCAAAAAGGTCCTGATCATACCCCCGGGTAGAAGCACACGCCTCAAGAAGAGAAGCGAGCTCATCTCGAAATGCAGACATGCGAACAAACTCTTGTTCGCAAACTACAATGGGGTCACGTGATGGGGTACAAGGTACAAGGAGAGACTGCTCCGGCCAGTCATGGTACGACCTACCAGGCACAGCATCACCTGTGTGTGGAACTACGGTGGGGCTTACAAGGTCTTGTTTGGTGCCGGCATTGTCTGTACCGCGGGTGTGTTGATCCGCACTGGGGTGTTTTGGGGTGGAGAGTGCCTCGGGTGGTGCGTGTACTTCCCCCGCTGCCATGGACTGCAGACTATCAGAGTCCTACCCTATCTATCTAAAGGGTACACTATTAGAGTCCTACCATATCTATCTAAAGGCGGTGGGGCTCTGATACGGTGTGTCACGGTGAGTGTGTGTGTGGGGGGGGGGGGGGGGTGTACTTGGTGTCCGGGGTGCTTCTCATCCTGGTGAGGGTCGCTGCACCGTTGCTAGTCAAGGGTTGTGTCCTGTCGGAGTACGTGATGAGTATCTTTTTTTTTTGGCATAAAACTCGGAGTAATGGAAAACTGTGGGTTTACCGTAAAGTCGCGGGTAAAAGCCGGGCTTATAAGCGCATAAGCCGCTTTCTGCATCAGGCTTTAATGCAAACCAGGCTTGTCTGCAAACCATGCTTATATGCACCACACTTGCATAGAAGCCAGGCTTCTACGCGCGACACGCGTAGATCTACCACTGACTACCGATATGTTGGCAGTTTTACTATGCAGTCTGTACATAGCACATGCACTCTTGGCCTACCCGATCCGCGCTTGCATAGAAGCCAGGATTCTACGCGCGACAGGCTTATATGCATTTGACCCGTTTGATTTTCAGGCTTCTATCCGCGACTTGCTTGTATGCAAACCCGGCTTTTATCCGCGACTTTACGGTACGTTGTTTTGCCTTGCCCTATCTTGGGCATACAGCACTATTTGTAGCTGGATTCTAGATGCTTTGTCTACATCTTACACCATAGAGCATACTCACCTTAGATCTACCATGTATGGTGCAGACTTAGTGTTCACCTCAGTGTTCGACTACTGCATGTGCATATCAGTGGAGTTGGGAACATTGACAACCCACTGCATTCTCTGTGCTGCTGGTGCTCCCTTCGCAAAGCAGCGCTATACATGCCAACACTGTGCTACACACACACTGGTGCAGGGAGATGCGAACTTATCCATAGGATAGGCCTTCATCTAACACGACCGTGATAAATGACTGCCTGTGTGTAAACAGTCCTTAAAGATAGCTGATCTGAAATAGAACAAAGAGGCGCTGCTAAGCATTCAGCGGCTTTAAGTTTTCGACTAGTGCAGCGTAGATCACCCTGTAACTTACAGATCTGTGGCAGAGTAACCTGCTGAGCAGCCGCCAAGCTCAACCTGCAAGCAAGAAATCACGGACATTTTGGACAGCAGAACAAAAGATTCCTTATTGCACTGTACTCCAGCTTCCACTCATGCCACTAATCACTAATCAACTATACATAACCTAGCCGCATCTGCGCTTTGATCTGTGGAGGGTGGTAGCGTTCCTACGGATGCGGAAAACTCGGTTTCGAGCCGAGTCTCACGCAAACCGTGAAATTTGAACACACTTAACCCACTGTATGCGCAGGACACAATTAACTTTTTGTATTTCTCTAAAAATTGGCTTGTAGCTTGCCTGGCCGGCTTACCCCATAAATGTGCATCCACAAACAACCACACACAGGAATGTAGCTATTTGCTTGGAGGGGGTGTTCAACGATAATCGAACCAAATTTAGTACATTTTTGTAGTTAGCTGTGGTTGGCTGCCTGTTACATCTCTCATGATCATTATCAGACGATACAGAACAAGCCACAGACCACAGGGAACCTCAGTGGGATACCTCTAATGATTGAGCGCACCACGCTAAACTGTTTGCACCTTCCTACGTCGCTGTTGCACTGGTGACCGCGAAGTTCAAATTCAAAGTATTCATGTAGGTGGATGGGAAAATGTAGCCAGCCTACTGGTGTCCTCTCTTTTGAAGTATATTCAGAGATTTCCTGGAATGGGAATTTTGTTCCGCTCTCCTTTTCATAATTTATGATAAGCATTGATGATCAATGGCATTTATATCACGTCACCAAGCTTTTCCGATGCTTTTGAGCTTTGTGCACAGGTGCACACGGGCGTAATCATGCACGTGCTAGCACTGAGTATACTAATCCATTGAAGCTGCATTGATTTGCAGACAAAGTGTAGTGGTTCTGCAACATACTTGTAGGCAAGGGTTTGAATCCCACCTCTGACACCATGTAGTGGTTCGTCAAACGCACCAACGACATCTTGTGACTAGCTTCGTTTACAACAAATAACAAGTGTGTGGCAACACAGAGACCGACTGAGAGATTAGGGAGGTTCCGGAGTACAATTTTTCGTGCCAAAATCCGTAGAGGCGTTACGGATTTTTTATACGTCGTTTTCGAGCAGTGAAATGTTCCGGAGTACGGAACTCATGTGTTTGCCATCATTGCCTAGGTTACGATCGCAAACACGTCACATTCCCGCGCTATGCCTTTTTATTTTTCAAAATTTGTACCGAAATCAAAACTTCCCGCGGAAAATCCATGTTTCTCGTACCAAATGTGTACGCGAAAACTCTTTCTGCACCCGATGACGCAAAATCTCCATACGAAACATGGTTCGTGTGAAAGCCAGTCCACATGGATTTTGGCACGGAAAATCGTACCCCGGAACCTCTCTATTAAAGAACAGGCGGGCAGGTACAGCTAAAGTGCGTACTGTACAACTGGCGTGCTGGACAGCGCGGCCGGATGAATGCATAACTCAGGCGCGTGCGTCGGTGCCCTTCAAGGGGGTTTCCGGGGGGCCTCCCCGGGAAATTTTTCAAAAAATGAAGCAAAATCCTGCATTTTGAGTGAAAAAAGGAGGGGGTTCCGGGCACCCAGGAACCCATACGGAGCACGCGCCTGAAACTTCCATGTGTCATAAGAGGATACGGTAATAAACAGGAGGATGTGCATCCACTATACAAACGACATAAACATGTGCATGGGAATATGCATCTACTACAGCACAGAACACATTTACCATGCTCCATGGCGAACAAGACAAAGCACAATCCTTTGCGCTCTATGATACAGTCCCCAAATGCAACAAATTGACAAGAAGCCATCTGAAGCAAGCTTCAATTTGAGCAAAATAGAAACATGAGTTCCGCATGAAAGGCTAAACATGTCACACGGCAAAACACCATACAATCGATGTCATTTGTTGTCCTAGCCAAGCCATTGGGTGCTAAGTGTGTGTCGTTGTCAATGCATTGTGTTCCATTAGCATTGTATACGCATGTACGTATGGGCCCAACAAATACAGTATGCAACGATAGATTACACAGCATGCATGCAAAACGATATCATAGTTTAATGAGTGGTGTCACCTTTTTTGTTCTTTCTTTCTCTTTTTCTCTTTTTTCTTAAATCTTATTTTGTTGTTGCTGACACACACACACACACACATGCCACTCTTAGTTCTCATGCCCTTGCTTTGTGCACACTTTCGTGAGAAATCACACCCTGTCATTTTAGTAAAGAGCCGTTTCGGAAAAGGAAGTTTTAGCAAAGCAATGAATAAAACAATTGAAGCCGACATAATACCATGATGGACTAATAAAATAAAATAGATATGTGAAGCAGCGTGGAATGAAAATAACATTGAGCTAGGCTGTGAGAATCTAAGTGTATAGTGTGAGCGATGTAACGTTTTTCCTTATCGTGAGTGAGATTGTTCGGGTAGACCACTACCCCACGTACTGAACAGTTGCTCTGTGAGTGAAAAGTAACATTTTCCTTCTGCGTGCATAATACATTATTCGATGTAGGTCCACTGATGGCCATCGAAGAAAAACGTTTCTGAATTCGACTTCACATAATTATATTTTCTATTTGATTAGTCCATCATGGTATTACGTCGGCTTCACTATAGGTTAGTGCATGGCAGGGAGGGCCTTATGGCTTGTTAGTGCCTGACAGGTTAGCCTGAGGGCTAACCTGAAGGGCACAAACAAGCCATAAGGCCCTCCTTGCCATGCACTAACTATTTTAGAACGAGGTTACATGCATTACCTCACTTGCATTATTCTTGTGTACCCTTATAATGGGTAGTTGTGTGGTTTGCGTGCAGAGAGAATTTGTGTGGTAACTCAGCACCACTGAGGACTACTAAAAGGAGAATAGAAGCGAACGAAATGCTGGGCTCTTATTGCGAGCTTCATTCTTATTCATAGCTTGTGGAGCTATTTAGGGGCTTCGAGAGCCCCTTTTCGATACCAATATTGACTTCAATCTTCGGTTTTCATAGGGTTCCGCCAGCTGTTGACAAAGGAAAATCGTACAGATGAAAGAGTACGGGAGGCAAAACCCATACACACTTCTGAAATGCGTGGCTTTTTGTAGTACACCATACATTTCATGCAGAGTTCATTATCTGCTCCGTACTATAATGCGTACAGGAAGTTGTACACACCTGTTTTGAGTATATTCAGCGGGCTTAAAAGCTAATCCAAGGCCCTCGACGCGTCATCAAAGAGTAGTAGAATTATGATTGAGCGGGCTTTAGATTCGATAAGGCCCTTGGCGGGAACGTCACTGATTGGTCGTCTCCTGGACAACGAGACGGACCTCGTTCTAATTTGTTTTAGTCATTGCTTTGTTATTTTTTTTAAAGAAAGAAAAAAAAGGTAACCAGCAGCTTTTGGCCTGTTTATCAATCAAGTAATTCCACCTCCACTAAACGCGCTCTCTGGTCGACCTCACACACCAGCAACATGACACCAAGTTGTAGATACTGACAAATAGTTTTCCTCCATACAGCACTGTTTCGACCTCTATAGCCTAGGTCTCATCAGTGAAGGTTGAGAATAATGAATGGCCAGAATTAATTCGAAAGCACGGTTTTATACATGTACATAGAATGACCTGAAGAAGCGCGATCCCGCCCTTAGAGGTAACAGACATGCTATGTGCTAACACGCGGAGAAAAGGTGCAAAAAGACACTGCTACGCGCCATAAGTATACTGAGGACATCATTGTCTTGATACTTGCGCCACAGACTATAGTACTGTGAAATACAATCATGTAGTATACATAAACTGAAAATAATAATGGACGTGTCACCCTTATTTTCAGTACATGTATACTATTATTTTCAGTACAGCCGGACCTCGCTTATCCAGTCCTCTTTTATCCGGATCCCTCGCCATCCGGAAGAAACAAATTGCTTGTTACAGATGTACAGCCTGCGTGATGCTCCCAACATAACCGGTGTTCGGTTATCCGGTTCCCTCGCCTTTTCGGATATTTGTTGCGAAACACGGATGTGTGCGGTTATGCGAGGTCTGACTGTACATGTGTGCTACATGATTGTATTGCAGAGTACTAGAATCTGTTGCGCAAGTATCAATGATGTCCTCAGTATACTTATGGCGCGTAGCAGTGTCATTTTGTACCTTTTCTCCGCGTGTTAGCACATAGCATGTCTGCTACCTCTAAGGGCGGGATCGCCTCTTCATTTCATTCTATGTACAGTCAACTTCGCTAATACCGACTGCGGATATAACGACAATTCGCGAATAACGACAGAATTTCCATGCCCAGAGCAAAGTCCCATCCCACTGTAATACATATAATGAGACTTCGGGTATAACGACACTTCGCGAATAAGGACACCTTTTTGATGCCCCGCCGAGTGTCGTTATAAGCGAAGTTGACTGTACATGTGTAAAATCGTGCCTTCAAATTAATTCTGGCCGTTCATTATTCTCTACCTTCACTGATGAGACCTATAGTGGTCGAAACAGCGCTGTATGGAGGAAAACTATTTGTCAGTATCTAAAACTTGGAGTCATGTTGCTGGTGTGTGAGGTCGGCCAGAGAGCGCGTTTGGTGGAGGTGGAATTACTTAATTTTTTTGGTATTTTTGTGCTATCAATTTGTCCTGCGTACCCTACCTTGGTTCCGATAGTTGTTCCTTGGTTCCGATTTGTTCTTTAGTACAACAAAAACTTGTTTGAATCATTTTCCATCGTTCTTTCTTACTACATGTGTTTCTCCTTTCCTTTCAGGGTGCTTTCTCATCGTTTCCATCGCTTGACATTGTTTAAAAAGTAACCCAATGTCATTCTAGCTCGTCCTCCTTATTGCGAGGTTAATTTGATTGTTGTCTCCTTGCCGATTATTGTGTTTGCATGTGTATCCATGTGTAATGTGTTGCAAAGTAACAAACACAGACAGTGCATTGTGCTAATCCATGAGGAATGTGCATGATTCCGAATTTTATCCAAGATATTTATCCTTACAAGTCAAATTTTAGTGCAGGTACTACCAAGTACTATTGTACTCTTTTGCCAGTTAGTGTGGCAATGGTGATTGATGCCTTTGCCCGATCTCTGGCCCTTCCTCAGTGGAACCTATGCGATTCAGAACTACGGGTACTTGACTCGTATTGATTATAGCCGATACATGAAGGGGAGGGCGAATCCATTCAAGCCTCAGAAAGAGAACAAAAACAATTTAATATCAACTATCACACCCAGCCTACACCACAACATGATCAGATGCGTGCACCCCTAATTGTATCAGTATGACTATTATCTTTCAAAACCACTACTAGTATCCTACTTCAAAGTAGCTTCAACACCAAGGATATGTGAGTTGCATGCGTAATCGTGCCAGTTGGTTCATTTTTTGCGTGATGGAGAAAGACATGCGTTTGCAAGTGGGATTAGTCTAGCATTTGTGTTCACCCCACTCCCAACGTGGGTCTCTTGTGCATGTGCTTCCACACAAGTGCACTAAGTTCTATGCTGAGGTGGACAAAACAAATATTACAAAGGTACGATATTACAACCCGAAGACTTGACTGTGCAGCAACGACGACCAGCGTCACGGTGGAATGGATTCCCGTGTAAACACATGGGGTAAACAGTCCTACTTCTCCAAAGCATACGTGACACAGCCCTGTAATTGCTTGGGCATACACGATGTACCCTTAGCCATGGGTATTGTCATGATCGTAGAATGAATGAAATGGCTAATTCATGTTGCTCAAAGAGCGCTATGGAATGCAAATGTTTTTGTTCTTCATCGGATCACTGCCAAATCGCTGTTATATCATCGTTGTCCTTCTTCCTACTTTACGATACTTTATACTATGACTTGGGAATGAATTTCTCATTGTTTCGATTTTAAAATGTGAAATGTCATGGCAACAAGTGCCACTTTGGGTCATTCAAGTTTCCGTGTTCAGCATGCACTTCAGAGCTGCGCCAACAGTCCTATATATCTCCACTTCTTCCCAACTCTCTCTCTGGTTAGAACCCTTATGATAGCAGTTGCGTGCTGCATGTTGGGCGCACATGTTGCTGTATAGCTTTCCTCTTGACAGGATTTTGCTACATAACTGAAAAACAAATCTAAAACTCCCAACAGCCATAAGGTTTTCTTACCAGCTGAGAAGACACAGAAGGCGCCACATGGCTGTGTGGTGAAACAGCTGAAGAAACAGCCGCCACCGTAGTCTGCTCTATCGACTGGGCTCCAACACCTCGCTCTTTTCGGCCAGAACCCTCTCCTAACACTTGGAAGACGTTCCTGTCAGCTCAAGCCTCAACTTCAAGCCAAGAACTCCCTTCGTCGAGCAAATCGCTCATTTTCCGAGTTTTAAGAATTGAAATTTGTTCTGGCATGGAAGACGCGCAATACTCATTGCCTTGCGAATACGATTGTATGTGTACCTACGGTATCGGGCACACTGTACTGCCACTGGCTCGCATAGCATCGTTTGGGTCCTGTTGGGAGTCGGATCGGAACCTTCTCGATCTCTGTCATATGTTAGTATGTGTCATCATGAACATGATTGCCGGCGGTGAGTAAAGCGGCGGGGGCGGAGACGTGCAGATCACGGTGGGTGATGCTGCGCTAGCGCTGGACGCCTTTATTCCAGAGAAGCTTAGCCTGCAAACATGGGTTGGGTTTTTTTCAACCGATCCCGGCCCTGTCATTTAGACACACATGTAGCGAGTCCCAGTCATCATGGTCATGCGCGCACCAGCTCAGTAGCTGTGGTCACTTAGATTATTGTTATTATGACGACTTTATTATTTTACAACAAAGAAATGGACCAAGGACTTTATTATTATTATTATTATTATTATTATTATTATTGTTATGGCTTGACCAGATTGACCAGGTGGGAACCGTCAAAAAAGGAGAATCAGCTCCTGCAGCAAAATGCCAAATCTGAATCAAAGCACCCGTCACAGACGTCAATCATCAGGGGGGGCGCCCGTACTTGAAACAGGTTAGTGGTGTGGACCTGACAGGCAGCGGCCTCCTTTGCCTTGGCGGTCTCGTCGATTCACGTGACTGCTGTTCAACCTCACCTAGATCTATGGAGCGGCACTAGGTAGCCGGGCCGTGGGTCGCGTTTTCTTGCACGTGAGCGCTAGACAAGTCAAGTGTTTAGTTAGTTATGCGCCCAGGACGTGATACGTGCCTACACGGCCAGGGACCATTCAAAAGTAACGTTAGTTATACATTTTATCGCACGCAGCGGCGATGGAACACGTAGATACGCGCGAGACCTTTACACTACAGGCAGCACACAGCTAGCTACATGCGCAGAACGTGAAGCATGGATGCGCAACACTAGCCCACAACACTGCCGTCAACAAGGTCGGACAAAGACCATGAATCGAGTCTGTGGTCGACCTGTCTGGGCCGGGCACGGTCGGCTGCTGTACAGTAACGTGAGTTAGGCAGATGGCATACTCAGTAGTACTAGCAAAGCTCCGGCACTCACGTGCTTCCAACAAAGAATCACCCAACAAAAGACAGACAGTGAGCGACCACATGGTGTGCATCCTCTACTCAGTACTCTAGACTCGCAACAAAATGGTCCGGATCTCTAGCTCTATGACCATGATGACTATGTCTTTGAGTCTGACGGCGTAGCCACTGACCTGTGAAGTGTGAGTGTCTGGTAGGTACTATCTACTTCGACACAGGGTGCACGCTGGTTGTCCGGACAGTTATGTCAAGCATCCCGTCTATCCGTCACCAGTAGCACAGACCGTCGGACTTGGTCAGTCGCCACACATTACTACCAGCACAGGCCGTTTTCTGCATTGTGGTACTCCTTCACCAACAGCAGCTAATTGTGCGAGGAAGAAGGCTTTTGGCGAGGCTGATTGCAGCACAGTCTTGTAGTGGCTGATCTCAAGGAAATTCAGCGGAAGCTTGGAGACAGGGCTGTGCCCTTCCTGCAGAAATGGAGAAGACCTTGCTGCTGCTCGTGTTGTTGGTAAACGGCTGGACCGCACAAGCCCAGAGTGTGCCACGTAGGTTTCTGATGGCCGATGGTAGCTGATGAAATGCCTGGGAAATAAGGCTGGGGTGTACTAAACTAAAGTTACGAACCTTTGAAAATGGCCAATGAAGTGTTGGTTGTAGCGATTGTACACCAGTTGTTGTCTGGACACACATAGGCGTATCCTACGAGGCCGCATGTAACTCATTGAAATAGCTTTGGAACGTGGAGGGAGATGGCAATGGAAACATAGGAATCCACGAATGGCTTAAATGCATGCATTTGCAACAAGTCAGCTGCCTGGATTTGAAATCCATGCATGCCCCTGCTGTAGGCCTTGGCTTGGAATCACACATCTTGTCAATGCAAGCGAATAGTAGTGGAGTGTTCAATTTCATTCTCCAAATCAATTATGTCCAATCTGATGTCCAATCTAAAATACTGGCTACATTTCATGTAATAAGTCATTCATGCGATATTGATAACATGAATTACACACGTTCAAAACATACCATGTTTGAAACATACCACACAAAACACGCGCGTATGTTTGTGTAAAGTTCATAGAGAAAGCAGTCCTACAATTGCTTGTTAAAACCTGCGCCTGTCAATTTAGGGCAAGGTGCAGAACATGGTGTGGAAACACTTTATTAGGGTGAGTCCAAACCCTTTCTATGGGTGTTAGGATTCTACTGTACCAGTTCACTGGATTTTCATTCCTAAAGATGGACCTGGCCCAAAATTCAGAGGCTTCGACATTACAGTTTCCTGAACAAAAGATTGCCTGTTCCATCCATCATTGGACTGGTCATTGAAGGATTATTGTCCCGAATATGGAGGAACAGAGTATCCTGGTGTTTTTTGGATATCATGTTGAGAAACAGGCTTACGAAAGTGAATGGTCTATCCTGGGAATGATCGAAGAGAGAAGAAATGCCTAAACCTGAATAATGGAAGTTGGCTAGTGAACATGCTTTGGTGATCACACGGTTTTTGTTGCATTGCAATTCTAATGAACATCAAAATTAATACAACAAAGTAGTGTTAGGGCAAACAGCCGCAACTCAAGCTGCGCTGCTATTCACACTCTCTGATGATGACCATGGGCTCGATGCCTATGCCCATTGCTCCGGATGATGGGCATAGGCTGAAAGTTGAATGAAAGGAATTTTCAGCTCAATGAAAAGCAGTACGATTTGAGCTTTGACCGTTGATCCAAACCCCTATTTGATCTAATAGTAATGGTAAGCGCACCCTTGGAACCGGGGAAATAGGCATTGTTTGTGATAAGACCGTTACCGGAGAAACTAGCTAATGTCTGCTGGGAAACGCGGCAGTATTTTGAATGAAAAATATTGTGTACTAGGTTTCATGTACAAATGAATGGCGAGAAACAAAGAAGGACCTGATGCCAGTAGGATTGTGCCAAGGCAGATTAGCACTGCTAGTGCTGGCAGAACCAAACCAGCCCAAATATACCAGTTTGGGATTAGGGAATGCACTTACACGTACAACGCATGGCCGTTCTTGCACGGGAAACTCTAATTGCCGCTCTTCCTTCTTGTTTCCTTACAGCTCTTGGCAGCGGAACGCAGCCGCCGGAGGTAAGGGAAACTGTGCTTAATACTAAGTCATAGCGTCTCCGAAATCTAAACTGTGCTTTTAATACTACGTTATAGCGTCTCCAATACCTGATTGTGACATGTTCATGATTAGCTTTGCTGACTGCTGAACACCACGCACTCATAATGTTACCAGCAAAGCACGTTTGCATGAAAATAGAGAGCATTTAACTTTCGGACTTCCTATGCTTCACTCTTGGTAGGACCCAATCCACAATTCTTTCTTGATGAACACATGAAGCATTCATTGATCTTGCTTTTGATGTTAGTATAAGAGCCATAAGAGCGGTACTAAGAAATGCTCCCTTATGCCGTGTGTATTGAACCTTCAGGATAAGGATCTTATTGCGACTCCGGCCATGCCTGGAGACCCTGGCCCACCAGGCCCAGCAGGACCAGATGGAATGACCGTGAGTATATGGCCTGCACGGTACTGCACGGCACCTCCATATTGTTGCAGCAAAACTTGCAATTCCACAAGTCCAGTGCTCCCCGTTAAGTCATGTGATATTGATTCATAAAAGCTATCAGCCACAAGCGTCACAAACCAGCATACCTTGCAATGGGTGCCCGGGAAAAATCAGATTGGATAGTATGCACACAATTCAAGGTGTTTGTGTCTTTCCCTCAAACCAGTGGCAGTGAACAGTTCACAGTATGTTGATTTTCTACATTCTGGTATGTTTCATTGGTTCTCTTCTGTATCATGTTTCCCTTGGTTGAGAAGAGAGGCAGGTTTGGTCGACAATGTTCTTGTGATGTTGGCACTGGTAGTAGGCCTGCGCCCTTGCAGTTCTACAACAGGGTGTTAAACACGGTGCATTGAAACTAGTGGCATCCAGATGAAAAGGAGGTATGCATTCCCATGTTTAACATTCCGGATATAATCTCGTGTGTTGAGGAATGTACCGTGATTTCTTCAACCTCATTACTATCTTGTTTTTCGTGTGGGCTATTAGGGTATGGATGGCCCTAAGGGTCCTGGCGGACCACAAGGACCACCAGGCCCACCTGGCACACCCGGCACTCCTGGAGGTCCAGGACCTGATGGCCCAGCCGGTCCAGTAGGTTCCGCAGGAGTAACTGGACCAGATGGAGAGCCAGGTCCTGACGGAAGAACATGCACAGGCGCCGAGTGTGGAGCAAGCGTTGTAAGTCCACGAAGAGTTGCCTTGGGTGCATGTCGGAATGGATGATGTCATGTCGGAATGGATGGTGTCATGCCAGTCCATTGTCTACACCCCTATTTGCCGAATCTTTGCCTTTTCTCCAGCATATCGGGATCTCTGACCCCTTCTTCCCCCTCCCCGACCCCGGCAGTGTGCATGCCAGTGAAGACACATGATAAGGCTATAGCTTGTTTGGCATCAGATCTCCCTGAGTACCTGCTGTGTATGCATACCATCTAGGGCACATGTACAGTCATGTTTACTGATAGTGATGCTGCTTGTGTGCGGCACACATACATGCAATGCATCCTGCTTTGTCATGGTTTGATCTCAAATACTTCTCTCTTCTGACATTTTGAATGTTCTTATTGCTTGCACATGTAGACTTGTAAGTTGTAGTTGTTTTCCATCTGTTGTAACATTTTTGCCGGATTGTAAATGCACAAATTTCCGGTGACGACAAATTAAATTATTATTTTCAGTACCATCATCATGATCATGGATTTAGCTCTGGTTAAAAATTGGGTGGAATCAGTTTTACCTTGAGTTAAATTTACGGGATAAGATAGTCCTGAAAGTGGCAAAAACTGGAACCTACCGAGAAAGGTGCGACCTACAAGGCTACACTTAGCCTACAGGCTTCTCTACATCAACAGGCCCTACATTATACAATCCATGTTGTAGCTGTTCTCAACCAGATAAGAGATAACAGTTCTGCCTCGAATTTGTTGCTCACACGTTTTGGAAGTAGGTTTCTTTTAGATCTACAAGCCAAGCTTTCGAGAGTGCTGCAGAATGCAGTCCGCTCTTGTCATGGACAACGCACACTGACACAGCTGTTTCAGCAATTCAGGACTAGATACGAGCTGCTGAGGAATGAGAAAAGCGATTGACCGCGTTTGTCACGCAAACCTGCAGACTGAAGCGAATGTTCCTCAGGCTCAGAGCTCTTCACCCACTAGTCGCACCAGAGGCACATCAACCGAGCAGGTGTTCGCAGGCAAACCTGTGTTGCTGTCGTCTGCATTCATTGCAGAAATCATTTTCAAACTGGGAGGAAGCATGCCAGCTTTGCGGCGGGTAGTTACTCATCGAGAATGTCACCACTCTGCCAAGTGCCGAAGCACAGGATCCTATCGCTGCTATAAAACAGCAACTACGGAAGCAACCGAACAATCTTCTGCCGTTTAGTTAGCTAAGTTAGAGTTTACCAGCGGAAACCGTGTACCCTTCGGCAGTGCTGCACGTCGTTGCGTGAACTGTAAAAATTTTGAGCACTAGTAGTAGTAGTAGTAGTAGTCCCGCAGTACGGGTCTGGTTAGGTTTGCTCCATGTTCCAAAGACCCAGGCAGAGGTCAGTCCACAGAGCTCTGCTGAGCCGACGTTCTACGTGATCAAGTAGTCGTCTTTGTCCATAATGGTCACGGAGACACCGCCCAAACGCCCAAGCTGCGAGTCCTGGCCACATCCAATTGAATTGAAGTAAAAGCAATTAAACTGCTTGTCTTGCACCATCCTATCACTGATGGAAACGTATTTGCTCTGACCAAACAACGTCAACGTACAAGCAGCCGAGGCTTATTAAAATCCTTGCCCGCAATATATTGTTTTTGCTTTTCCACTAATTTTATTCATGGCTACAGTGTTATCACGCCACGTACGACTCATCTTTTGCCGATACAGTACGCTTTCAAGGATACTGTGTTGCCAATTTTTCATCATTCTGGACTCTTCATCAGCTTTCCGACATCCTTGCTGCTTTTTTGCTTTTGCTATTGTGTGTGTTGGTAGAGTTCCACAACAGGATTAACCTAATAGTATCGGTCTCATTGAGACTGAGTGCTCCGTACTCATAGTGATACTGTTGTGTAAAGATAAAGCTTCCTTTGTTTTGTTTTTCTGTCTTCCCACAGGTTGGCACTCCAGGACCTACTGGTCCACGTGGTCTGAACGGTGAACCCGGCGCTGACGGTCCCGATGGCCCTGCTGTAAGTACCCTAGAGACTGTAGTACATGTATGCGACTGAGCATGGGCACTGAGTATGGGCACTGAGTATGGGCGCTGAGTATGGGCGCTGAGCATGGGCGCTGAGCATGGGCGCTGAGCTGCTGACCAATACTGAGCAGGGATGCGTGGGCACTGATACCCCCCTGGCTCCAATCCAAGCTTCCTGTAGATGTGCAAAGCTGGCCACGGCTATCCAAGCTCATCACCAAACGTACTCGTGAGCAGCAGTAGCCGGCTGGAACAGCACTACCGGCGATGTTTTGACCTGGTGTGCCGATGTGACCCATAGAATCGCACATCTGTAGCTTTGACTTGTTCCGAATTTCATCGAGTAGACTGTATTGTTGCTTTGCACGTGGTATGATCAGACATTGCCTTCGTCTTAAAACTGGTTGTTAGTAGTCAGCTGGTAGTGGATGGTGTAGGGTCGTATTAAAATGCGCATATCACGTAGTATGGATGCCGCAGAGCTATGGTTCACCACTGGGACAGCGACTTTATGTCCGAGCGTTGGTGGTTTGGTGATTGTCTGTGAGTGTGCGTGCGCGCGCGCATGTGTGTGTGTGTGTGTGTGTGTGCGTGTGTGTGCGTGCGTGCGCGCATATGTGTGTGCGTGTGCGCGCATGCACACGTGCATATCCATGAGTCACTCAGTGGCATGTTTGGGTGGGTGTGCATGGGAACATAATTATCTAGTTTCGTAGGGCAGGAATGAAGCTATTCTCAGGCCTCGCCAGCCTAGTGCCTGACAGGCAGGCACCCTAGGCATGCTGGCGCTGAATTGTATCTCTCTTCTCTGTGCTAACAGGGAGAACCAGGTCAGCCAGGTGGAGCTGGTCGCCCAGGACCTTCTGGAGAGCCAGGTGATGACGGTCAGGGTGGTGCTCGTGGTGTTCCTGGCAAGGCCGGTGCTGACGTAAGTTATTTACTCCCGTCAATTGTTTGGCTCGTACCCAACTCGGAGCACGCTTTTTTGTTCACAGGATGAAGCAAGAAAGCTTGAGTCACGAATCTTCCAGCGATGGTGAAGGGGGGAAATGATTGGGTCGTTCATACACATTTGCTAGTGAAAAGGTCCCCAGTAGGTGGTGTGAGTATACTTAGCACATGCAGTGTTGTAGCCTCCGATTTCATTGCATCTCACTAGCGCTTGGTCATGTGCAAATCGCTTTGGGGGTGTTTCTATTAATATGAGATCATAATCTTATCCTGTTCTTTTCTCTTCCTAGTTTATATTATGATGTGCTTCCTTGGAGTCGTTAACGCTGACACCTCGAAGCATTGGGTGCTGTAGCAGCTAACATAGGTTAAAATTTGCACAGTTACTGCTCCTGTTCTTTTGATGCTGCTCCATGCTCTATCTTTATTTTATTGTGCCCTACTGGTACTAAAGGAATTTCATGTGTATTGGCTTCTTGTAGGGTCTGCCTGGTCTTCCCGGACTTTCCGGAGCACAAGGCGCAAGAGGATCACAGGTATGGTTATGCACCAAGATGTCAGGCTTTGCTTGGGGCATTGTGACCACCTGCGGCATAGCACACTCCTCTTTGTGTGTGTGTGTGTGTGTGTGTGTGTGTGTGTGTGTGTGTGTGTGTGCGCGTATCACGGAGTATGTGTGTGCGTGTGTGTGTGTGTGTGTGTATGTGCGTGTGTGTGTGTGTGTGTGTGTGTGTGTGTGTGTGTGTGTGTGTGTGTGTGTGTGTGTGTGTGTGTGCGGGAAAAAAATTAAAAAAGACCAAAAAGTAGGGATTCACTGGCCAGAAAAAGTCACTCCATAGCTGTGTGGTGTAGACCAGGCTGAATAGTGGCGGTCAATTCTTCAGCCTTGCAAGTTGTTGAATGGTGCAATCCCAGCACACGCTGCTATGGCTTCTGCTGTAGCATCGCTATCATCGCCTTCGGCGATGGGCGTCCAATGGTCCAATGGTGTGTATCACGATACTTGCCTGCTGTGAATTTATATACACGGTGATGTTCCTGTCTGGTTTTGTTAGTAGTCCCTTTGTTTTGGATGGTTTAAGAAACCAGTGCGACTTGATATTCAAATGTTACTTGATTTCTACTCGATGCATAGGGACCCGACGGACCACAAGGACTTCCAGGCAAAGACGGTACCCGCGGACAAAAGGTGAGGATTGCCGATTTTGGTGTGCGCAAGATGTACCTGGCATTGGGGGTGTGAGGCATTGGCAACCCAAAGCAGTCAGTGCTGCTTGCTAGCCGTTGGAATTTCATGCACGTCGTCTTCCTTGAACTGGCAACAATAGATTGTATTTGCAGAAGATCATGGGAAGCCTTTAACTTAATGGGTTAGGCCCAGTATTGATTTCCTATTCCTGCTTCTCCTGTCGCCAATGATTCTTCTTGTGAACAGGGAGACCGAGGCACGCATGGTGCTCCCGGCCGAAACGGACTCGACGGCGGCAAAGGTAACCTCGGAGAGCCTGGTCGCCCTGGCCCTGCTGGCCGATCCGGACTGAGAGGACCATCTGGACAACAAGGCCCCGCTGGTAATCCAGGTGTTGCTGTAAGTCAGTCCACTGGCGTAGAGTCATCATAAATCAGCTGTGCAAACTTGGAAGATTCATCAAAAATCAGTAGTGCAAACTTAGAACACAGTTGCCTACATTGAGTCAGTTGACCTGCGCACCATTTACTGTGCACGTTTGTCAGTGTCATGCAACTCACATGAAAAAGAATGGTGGCACGGAAGATGCAGTACACAGTTCATGCTATCTCATTTTTTACTAGTCGCAAGTCAACTGTAGCTGGGATGGATTGTGTCCTTTCCTGTATGAAGTGCATGGTACCTGTTGATGCAGTAATAGCCTAGCTTTGCTTCTAATCCTTCTTGTGCAGGGAGAACCCGGTGAGTCTGGACGCGCTGGTGCTACTGGTATTCCTGGTGTCCCCGGACAGCCAGGACAGCAGGGCGATACTGGTCTTCAGGGCCCAGTGGTAAGTCATTGGCCGCCGCACTTTGCCATCGCGCACCATGCACATCACACGATTCGCTACATACAAGCCACTCTTCTTCTGGTTACGGTCAGCTATGAGTTTGTTTTGAGTGTCCAGGCGGAGTTCCCTTTATCTACAATACCCAATGGTGTTTGGTCTTCATCCTAAATGCATGTACCATGCAATGGTGTTTGGTCTTCATCCTAAATGCATGCACCATGCAATGGTGTTTGGTCTTCATCCTCAATGCATGTACCATGCAATGGTGTTTGGTTTGGTCTTCATCCTCAATGCATGTACCATGCAATGGTGTTTGGTTTGGTCTTCATCCTCAATGCATGTACCATGCAATGGTGTTTGGTCTTCATCCTCAATGCATGTACCATGCAATGGTGTTTGGTCTTCATCCTCAATGCATGTACCATGCAATGGTGTTTGGTCTTCATCCTCAATGCATGTACCATGCAATGGTGTTTGGTCTTCATCCTCAATGCATGTACCATGCAATGGTGTTTGGTCTTCATCCTCAATGCATGTACCATACAATGGTGTTTGGTCTTCATCCTCAATGCATGTACCATGCAATGGTGTTTGGTCTTCATCCTCAATGCATGTACCATGCAATGGTGTTTGGTCTTCATCCTCAATGCATGTACCATACAATGGTGTTTGGTCTTCATCCTCAATGCATGTACCATGCAATGGTGTTTGGTCTTCATCCTCAATGCATGTACCATGCAATGGTGTTTGGTCTTCATCCTCAATGCATGTACCATGCAATGGTGTTTGGTCTTCATCCTCAATGCATGTACCATGCAATGGTGTTTGGTCTTCATCCTCAATGCATGTACCATACAATGGTGTTTGGTCTTCATCCTCAATGCATGTACCATACAATGGTGTTTGGTCTTCATCCTCAATGCATGTACCATACAATGGTGTTTGGTCTTCATCCTCAATGCATGTACCATGCTTTCTCTTACTGTGTCAGTCTTTTTAAAAGGTGCTTGTGTTGTTCGATTTGGGCTGCTTTTGCCGTAGTTGCTTCTTCTAGTCCCTATCCTGCAATGTTAAATGTACTCCTGGAAAAAGCGATGCAATATCCAAGGCTTTTCACCACCAATAGGCAATAGTGTCTAGTGTGACTTTGAACATGTGAATTACAAACTTACCTGATTCTGTTTGTCCATTACTTTGCCTCGCTTGGCCACGCCCAGGGAATCCCCGGTGACAAAGGACCTTCTGGACTTGCTGGAGCTAACGTGAGTATTACTCGCATCTGCTTTTCCATTGGAAGGGTATCAACTGCACATCATAACTGCCACGACGGTCTCACTCAGCTAAAGTCAGTGATCTGATTGTCTATGAAGTGCAAGTCATACAACGTAGTGGTGTCTCTTTGCCTGCTGCGTGGACTGAGTCAAAGTTCTCTTGACAGTTTCTGCAGCCCTGGCCGAATTGAGCTTCGACTCGGGGTGTTCGGCTGGGTGCAAGCACTGCTCTATTGTGTTCAAAAATAGTTTTGGTCCAGGCAAATAACAGTTCTATTTTTATTGTGTCCCTTGTTGGCGATAGGGACTTGACGGCCGCAATGGAGTTGACGGTGAAAAGGGTAACAAGGGAGGAAGGGTAAGTTTGATATTCTGAGGTGGTTATCTCTTTGTGGTTCTTTTCTGAACAATGGTATACTTTGAAGAAGAGGTTGGTGCGACTTCGGCGACAATAGCACACACTGGTGTACTGGATACTGGATCTTCTACTTCACAGGTGTGGTCAAGTATCTTGCACGAAAGTGAAGCTAGATGTGCCCGCCTTCCACTGGCATACAGCTGCTATGTCCTGTATCTGAGGCTCTTTATAATTATGGACCGCGGACCAGCAAGCGTGTGGGCAACGCACATGTGTGCACGATATTGCTGATCTTGCCTTGACAGTGTCAACTGTGAATGCACTAGTTATATCGATCTCCTTTGTATCCCGCTCATGCTTGTAGGGACCCTCAGCTGAAGAAGGAAGCAGCGGTGGACCTGGCTCACCCGTAAGTGACTAAATGACACGATTTTATAATGTTATTTGATTTTTGTCCTCATACTGTTCCCGATGATGTTTGCCCACAAAAACCATTGATCATTAATATCTTATTGCATGGTACTAGATGATTGGCGCGTAATAATTTAGCATTTTTTGGAAAATTTACATTGACTTTGTCTGTTTCCTTCCTTTGATGTAGGGTAATGCTGGAGAGAAGGGTCAGCCCGGAGCACCTGGTGTTCCTGGAGTCGAGGTAAATAATGGCATCGCACACATTAGAAATCTGAGCTTGTACCATGGCATTGCAACACCTTGTTCTCCCAAGCAATCCTAATAATCGGTGAAGGTTGGTTGCTCTCTACATGTCAGCTCGCTCCTTATGACCAAAAAACCTTTCTATGAGTGCTTGGTCATAGCATCATCTGTGCAAAAAATACTACAAAAAAAGCTATGAAACCCTTCTCCCTACTCAGCAGATCAGCTAGGGAGTTGGTTAAATAATCTGGAAAACTTTAGTGGGACACACAAGGATTGACTGGAGTGACGAGTTGGACTGATCACAGCATGGAAGGTTTTAGCTGATCTCCACGATATCTACATTGGCATGCATGTTGCATCTTATGAGCTTAGTCTGTTTGATCCGACACCCATAGTCCTTGACTGCACGCCAACAATTATGCAGCCCTTATTAGAAAGCCATGCCCACTGCCGATAAGTTTAATAATTGCCGTTCTGTATGTGTGTGTGTGTGTGTGTGTGTGTGTGTGTGTGTGTCTGTGTGTGTGTCTGTGTTTGCAAATGTTTGTGTTCAGGGTGAACGAGGCCGTGACGGAGACCGTGGTGCACTTGGTGACCGTGTAAGTACTTTGAGATGCTGTCTGCTGCCTGACATGCATTCCAATTTGAGTTAAATTTGTCTCTAAGAGTGTTTCAACAGCAGCCAGTTCAGTTCCAATATGGTGCGTTCCACAAGTGTTCAGGGCATGCAGTCCTGTGATACAGTGTGTTGTAATTTTGACTGATCTTTGATTGTTCCGGCTTTGCTGCAGGGATCGAGAGGACGCGACGGACAGAAAGGCGAGCCTGGCACACGTGGATCACAGGTAGGTGGTAACCATGGTGCAGCTTGACAGGTACTCGTGATGACTTCAAGTCCTGTACGTTGCACACATATACAGAGATACGTAGGTAGCCAGATGGGAAGTAGATTAACTCGAATCACTTGAATCACAGGCTCTAGATTTTCAGGCGGTTGCACTTGGCAAGGGAAATGACAATTGCATCGTCGTCATCATGATGATCATGCTGATCTTCTCCAGAGTGTGATGTGCCTCTCGATAGAAATTGCATCAATGGTGTACGTGTCTCTTCTGATTCTTGTGATGTTCAGGGCCCATCCGGACCCACAGGACCACGCGGCGTTCAAGGCAATGATGGACCCCGAGTAAGTGACCCTATGCTCAAAGAGTGTTTATGGCCACAGTCCATGACCTACAGCGTGTTCTGATTTTGCTTCATCAATACTAGATAACATGTTTCAGCATGGCTTGCATGCAGATATAGCTGGATCTACAGGGCTGCTCCATAAATTCCAATGAAGCGAGTCCAGTTTGCTCCCTGCGCTGTAGTTAATTTAAAACATCCCAGTGTTGGCAGGTCTAGGGTTGCACAGCGCCCGGCATGGCATAGACTCGCTTGATTGGATTTCATTGATAAGCAGCAGCACTGTAGTAAATTTCAATTAGTTTTTGTGCATTGTGGGTGGAAAAACTCAATGACTGGGAATTTGGCTGTATGCTGCTCTGCTATATTATGTACTTAGTACCTCGTCACATTTTAGGACATGTCCAAGTTATTGTGTGACCTCTTTTCCTTGAATTTCTCCTTCAGGGTGCCCGTGGTTCTGATGGAGCCCGAGGCTCGACTGGCGTTGCTGGACCCCCTGTAAGTTCCCAGGCCTTTTTGTTTGGTTGAATCGAGATGCGTGCTGTGCATACATGTGTTGCCATCTTGGTGATGGTTTGTCGAATTGTTCTGGGAAAAGTACGTCCAGTTTGCACTGAGATAGTTGAAAGTGTGTTTGCCGCCGTCGCTGACCTGTGCTGCTTTTCTGCGCTCTGTCATGTCCAGGGACCTGTTGGAAAGCGAGGAGCTGTTGGTGGCGTAGGATCAGGTGGAGCTCCTGTAAGTAAAGGAAACTATTTTCCGGTCCTCAGTGTCTGGATTGTTAAAACTCTGATTGCTCAATTGAGATACTTCTCTCCACCGGAATACAGATATGCTTTGTGATTTGAGTCAAGAGTTCACTGCACTGAAGGCCCGTAACCATCAACCTCACATCCTCTGGTGGTATTCTTTCTTCTCGCCTTCCTGTCCCGCAGGGCTCAGTTGGTGCTCGCGGCAAGTCTGGCTCAAAGGGAGGCAAGGGAGAACCAGGCCAGTCAGGTTTGCAAGGATCTAATGGAGCTGACGGACTGCAGGTAAGCAATGAACCGGCTTGTACCAAAATGTGCCTTTGAAGGCGCAGTATCTGGAATTAGAGATTCTGATCCTGATAAATACCTGCCTGGGTGCTATTTTGATGGCTTGTTTGCTGCAAAATGCCATATAATACTCAACCCTCCTCTTCGTCTTGCTTTCCCTCCATATCTTTCTTGCTCGCCCTCCCCCGCTTTGCGTCTCTCCGTCGTTCTGTCTCTTTCAGGTTGAGTGCATTCCTCAAGTGTTAATGCCTGTCTCCTTCTCTTTCTCTGTCTCTTTCTCCAACCGGCATGTCGTTCTCTCGTTTTTAGGGTGCCGCTGGACGTGATGGAAGCAACGGTGGTGCTGGAAGTCCCGGCCAGCCTGGTACTGACGGTGTGAAGGGTGCAGATGGAAGCCAAGGACCAGACGTAAGGATCACGTTCATTACAGTGCATCTTACAGTGCATCTGCTATGGTGATATTGTTTGCCTGCTGCAGATGCATGACAACAAAATAATCGTTTTCAAGAATACTACACCTATACCTACGTCTTACTTGAAGTACCTTCATGCCACACCTATTACATGTCACGTTTTACGAAACCAGTAAATGCAATGATGATCCCGTTGACCCGGGGGCTGCCGTGTATGCATGAGAACTGAAGATGTCCAATATTGATCTAACGCCAAGTACTGGTGTTTTCTTTTTTCTCTTTTCTTGTGCAGGGACCTCCAGGCCAGACTGGACCACCAGGCAACCCAGGATCACCTGGCCCACAGGTAGACTTTAATAGCTACTGTGGCACCATAAATGGCATGCGTACTAAAGAGAATTGGTTATTTTAGAATGTTCTCTACTATGAACACTGCACCAACATCGAGAATGTTTGCAGATTGAATTTGTTCGCGTCTGTAACGGCATGGAGCAAAACAGACTTTTAACTCAGCCCTGTGCTGTCAATTAATGCTGCGCATACTTGCATAGTTATCACTGAGAGATCGCTTTTTTGAGTCACCCACACGGTCGCACATCTGACTGCAAAAAAAACCATGACTCAGCTCAACAGATCAAGGTATGGATCATCATCACTTAGTAGAGTCGAGTGCGCTCTACGCCCAGAATGTGATGTCACTGGTCAGGAGCGATGATGTCATTGGTCAGGAGTTATGATGCCGTTGGTTGTATGTGCCGCATGCTTGTACTAATACCCAGTCATTGCTGTGTTTTTTTTTTGTTCTTCAGGGTGACGCCGGTACTGACGGACGAAATGGTGTTGACGGCCAAGATGGCGCTGAGGTAGGGAATTACTCAGTCCAGCCTATGCAAGCGATTATATAAGTTCATTTTGCGTGGGAGGCAGGTCCCTTTGTATAATTTCTGTCTGAGGGTCCCTCAGTTGGGCACAATGATGTTGGACAGCTTGCCAGTACTTGTTGATCGGGCAGAATTATGAATCCTTGCGAAAATGGACAAGCCTTTAGCTCCAAGCTTTCTGCAGGTTTTTTTGCTCTCTTATTCTGATAATATTTTTATTGTGATTGCTTTTGTTGATATTGGCATTCAGGGTGATGCTGGTGATGCTGGTCCTCAAGGAACTGTCGGAAGACCTGGAATGCCAGTAAGGAGTGCTGGTGTGAATATATCCTACACTTTTACTTCAGCTGCACTCTCTCTCTCTCTCTCTCACTGTCTCTCTCTCTCTCTCTCTCTCTCTCTCTCTCTCTCACTGTCTCACTGTCTCTCTCTCTCTCTCTCTCTCTCTCTCTCTCTCTCTCTCTCTCTCTCTCTCTCTCTCTCTCTCTCTCTCTCTCTCTCTCTCTCTCTCTCTCTCTCTCTCTCTCTCTCTCTCTCTCTCTCTCTCTCTCTCTCTCTTGGTTTGCCGTTGATAGTTTACACAGGATCTACTTTTCGTGCATAGTATGTTCTACCCGCCAGAAAACACTATGGTTTTAGAGTGAGCCCATCATTAAAGCTTGTAGAAACGTTCATCATAAGGAGATTTTGCTTTGCTGGCTGACTGTAACCATTGATTTACAATGTTGCTTATTCTTCTTCATAGGGCGTCCTCGGAGATAAGGGTGACGATGGCAACTCCGGACCATCCGGTCCCGCCGTAAGTACAGCAAAGAAGTCGGAATAGAAGTAATATTTCTATTATGATGTCTGCCCATTGAGCGTCTCAATAAAAGATCAAGCCCTCAATAATGGAAGCCATGTGTTAGAGCTGCTCGAATAATGTTCTCACGGTGATGTAAGTTGCTCACCTGAACATGCCCTTCTTTCATTAGCCAAAGTAAGCAGAATTGCACGTGCCTTTGGATATTCAATCCGTTGAACATGCACATTGACACTGGTGTCCATTGGTTACACAAACGCTGTTCGAATACCGGGACTGTACAAACATGCCGGCCTAATGGTATGTGTTTGTGTCTGTGTTCACTGCTATTCGGCTTCTACTCACAGGGAAGTCCTGCTCCTCAAGGCCCACCCGGTGATGTCGGCGAGAAGGGAGAACCCGTAAGGAGATAGGCAATGTCTCTGTAGATTAGACTGTGTATTTGCATGTGCTTGGAATGCAGTTGGTGTCCATGTGCTGAGGGATATGACCTTAGTAAAAAGGTACTGCCATTCTTGGTGGGCGATCATGTGCACCATGCATGTAGCGTGCAACCGGACTCCCTTGTTGTTATCCTAACAGAGTGCCGGTGGACCGCTCCCATCGAGACACGTTGGAACATTTAAATTGGGATTTACAGTCCGGTATTTTGTAAAAACTCGCACGTGTACGTGTGTCAATGCTGAATGTGTTCCTGTGTAGACCTGTTGGGATATGACTGTCTTCTGCATTGTATTGTTTTGCAGGGTGACACTGGTGCAGATGGTGCTGTAGGACCTCGTGGAGATCGTGGACAAGCTGGTTTGGACGGAACTCCAGGCGCAAAGGGCGCAAAGGGTGACGGTGGCCCTGCTGGACCAGATGGCTCGACCGGCGACCCAGGAATTCTCGTAAGATAATACTCTCTCAGCGCGTTTGTGTTAACGTATCAATGTCTACCTTACGCTTTTCAATAGCAGCATTTGTCTGAGAGGAAGTACAGTGTAGTGATAGAAGTGTTTGATAACCTTGTCACTGGGTGGGATCTGTATCTGTTGCTGCTTATTGATGAGATGATTTTTCTTTCGCCACTTTCAGGGACTTCCCGGAAACAGAGGACAAAAGGGTGTACAAGGTCCACCAGGAGCTGAGGTAAGAATGTTATATGTTTTGATGTGCCTTCCCTTCACGTTCCTGCATCTCCTGAAAGACGCACTTTCTGTCAGTGTGCCTCGGTCTCGATGAAAATTGAAGACAATTTCCATAGGTTCATTTGCTTAATTTTATTGTTGTTGCTGTTGTTCTTTTGTCCTCTGGACACTTCTCAGGGTCCAGCTGGCGGAGATGGCCCACCAGGACCCGACGGAGAGCCAGGCGCAGACGGAAACCCCGGCCCATCAGGAGTGGATGGATCACAAGGAGCAGCAGGACCAGAGGGACCAGCCGGTGGCAACGGACCAACTGGAGATCAGGGACAGCCTGGACCAGCGGTAAGTAAAGATGTCCAGTACACCCTGGGTGGCAATATTATGCCCAAAACGAAAGCCATTGGCCAAGAAACAGCAGTTACTGAGCGTAGCTGTGCAGGTGGAGTATTTCCCTGTGCTGCGGCAGTACAGTTAAACTTTAGATAACTCGATCCCCTGTAGGCAGGATTTCTTCATAAGGGCTTAGAATAGGAAGAGGGTTTGGATAATCAGGGTTGTACCATACCAGCAGATTCTCTATGTGTTTTGGTCTCCCTGAGGGTGAGTGGGTACGTATCTGGAACTAAATGTTATCATGTTGTGCTGAACATTCTTGATCACCTCCAGTGATCGAAAGCTGTATCGTTAGCAGAAACTTCTCAGCTGTCACTGCGATCATATGCAATGTTACCTCTTCTTTTTGCGTTATTGTACACGTGGGAAGATGATTGATTAGACATTGTGGTACCACTGCCTTTGACTATGTATGTGTGTGTTCTCTGCAGGGTGTCAAAGGTATCAAGGGCGAGACAGGACCACTAGGGGCCCCAGGTCCACAAGGATTCTCCGGTACTGACGGTGCTCCAGGAGCCAAAGGACCCCGTGGAGATCCGGTAATTACTTCTCAATCACTCTCTTCTCCATCACTAAGCAAACCTTTCCCCAGCTGGACAGTGTACTGCATTGTATACGAGGGGCACGAAGCCAGCAGAGAACATAAGGTGGTTGATGGACACAATTGGAGAGGAACATCATGTGCAAACAGTGCAGTGGGTTTGTGATTCAACGTGACCCGCAGTAGCTTAATTCTGATCGTCTTATGGTATGTGTGCCGTTCCGGATGGGACTGTGTTTTGTAGGGTCCAGCCGGAAACGATGGTGCTGATGGCCTTCAAGGACTCCAAGGCTTCCAAGTAAGTGCTTGTATATCTGGACTGCGTTCATAATTCAGTTGTTGTTGGTAGTACGGTTCAACGGATACTCATCAGACTAACAACAGGTGTCACTAGTACATGAATACCTACATTTGCACAACTGGAACCTTACCCCGCCTTCCTGGCAGGTATCCAGTTCATCAGCAATTATCAAATGCAATATTGGGCATAAGGCTAGCAGCCCAGCATTCAGTTGCACGACTGCAAAGGACGAAAATTATTAATATTTTTTGAACGTCTTAACGAGTTAGCCGTCATGCTGTCATTGTGTGTTGTGCAGGGAGAGAGAGGTGATGCTGGTGAACAAGGAGACAAGGGACGTATTGGAACAGGAGGCAGCAGTGGCCCGCCCGGTCAAATTGGAGATCCCGGTACCAAGGGTAGATCTGGACAAGCAGGTGCCAGTGGTGTATCTGGAGGTGTTGGACCCAGCGGTCAACGCGTAAGTCACGTAGTCCTGGCTAGGGAAGTGTTCAGAAGGCGTTTTCAAATCTATGTCAGATTGAATCATTCCACCACCCCTCACCCATCGCCGAACACAAATCCTATCTAAGATCAACAATATTAGAGAAATTTTTCATTGCGTAGATTTGTACTGGCAAATATCTCACATCTTCTAATAAGTATCACGCACGCACACCACTATCAGCACAATTACCACCCTAAGCGAGACTATTATCAAAATTGAAAATAGTCTTGCTTTTGTGGTAAATGTGGGTGGGAAATGTGCTTGTGTTAGTCATGATATGCTGGCAAAAATCATCATGTTATCTGGTCATCTTGTACGTTTTTGGACAGGGTCAAGGCGGCAAGGACGGCCGAGCTGGCCCAGACGGTGACGTTGGTGATGCTGGTGATCAAGGACCTGACGGACCAGGCGGTGATGCAGGTGCAAGAGGCTCAAAGGGAGAGCGCGGAGAGAACGGAATGGACGGACTGCCAGGAAAGAACGGTGCAAACGTAAGGATTCCTTTGTGGCACAGAGCTGAATGAATGACAGACAGTTTGGACACTGGATACATGTCTGTCCCTAATCTAGTAGCTCTCATTGAGAAACATAGAAGGCTTGGATTAGACCATCATGGCCCGCTACAATATTATTTAGTGGTAATGCCGGGTCCACCTTCGTGAAGCACTGAGGGGTGCAGCAACGCTCCTATCTGTACTAGTGAGATCACTGTGTTTCGTGGAATGATGCATTATATATGCATGCTTGAAAGCATATGATCTGTGTTCTGATGGAAGATGCATTCATAGGAGGAAGTGCAATGGTGTTCTTAGTCACCAGACTATTGGGTCAACTTCATCTGTGTGTGCTGCATATGCTTGTTTCCAGGGACCTCAAGGACCTGCCGGACCACCAGGATCACAAGGAGCAACAGGCCCACGCGGCCATCAGGGACCCAAGGGTCCTCAAGGAGACCAAGGCCCCAAGGGACTTCCCGGCCCCAAGGGTGCTAACGGACCAAACGGCGAGGCTGGCGAACGAGGACCTGCTGTAAGCCACAAGCAACACGCAGCACTTGCATACGGTAGAGATTTTCTGATTCTGAAATTCAGCTAAATATTGCTATTGTATGGAGACCGTGGTATATTTTTTCAGAGCTAATGATGTTGGGGTCAATACTGATGTGATGACAAGGGCAGCAATATTGGGTATGCAATGGTGCTACTGGGAGGATACTAAAACTAATGGCATTAAAATTATCAACAGCACCGTTCTAGTCAAGGTTCACACCGACATCCCTGTATTTACGTTGGATGTAATTCTGCTACTTTCCCTCGCCCACAGGGACCTAAAGGTCCACCAGGCCAGCGTGGACCACCTGGCAATGCTGGATCACAAGGCACACCCGGACCAGACGGCGAGGTTGGACCTGCTGGCGACAATGGCCCGATCGGCTCAGCCGGATCTGCTGGCAACCCCGGAGCACCTGGCTCGCAAGGCCCATCTGTAAGAAACGCGCTTAAATGATGTGTATGCAGTCCTTGCATGATATGTATGCAATGCATAACGCTTGTCCTGTAACCACAGAAATGCAGTGGGTGAGAGTGTCCCTGATGTTTCTCAAGTGGTGGCCATCTGCATGAATCCTCATCTTCAATAAAGTTTTCGCCCTTCAAAGTATCGTTCCTAGATGAATGCAGTGAAAGCAACTTGGCTGTGTCCTCAAATTGATCCAATCTTTTTTTTAAATTCTAGTATGATAGCGCACAGTACTGAATTTGCCATGTTTTGCCCATTGTAGGCTGACTTTAGTACTCAGCTGTGGTGTTTTCTTCACCGCAACACAGGTCCTTAGCAAAATTCGGTGAAAGGTCCTGCGTGATATGCCTGTGTTCCGTTATGCTTCTTGATCTGTGCGTGCAGGGTCCAGCTGGACGTGACGGACAATCTGGTTCCGCAGGCGCAAAGGGACCTAAGGTACGCTTTCTGCTTTTCTAGCTTGTTCTCCGGTTTGGGAAGCGCTGCGCCTGGAGTGCATACAACCATAAAATGCATGAGAATGGCTCCACTTCTTGTTCCCTCTTGTTCTGCTGGAGGACCTCAAGATCTTCTGTGGTGTGCATTGAGTATCTGTTCTGCTGTAGCTGCTCCCCTGATGTGATATACATGTGTGGTGCGTGATGTCCTTGTGTCCCTTACAGGGTAGCAAGGGTCTGCCCGGACCCAACGGCGACGCCGGTAGCTCTGGAATAACTGGACAGCCCGGTGAGCGTGGACCCGCTGGAGGTGTCGGTGCCGCAGGACCTGCTGTAAGTGCCCGAGTGCATGGAAGAGAGCAATGTGTGTCCACCAGGAACTGCACCTCCTTTCTCTCGAGTTCCCCAGACTGTTCATTGTGGTAGTGCAGGCACTGGTAGCAGCTTAGTGTTCGCAACGTATCAATGTTCGCAAATTTTGTGAGACAAGCGTGACGCGAATATCGGCCAGCTTAAAATCGACTTTCGATTGTGAATGTATGTGTATGGCTGGATTTGCCATTGCAAAGTCACAGGTTCTGATGAATGGTGAAAACTTATTGACATGGATATTAGATGGTTTAAAGCAAAGTGAATTACAGCACACACTCTATGGTGGTGGATTTGTTTCGGATAAGTGTGACATGTGGATTTAGTTTCTCTCTGGCCTTGTACCTTCTCTCCCGTATTTTTAGGGTGCCAAGGGACCTGCTGGACCTCAAGGTTTCCGTGGTGCTCGTGGACGTATCGGTGTTTCTGGCCCACGTGGTTTCCAGGGTGCTATGGGACCCAAAGGATCTGACGTGAGTAGATACAGTGTGGAGAGTTATAAGGAGTTAATGTTTGGATCGGCGGTGATGCAGACAAGCAATACTAGTCTTGTACATGCATCTGCAGCGAGCAAGTGTGTCAGTTATGGATGCATGGCTGCCATTTGACCTGCCTGTAGTGTTATTTTTGTTTGAGAATAGATCAGTTAACCGGCAAGGTAGTTTTGACAGCTGAGTGCCAAACAAACATTCGCTATTCCAATCCCAATACTAACGATATTATGGCTTTGTGTGTTTCAGGGACTTTCTGGACCCCAAGGTCCCGCTGGAGCACCAGGCCGTGATGGAGCTAATGGCCACCCCGGAGTTCAAGGCCCACGCGGTCGCTCCGTAAGTTCTTTTCCCAATTGTATGCAATGTCTCCTGCCTTGCAGATTACAAGCCGACTAATGAAGTGATGTTGAAATTGAGCTGTATGTCTGCTTTATGCAACGCGTTTGTGTCTACGGCACTGTATTGCTGCATACAGCACTGCATAATACACATACAGTTGAACTGTGTATTACTCTGGCTCTAAACTAACTTGTGCTGCGTGTTGTGGCTGTGTGATTGTGTTCGGATTCCGTCACGTTGCTTCACGTCATCGGACGACCACCTTTCGACTCTAGGGCCGAGATGGAGAGCCCGTAAGTCCAACTTTAAAATGAGTATTCTGTGCTCTGTGCATAGTGAAGTGCCAGTGTGTAGTGGAGCAGCTTTGCATTTCCTCATACTTCCAGATTTTGGAACCTTCCGAAACAACGTGGGGTATGAGTATGCTCCCAGATATATTTCCTAAGGGAAAGTGACGTATCGTGGGCGTTTAGCTTTATGGGTAGCATGACTGCAACTAATTGATAAGCTATTATAATGCTGATGGAAGTGAATCCCTAATTCTGCCCCTTCTTATTATGCTGATCCTCTTTCTCACTCTTGTTAGGGATCTCCCGGTATGCCTGGCCCAGCTGGAGCACCAGGAACACCGCGCGCCACTGCTTCAGACTCCAAGGCCGGCTCCAAGGACACTGGCAAAGGAAAGGGCAAGGGTGGCGAGGTGTACTACGTTGGCGAGGAGGTACGTTCGCAACCTGTACGAGTACTTTGCTGCTACTGGCTGCACTATTTATGATACCAATGAGTCCCATGTTGGCATGGTCAGATCAGCACATCACGACTGAACACCGCATTTGCGAGTCATTACAAGGCATGACTGTGACACACTTAATGTAACGCAGTACCACCACCTATCTCACCTATCTCAACTCCACTCTCCCCTATCTCACCTATCTCACCTATCTCACCTATCTCAACTCCACTTTCTTGGCACCTTACTGGACTTTGTGATGTGCTAAAACAAAGATAAAGCTCCTGCAGGCGTACATCCGCTGCTCGACTATGAAGATGAGCGCTGCTCTTTGCAATGCATGTGCAAAAGATTAATGTTCGTGACAGCACGTCACCCACAGGAACATTGACTGTGCGCTGTCATGGATTCTGATACATGAGGAAATTGTGCAGAGATTAAGTTGATGTGCATTTTCGGCTTTCGTTCTTGGCTTGCAGAGCGTTGAATTCAGCGAGTACCTCCACCACAAACTGAACTGCAAGCTGAGACCTTCCGGCTCTTTCGAGTGCCCAGCCCGATGCTGCAACGATCTATTCCGTGATCACCCAGACCTGCCATCGCAAGAGTACTTCATCGATCCCAATATGGGACACAATGCTGATGCAATGAAGGTCTTCTGCAAGAAGATTCCAGGCAACTTCAGTCAGACTTGTGCACTTGAAGCCCCCAAGGTAAGCACACTGTGTAGCATGTTTCCGAGGCTCCCATTACCTATCTCATTACCTATCTCATTACCTATCTCATTACCTAGCTCATTACCTATCTCATTACCTAGCTCATTACCTATCTCATTGCGCTGCCTACTGTCTTTTGGTTTAACATCCACAGCCAAAGACGTGCTCGCAGCACAAGAACCTGAAGATGTGCGGCTGCGTTGCCCGTGCTACATGCGTCTACACGTGCGCACCAGGCAACTCACCCAACCCGAATGCAATGAAGATCCTGACATCGTCTCGAGGCTTCGACAAGAGGCTGAGCACTCATGATGTGATGCAAGTGGTGGATGAGGTAAGTTTACTACTCAATTGACATGATATGATACGATACTTTCTGATTCCTTTTTTCATCATTGGCAGAAACCTGATACACCACTCATGTGTTTTTCTATATACTTGAATAATATGTGATGTGAGTATATGACCGACTGCACCGAATGGTACCTCTGGGTTTTGAATATACTTGCACTTATCTAAATAGAGGGAGCGACTTCGGCAATAGTACAGTAATTGAGTGTTGCTCCTTTCGTTTGAGCTCGCACCATTCCTGCTGCAGAGCTCTCGCGTAGGGAGTAACAAACAATTCTCGTACTCGACTTATACCATTATTTGATTAGTAAATAGGCATGCTCCTCATAACCGTCAACTGCTTGGCGTTTTTTCCTCCAGAACATGATGACCGTCTCTATCAGCGGACGCCCAGAGATGTTCCCACTCATGAACTTGTACTTGAGGCATGTGTGTCCTCAGCTGACCGACAATGCAAAGGTAGAGTGCACTTTGCCGTGCTATGGGCAGTAAGTCTTCATCTGTCTCCCTGGGCACACCGTCTCAAACCTCCCGGAGCATCGGATGCGGTCAAATTCGATCTCCAGTTCTTGCAACAACTCACCCGTTCTAGTGACTACCAATGGATGACACTATAGGACGGAGCTCATGTCAGATCTGGATCCTGGAACTCTGCTGAGGTTTTGTTGCTGCTTCCTTGCTACAAGCCAACAATAACTCCACACCTTACAAACTATATACACACACATACACGCACACAGGTAATCAGATAGAGGCTTTATTTCAACACAAAGCCACCCACTACACCAGTATCTGCTCCTAAAACATCACTCACTCACCAACACCCCCCCTTCTCCCTCTCTACGCATACATTCATAATCACTCACGCACTCCTACACGTTACTATCACACACTCTCACCCACCCACACGCGCACACACACACACGTCATTAGGCTCGTGCTCTGCTGACTGCTTTGCTGGATTCCGCCACTGGATGCCTATTCTCTTGTACAGTTGTTGACTGATTCTCTCCGCCACATTCAATGTCCAAGGTCACACATGCTCGCCCGCTAGCATGGGCAATTAACTATTCTGCACGTGCGCAGTCTGTGGCACAGCGTGGAGTGCAGGCTCCTTTTAAGGTTCTTCTATTGCTTCTCGTGTTGTATTATCTGCTTGTCTATACTCTGACTTGCCCTAACGGACCCACACCTTTCCGTAATCAATCGGTTTGATTTTTGATCAGTTGCTGTTCGTCTCTCAACCAGGCCGACGACTAAACCATCCTAGCTATTTCGTGCTCCTTCTTGTAAGAATGAAAGAAGCCACTGTTGTGGCTGTAAACTTGGACAAAGTCTGTACGAATGTCTGCCCATGCATAGCCGTGTACTTTGAAGTACGTGTGTTTGTGTTGGTGGTGCGTTTGGGAGGGGCAGTATCGTCGGCTGCCCTGACTGCTCCAAGGTAGAATGGTATTACAAATATTTTGCTGCTTTTAGGGTTGTATGTTTCAGTGAACTAAGCTAATAATGATACTCGTTGAGAAGGGTAACCGACAGCAGTCGCAGAACCATACCACGGGATAAGAAGAAAAAAGGAAATTGAGGGAAGGGTTTTACCGTATTCGAACCAGTCGGGAAACCTAACACAACTTCCTGATCTGAACCATGAAGCCGCCCTAGACATCGGGGCTTCTATAACGATAGAATGGACACGGTGTTGAGTTAGTGTTGGATCCCCAAGGCGAATATGAGGCGGGTGTCAATTTATGATCCTCCTACCGTGTTTCCACCCTGATCCCACCTACCGGTATTCTCATGATCCTCCTACCGTGTTTCCACCCTGATCCCACCTACCGGTATTCTGAGGATTGGGGAAAGGTGGTTACTACTCAGTACTTAGGAAAAGGGTGGTATGGAAGGATATGTCATCATAATAATAATATCATAATTATTACGAAGTAGTGGTTGCGACTTCGGCGATAATTTGTAAGAAAGGGTTTGCGCGAGCTCCGGTGTGGGGAGCAAACCCTTTCTTATCATAATAATAATTATTATTATTATTATTATTATGTCGGATTGGTGACTCTATAGTCCTTGGCGTTCAACCTCATTAATTAATAATGCTAGGATGTTCCTCTGCTTAAGCCAAGGGGTTTCCCGGATGCACCGGTTCCTCCTGATTAGTTCCACGGTCCCAAGTGGTAGATCTACTTGTGCATTATGTATTCTTATGTATTCCTGGCCGCATGTGGCATGCCAGTTTGTAAATTGTTTGTGATTTTTTCTCTTCTCAGGCAGTTCACTTCCCCGACTGATCCTTTTAGTTTATCTTTACTCTGTGTCGACCTCAAACTGTAGTTCTGTGCACATAACAGTCAGTGTAGAATACTAAATCAGTAAATGCATGTCTCTTGTCTGTGTAACTAAGGATAGTACAAGGCAAGAAAGAGTAATAATAATATTATTATACTACCAAGGCAAGGGGTCATGTACTCTTGACAGTGCTACTGCTAGTACCAGTACTGCACGTCTACACTACTGCAGTAGTGGTACTGGTAGGTAGGTATGTTGAGTCGAAGTCGCCAGCATGTTACCATGGTTGCAAGGCAAGGACGCACAGTGCTCCTGACTACAACAAAATTATTATTGTCCATAACTTAAGCATAACCCGGTAACCATGGTAACATGTTGTCGACTTCGAAAGGCTGCAATGCAAATGCATCGTCACCAGCTTACATGCAATACATAACATTGTACATTTATGGCGCATATATGCGCGAGGTTGTGGCCGTAGTGTAAGGCCAAACCGGCGCCAGGCCAGGGGAACAAGTTTTGCGCGCCAAAAACATACAATGTCATGTAGATTCGACTAGGACCCATTCTATTTCTAGGGTCTAATGCGTAATGACTAATGTGGAACCGGGGTTACACGAGGAGTGAAGGCGGAGAATGTAACAGTCTTGCCTTTTCTTTCGCTGAGAATTTATGAAAAACTGGAGCGATTTGAGGCCAAACACACTGACTGTCACATGCGCGCGAAGCCCAAGCTCCGAAGCGTAGTCATGGTAATCATATAAATGGCGCCAGCCGGAATAGCTGCCCAAGAATTCAAGACAAGATGAATGGAAAGAGCATAAATTTACCGTTCAGACTTTTTGGCGCGTAGTCATGGTAGCCAAGCGAACCTGCTCGTGTGCAAAGTAGGGTCTCGGAATAAGCATCGAAAACTGCATTGTATTACTCAATTAATATTTACTGTCTTGATGGCCTCCAGTCCAACTCCAAGGGAAGGGTGGGTCATGATCTTGAGACCTACATCTTGCATGCTGCTGAAGAATAAAATAATTGAACACCATACTCCCTGGACGTTGGGAATAGGTAACTGGTTCCTTGATCGATACAAGTACTTCAAAAGTAAATTCCTCAGCATATTCCTAAAACTATGGCCCATATGGGTCACTGAGCTGCGGGTTGTCGTGACTGAGATTTACATCTACATGTACATAATAAAGCCCCACACACAATAAAGCAATATTTCCCGCAGACTTTGGTAGCAATATTTCCCGCAGACTTTGGTACTTTTTCTGGTAAGTAATAGTTTCCGATGATGCATGTTTGGCATGTGGATAAAGAAATCGAGAGCAGAATTCAAGGAAGTGCCTGCCATACGGCTTCTATGGCTCTGGCCATTTCACGCGGCTTTTCGAGCCCGAGAATCTGCCAATATTCCGAGCTTTATCCGCCAAGGGCTATCCATCTCTCCCGACCAGGAACGAAACCGTCCCTGCTCAGCACGGACTTTGGGGAACGCACATGTATGCTGACCGACAATGCATGTACAGCGGTGCACTTGTTGGTGTGACAGCATCTCTTCCTGTCTCTTTCAAAGCAAAATTCCACTGCTCAACCAGAACCCAGGCTGCGCAGCTTGCACTGTGCACACGGATAGACATCAGTGCACACGGATAAAGGACCTCAGTGGTGAACGACGTATTTTAGTGCAACTATTACTAATAAGTCTTATTACTGAAGTACGTGTTTCTACAATGATGATGTGCTGGTGGAGGCTTGCGTAGTTCAAGTCCGTTTGATGTTTGTTGTTTTTACTGGACAGGAAACTCAGAGTTATGGACAGACTTTGGTTTTGGGGCCATTGTGTAGTGCAAGTAATACTTATTGTATTTCATCCATCACCGTTCTATGCGCATGCATCAGCGAGGGGTACGTCATAGTACGAATATTATGTACAATGTGGACCCACCACAGCATGGATCTATTACAGCTGGTGTATCCACTACAGCGTGATACATGAACATGACCATAATACCGGTATTAAATGGCGGAGGAATACGAAACGTCTCACCTGTCATTGCGTGATTAGACATGAAGTTAGTTTGGCATTGCGAATATAGACAGTTTCAACGGAAACTGGGTTCGGGAGTCATGCGTAGCTCGTTTCGAAAAAATGGAATTCTTTGTCTTTTATCACATCAAAGGTCGGACAAGAAGTGCTAAATATTTCCCTATCATGCGAGATATCTCCCGATTTTTGTAATGTTTTTGAAACATCTCCATCTCTCCCGACCAGGAACGAAAACGTCCCTGCTCAGCACGGACTTTGGGGAACGCACATGTATGCTGACCGACAATGCATGTACAGCGGTGCACTTGTTGGTGTGACAGCATTTCTTCCTGTCTCTTTCAAAGCAAAATTCCACTGCTCAACCAGAGCCCAGGCTGCGCATTGTGCACGACTAATTTTTGGTGTGTTTTTGTTATTGCAAGGAATTCCCCGCGTTGAACTCGAAGTGTAACACTAACAGCACTCGGTACTCAGCATTACATGTACGATGAGTCCTAACGCCCATGTAACAATAATCATGATAATGTTTGGCGAAGCATCATCCACTAGCCACTGCATGCATGCACCGGATGAAGTGTGAAATGTTCGCGGCATAATAATATGCGTACACCTACGCCGCTTGTGCCCATGGTGATGGTCGTCGAAGAAAGAAATGATCGACAGACGTCAAGACTACAACAACAAACGGGTGGAAACATCGCAATCCACCATTTTCCACCACAGGAATCAGTACTATTAGTATTACTAGATCTGCAGGCTTCTGTTGTAAGCTAATTTGTGGGATATCGGAGTATTACTATTAGTATCCTCAAGAAGATGACTGTCTTCTCCCCAACAAGCAGTAAAGGTAGGTCTCACTCAGGATGTCCTAGGATACGTGTGTTCCAGGAGCCCCCTGTGGACAGGAACAAGGTGAACGTAAATGCAAAAGACTGTCTGGAGCTCCACATTTCGTCACAAATCAGTTGTTGTCTCTCTCACTCTCTCTGGTTTGTTGTTACAGTACGTGCAAGCACAAAACGTCGATAATGCTGTGTAGAGTCCTTCGGCGAATCCTTCTCGCCAATCTCGGTATTCGTAGCCGCTAGAATCCGAAAACCTTACTCAGCTTGATAGTCGCGCATCGCATCAAAGAATAGATGGATGAATTGATAGAGCGAACTGCTACTTGATTGCTACCTGCGCGCACTCTGCAAAGGACTTACATGCACATTATGAGTGCGCCGCACGAAATCTGCGTTCACATCACCATGATCACCATGATCACTAGCTGCGCTCCGTCGGATCACGTGCGCTCGCGAAGTCTGTGCGGGCTTCTATATTGTGGTTGGCGGCGGTGAGCTGACGGCAGATTTGGTTGTTAGCTCCACGACAGCACCTGTCCTAGGATGGACTTCAGAATGTCCACCTGTCAACACATCTCGTCGATGCAAGCCCCCTTTACCTAGTCCTTCGCATGTAGCTTCGCGACGGCCTGCGACGATTTGACTACACGGGAGGGAAAGTGACAGCTGGTCACGAGTCGATTGCAAATGTCAGGGTGCCCGAGAGCGCGGCGAGGTTCTTAGGATTGTTTTGACGCGGCGTTTGGCTACATGTGCGCGCGGTGGGCAAATGCTGTTCGGACATCACTACTATTCACTGTAGACAGGTGCGCCGTGCACGTGTGAAGATACCAGCATGCTGATCTGGGTGCGTGGTTACAGGACCGATGTGTCCAATGGACGGCTAATTGACAGCCGAGAAGTGATGTCGGCTGATCGGTGATCCGGAGTCGTGGCTCTGGCAGTGCGGATTATGCATCCTGTGTTTCGGTGTGCCTCCACTGCCAGTATTCGTAAGTCTTGGCAAACGCAGGAAATTCTAACTGGTCAGTCGCGCATAACTGGATTAGCCACGCATATGGTCAGCAAAGTCTGCAGTAAAGTCCAGCTACTAGCTAGTCCTAGTCCACGGACACCACAGAGCTGAGCCCATCTGTAGCTGATCTAGACTTGGGTGTAAACCTGATATGGTCGGAGTTGCACATGCACTGACTCAGTGACTGACTGAAGCAAGCAGCTCAGATACGGACCAAAGTGCTGAAGCAGTGTAGGTCATAGTGCAAGTAGGGCAGTATTCAGCACCCGTTCCATTGGTGTCCTTTACTGTGGAGTTCTGTCTGCTCTTCGAAACGGACTGGTGTGCTGTACTCTGGACTAGGCAGCAAGCAGCCAGGTGCTGAGAGAAAGAGATCTTGAGGACTAGGCTGGTGGGTTAGCTTGCCCTTCTGCTGCTGTTGACCTATTGCCTGGAGTGAAGGCTGACTGGAGCTGTGCTGCTGTGTGTGCTTGCATGTGTGGCTGTGTGTGTGTGTGTGGACTTGTGTGCCGTACATTGGTTCAGCTCAGTGCGGCTGAACAACGACGCCAGCCACTCAGTCAGTCATGAGACTAGCAATACTCCTAGGGGCTGCTGCCCTATTCACCTTGGCTGCAGCACAAGAAGGTCAGTGTTGGAGGCATGGGCGCTAATTACACTCTGCTCATCATCAATAATAGTCTCCGTAATCATTGGCAGTTTTGCCGGAATTAGAGTAAATTGACAATGAAAAAATAAAAACACAAGAACATCTTTCACACAGCTTCAGTACCACTTAGAGGGATGGGAACTAATTGTCAACTATGTTTCATGATGGTAACACTGCTATTGTTGCTGAAGGAAGGCTTCTTCATTACACAAGGGCATGCTGTCAGACCTGGTTCCAATGGGAAGTAGATTTGCAAAGCCAGTGTGTATACTTCTGCAGTGCCATCAGCACCACATACATCAGTGTGCTCGACCTATGGAATCGTGAAATACAGGGAGAGGGGCAGCTGCTTCCTTTACTTGTATGTGAAAATGAACTAAAACTAAAACCGGCATATCACCAAACACAATCTCTTTGTCATTGGCACCACATGGGGCTTTCTTAATTGACTTCTGGGAACGCCATGCATGCAGTTTTGCATCCATGTGCAACTAAGTACGTTCTTAGCTATCAAAATAATTACAAGTGTAGCTTACTATGCACACATAGTTCCTACCCAAGTCTTTTAAAAGCCTACTTCTGCATGGTAACAAGTCATGCCGTCAGCAGCCATAGCTCTGTTTGTTTCAACAGTATTTAAAGGCTGCGCGGGGCGTCTATTCATTTCAACCAATCACACAGCTTGTCTGCCCACAGTAATTCGTCATGGATACAAGTTTCCTTTTCACTCACACCCATTATACGTGCACACACACATACACACAAACACTCTCTTTGGGTTGCATTATGCTTTTCTAAAAGGGATCCGGTTTCTTAAAAGGATGCTAGCTGTTTCCATCAACATCAATGTGGCTAATTAAGGATCCTCTGATCATGCTACAATTTGTGCATTGAGTTGAACAATCGTAGTTTCAGGAGGCTGCAAGGCGCCATTCGTCAGATATTCCCGATTTAACTTGTGTGCGCAATGCGCTGTATACCAGTGGTGATTCCACTACGACAACCCAGAGATCCCCCCCCCCCCTCCCCCCACACACACATAATATGTAATGCAACATGGCTGATGTTGGCTTGTAGCTTAATTGGCTTTTGAAACAAAGTATCACAGTGCTCCAAGACCTACAGCAATACACCGTTCCCCAAATCATGAACGTCCTAACAGTTACCCACCCATGTTGCACTCAACTTACATGTGCACCTCTAGCCAGCCCTCAGTGATATCATTGGTGACATCATCACTCGAAGTTGGCGCACAGCACATGATTTGATTGTTCTAAAGATTACTATCTTCATCACACGAATGACCCATTGTTGATGGCAGTCTCAGCCTTCACAGATATCCACATAGTCGCACTTAAAAAAAAAAAAAAAAAAAAAAATTCACGGTTCGCGTGAGACTCGGCCAAAGGCCCAGTTTTCCGCATCCGCAGGAACGCCACCACCCTCTTGGATCAAGGCGCAGATGCAGCTCCTAAACAGTGGGAGGTGAGTAGATCAGACCCACCACAAAGTGGTCAAAGACCGAAATCCCATTCACTGCATCCATGTTTCCCTCGTGCCAGGCCACGAGTTCCCAATTAACTGTGGGTCGCAGCACGGCTGGAAAAAATCCTTCCGCTTCCAAGCAGGACTTGAACCTGGTACCCTCTGTTTCTCAATCATGGTCTTAGACCATCCCACTATGCCTGCACACTTAAAGCCATCAAAATTCGAGCCATGGGACCCAAGTTCAAAAAAATGCTGGGTGGGGCCTTCTCCACCTTCCTGTTCCTAAGCGCTGATTCCCCCCACCTCTGTGTCGTGCTAGACTTGTCCTGGGAAGAGAAACACACACTCTCTCTACCACTGCTGCTTAGGTACTGAACCGTTATCCCTGACTTCTTGGTACCCGTAACCGTACGAAATGCTCTAAGTACATCATTGCTGCTGCCTCTTGCTATCATTCTAGCACTGAATAAACTTGCTCTGTCACATTTTACCTCCCAGTAGTGTCGTAGACTTAAACATTTCCTAATTTTTTTTCAGACAGTGCCAGCATTCTGTCCTGCCCTGCTATTTTCTTGCTGTTCAAGTCATCGTTTTGTTGCTGTGAACCCCATTTGGTCCAAGCTGACCATTATGAACGGCTTTTCCTTTCTCATGTCCACTTCCTTCCTGAGCGAACAGCTGTGCTGGCAGAAATACTGACCGGAAGAAGGTCTTATGTGAAAAGCTTCCATTGCCAGTATCGGCCACCAGTGTGGCTGGCAACCATACAGTGAAGCATCATTCAAGATTTTAGTAAAAGAAATATTGGATGAATAATACAGTAACACCTGTAACTAAAGACCACCGTGACTAGCGACCAGCCTGGTACTAAAGACCACCGTGACTAGCGACCAGCCTGGTACTAAAGACCACCGTGACTAGCGACCAGCCTGGTACTAAAGACCACCGTGACTAGCGACCAGCCTGGTACTAAAGACCACCGTGACTAGCGACCAGCCTGGTACTAAAGACCACCGTGACTAGCGACCAGCCTGGTACTAAAGACCACCGTGACTAGCGACCAGCCTGGTACTAAAGACCACCGTGACTAGCGACCAGCCTGGTACTAAAGACCACCGTGACTAGCGGCCAGCCTGGTACTAAAGACCACCGTGACTAGCGACCAGCCTGGTACTAAAGACCACCGTGACTAGCGACCAGCCTGGTACTAAAGACCACCGTGACTAGCGACCAGCCTGGTACTAAAGACCACCGTGACTAGCGACCAGCCTGGTACTAAAGACCACCGTGATTAGCGACCAGCCTGGTACTAAAGACCACCGTGACTAGCGACCAGCCTGGTACTAAGGACCACCGTGACTAGCGACCAGCCTGGTACCACAAACCACTTCGCCAGGCACTGATGGTCTCACATTCATATATGGTTGTGCGGTGCAAACCTCTAACTGAGGACCACCTGCCACTAAAGACCGCTTTCTCTGGCCCCAAGGGGTGGCCGTTAGTCACAGGTTTTAGTGTACAGTCCACTCGGACCAAGACCAATCGGCTAACCGACCTAGAGGCTGAACGTATTATGTACACGGTATTTCCCTTTAGATATGTGAGGAAATCAACTCTGGTGTTCATTTTTTAATGGTAATCTGGCTTGTGTTGCAGATGGACCAGTGGGAGACCCAGGTCCACCTGGACCAGATGGACCCCCAGGACTACAAGGTCCCCAGGGTATGGTGGGAGATAATGGCATCAAGGGAGAGAAGGTAAGAATAACAAATTTAAGAAGTACTTCCTCCGTTAACAAGAACTTCGCGATGGATTTTGATGGATATGAAAACGCTTAGGTCAGGAACAGGTCAGGAATAGGTTGTATCGACTGCAAATCACTGGTCGAAGGTAGTTCAGCCTATAAAGAGCGTCTTTACGAGAGAAACTGTAGGCGGAATGAGCAAGGAGTTCAGTTTGCGGCGCTTTCACTCGACTCCTTTTTGATCCTGCGTCACTGTCGTCACCTGCGAGTCGTCAGCTCTCTCGAGTCGTTGTTCAGCTCGTTTCAGCCTTGCCTAGACTTCTATGATAACACTCCGCTGAAGATTATGTCGCCGTCGTTCAAGTAACTTGGCTTTCAAGCTGCGTGATCCGCTGCGGTGGCGATTGCTTGTTTCAACCAGGGAGTCGTTTTAATATTTTACGACTCCCTGGTTTCGTCTCCGCTCTCCAGAATTCCGCGAAACAAGGAGTAAAGGCACAGCCAAATTGATCCCATATTCTCTCATGGATACACATGCCAGCACTGAACAGCAGCGGCTAGCAAGTCCAGTTGATTTTCCTTAGCCATGAGACTCGCCTTGGACAGCGGACTTCTGAAAGAATGCATGGTCATCAGCATTCGAATCTGGGCTTTGCGCAGGTTGAACAATAACTTTAATTCAGAATTATTTCTTTGCGTCATGCGATCGGAGCAGCTACTTTTTTCACTATCCCATTGTGTGGGCTTGCTCCTTCGTTCCATCGCTCTCTATCAAACTCAGTGCTAGAGTAGTAGAGATGCCAAGCACCGCATTATCCCCTCGGAGAAGTGATATTTCAGTTTCGCTCGCCATGACTGTCATCACTTATATTGCCACAGCGCAACCATCGATCTCGCTCGGCTACTTGTGAAAGCTTGCTCTCCTTGCATCGTACCTCTTTCATGGCATGCTAGGGAAGGCCGAGAAAGTGATCGCGACTCATTTCACGGCAGTTTGTGCGCAAAACATTCCCTCAAAAATCCATCACGAAGTTTTTGCTAACGGAGGAAGTAGTTTCTGCAAACATGCTTGTCTACATTGTTTCAGGGTTTATAAACCGAAATGTTTACAACAAGTTGGGAAAGCTATCAGGAGTATAAGGGATGCAGACATCGCCACTTACAGCAATACAAGATGTAGTTTATAGCACTATTTAACCAGGACTGCAAATTCCGTATACCATCACTGATGAGTGGAACACGAAAATTTAAATTCTGGATTTGATTTGCACGAAATAGAGATTGCGACTTCGGCGATGATTTTGTACTTAAAAGTACATTGTAGATCTTGTGAGAGCAGTGGAGTGGAAATTGCACGGTTACTTGATGCTGGTTTGTTTGCTCAGCCATAACGTTAAATCTTCTGGATGTCTCCAGGACAGTAGTCACAATTCCATTTACAACTACTTTTATTGCAATTTTCCTGAACCCCCGCCCCACCTATTTTAAACTTCGCCAACTGAACTAATCATCTCGCCAGGTAGGGTTCCTAAAAGGAGGGAGTAACGTCCTCACACTGGTCTAACCTCTAAGCATTTTATGTGGAAACTTCTTGTACCAGTGCAGTGTGGGTTTTTTCAGTTAAAATGTGTTGGTTTGGGCACTTGTTGAAGGTGCCAAATGATTTTCAGGTGGCATTTTTGTGATTTACCCCCCCCCCTCCCCCTGATTGCCCCATGCCAAAATTCATTATTGCTGAATTCTGCCAATGCTGGAGTTAACATGCAGTGAATTTGACATTCATCTGTGTTCTTTTTTTTTAGGGTCAACCAGGCCAGGATGGTCTAGATTCAAGCGACCCTGGAAACTCCGGTCCAGTCGGTCCCCAGGGTCCCAAGGGTCAACGGGGTGCAGCAGGATTGCCCGGTGGAGCACAAATTGTCCGCTGCGAAAGTGCGGGTAACTGCCCACCTCCCCCGTCCATCTCATCGGTGAGTCATTGCTGCCATTGCCGCTGCCGCACAGTTGTTTCAAGGATCCTGCTAGGATCTGCTTCTTGTCGTCGTTTTTGCCTTGCCTTGCTGTTACCCTCTTTTGTTGTGAAGCTCCCCATGTCAGTGTTGTTCGACATGCGCTTTGAGATCGTGTTGAATTAATAAAAGAGACTATAATATATCTTTCTCCATTGTCTGTCGAACTGTCTGGAGATTGCAATGGGCATGCAACTCTAGGCAGTAACCCAATCCTATCAGTGCTTTTGACTTCCCTGTATTTTGGATTTCCTCCAGTGCATGTTCATATGCACATGTAGAGGCGGACTGCGTTTTGATTGTGCTTGCGGCATCGTCGGCATTGCTATTTCCGGAAACTATCCTCGGTGTGTGGCTACATTTCAAAATACTAAAGATAGAATCACAGCTTGAAATGCACAATGCTGAGCATGTTACCTACCGTCTTAGTATAGCCGCTGTACATGACTTGTGCTATTGTGCTTACAGAAAGGCCCACCTGGCCCTATGGGACCTCAAGGAAACAGAGGACGCCACGGAAAGAGAGGTCGTGATGGCTCACAGGTGAGTGCATGTGGCTATGTTTTTGTTTTGTTTTTTTTAAATATTTTTTACAAGGCATCCACAAACCATCCATGGTGCACACGCCAGCAAGGGATAGCAAGGGAGGCACAGGACGATGGCAGCTGATGCAGTGGAGGCGGCTTAGAAGCAGCTAAACCGACCAAGGGTCTCCGCATCAACACCACTCATGCGAGCCATGTAGAACTAATTGTAACTGGCTACCAGTTTTACACATATTTCAAACCTGCCATCTTTCCTATAGTGTTTTAAGCTCCGGGGTGCTCACGGGTGCCATCAAGCCTGGAGTGAGACATGAGATATCTCCTACATTCCGGAATATCTTATCACATGCAGGCTAATTGGATTCTTCTATTTTCTTCTTTCCGTTACTTGTAGGGATCAGCTGGCAGTCAAGGAGCACAGGGTGTAACTGGACCTCCAGGACAAATGGTACGTTCGATTTCAATGTAACGTTGGGCAATTTTGCCGAAATGTCGTAAAAATGAATTGATTTAAAAAGAGTTCGATATTATTGTTCCAGAGTGAATGGCAAAGAGTGAGTCTTCTCAAGAATCTTCTTCCTACGTTACGAGTCTTTCTATAAATTCAGGTGTGAGCGTGACACGGGTCTTATCAGCATCACCATAGCCGTTTGTTATAGACTATTTCACATCCCCTCTCCAGGTACACTACCAGTGCTGCCAAACCGTCTGATTTTTCGGACAGTGTCCGATTTTTGAAGGCTCTTCCGAAAACCGGTCCGAAAAGGGAAACGTCCGAAGAGCAGCCAAAATGTTGGAGATCATTACTTTCCTATGCAGAAGTCCTGTACTTTCACTTTTCAGCGCAACTGAAGGCACACATCACTGTACATTTGCTTCTAAAAAGGCTAGCGCTTGGCTGTGGAAGTGCAAAGTAACATGCCTGGATCAGGCTGGATGGCATGTACACTGACAGTCTGTACAGAGTCAGTGTGCGACCACGCTCATCATTACAAAATTCCTGACAACTCTAGGGGTACCATGGCAACGAAGCAAATTTTCATGGTGTTTTAGGCGATATTTTGAATTCTCTGTAAACTATTTGCCGAGGAGAAAGGTTCGCACCACGTGGCCAGCCTTGGCGATGAAGGGTGTCCGATTTTGGGCGAAAATTATTTGGCAGCACTGCACTACCGTGGGTACAAGTTGTACATTTACTTTGCCGTAGGAGTGTGTACATTGCTGGCTTTACGCCTTTAGATTGCTCTGCTCCAGAGGAGGCGGCTAACTGGATAACGTGATGCACATAAGATCACTGACCGATGCGGTATTCTAATGTTCTCTCGTTACACTCTTTAGGGTTCCCCTGGCGCTGCTGGAGCGCCTGGAGAGACCGGATCCGCTGGACTGAATGTAAGTCGCTTGCCATGTATAACATCTGACTATATTCCGAAAAGTTCTTCGTGAGTGGTGTTCTGAAGCGGTGAGAATTATTGATGCTCTGAGGTTGCTACGACGGTGTTCTGAGGTTAATCTCAGGGTGTTGTGAGGTTGCTCTAAGGGTGCTCTAAGGGTGCTCTGAGGGTGTTCTGAGGTTGCTCTGCGGGTTCTTCTATCTCAAGTATCTCTTTAGACATCTGTTGTCTCTGTTGACCCATTTATGTCGTCTATTGTGTTGGTTATCTTGTAGGGCATGGATGGTCCCCCAGGACCCGATGGCGATGCTGGACTCACTGGACTTCAGGTAAACTATGGAAGAGGATGTGTGTTGTGCAATCATGATAATATTATTACTGATGTTGAAAAGATAACTGTCGACCCAATGCAAATGGCATAGAATTTGTTTGGCATCATCTGGCAATGCTGCATGTGTTTTATTTACATTTTCATCGGCGAACTCTGAACTTTGTTTCACTCTGCCCTGCTGTGTTCTGTTCTCAGGGTATCCAAGGACCTATGGGCCTTGCTGGAAAGGCAGGTCCCCAGGGTTTCAAGGTGAGGCTTTCAAAATTCGCGTTTCTGTTCATCGCTTGCATAGATGGAACCTGGATCCAGTGTATTCTCACTTGCTCCTCCCTAACACACACAGATAGAGAGAGATGGTGATACAGACAGACAGACAGATAGATAGAGAATGTGTGTGTGTGTGAGAGAGAGAGAGAGAGAGAGAGAGAGAGCGATAGAAAGAGGGAGATATAACGAGAAAGAGCGAGAGAGAGAGAGAGAGAGAGAGAGAGAGAGAGAGAGACAGACAGAGAGAAAATAAAGAGATAGATAGATAGAGAGAGAGAGAATCAACATTTTTCGAGTGTCTGTATGCACCCTAAGATTGATTGTGTTACTGAGCAATGCAACCATATTAATTCCTGTGCGTTTTTCTGTTTCTAATCACAAAGGGTGATGCCGGCTATTCAGGATACCCAGGAAGAAATGGTGAAGATGGACAGAAGGTGAGCTTTGTTCATCCTTAGCTGGCCCAGCAGTTATTATAATAATGTATTCAGTTTATATCTTAGCTGTGACATGAGCAGTTGCCTCGGCTATTTGCATGCTGGACCTGTGTCATATGCTTGAAAATTGATGTGCCTGGATAAAAGAAATCTACAACCTCTCATGTGTGTGTTATCTGCTTTTCCACCCTTCTTAGGGATCCCGTGGACCGAGTGGAAATTCTGGCGCTGACGGCGTTCCCGGCAAAAATGGTGAAGCTGGCCCCCGTGGTCCCGACGGACCCCCCGGCAGACCCGTGAGTTTTCCCTGCCGCGCTTTAGCTTAACCAAACACGGTGTTCTGGTCAATCACTCCATGTTACTAGTGATATATGATTATTCATTATGGGACATATTCATCGGGAGGATCTTTATGTGAGCCTTTAAATGCATATTTATATTGACGGTATTTAGAACAATTAGGTTTTTTTCGCATACCCAGCTAGGACAAATGCATAGGTTGTGGCAATATCTAACTGTTATGATTCCTTGCTTTTCGTTCTTTCCATTGTCCATGTAGGGTACCCCTGGAAAGGCAGGTCAAGATGGCGCACCCGGTGCACAGGGTCCAGTAGGACCAGCCGGCACAGCAGGTCTCCGTGGACCAGACGGACCAAAGGTACGATAGAACTGGGAGCAGTGTTGCGCGCGCGCGTGTGTGTCATTTCTCAACCGTGAAGCGCTGTGCAGAACAGCTCAGAACTGCGATGCATGTGTCACTGACAAGGCGATGAATGATGAGTTTCATAATGCATTCTGTTTCTGTCGTGCATTTTACCATTCATCCTTGCTCCGATGTCCTTCTGTAGGGTGGTTTACCCAGAATTTCTTCTAATCTTAGCGCACGTATGCTGTGTTTGTCTTCAGGGAGCACAAGGCGTACGCGGTGACCCCGGTGTTGATGGACGAAACGTGAGTCATGGGATCACGCTCCTGTCAGCTTGAGTAGCTCGCCATTCCATTTTGTGAACCTCTCTCAGTTCTTCTTATGGCCATGTTAACTGCTGTGTCACTGTGTTCCGGTGCAGTATTCCTTTCTCTGCCATGCGCATGTTTTACAGGGTGTTCAGCAATAATATGCCACAATACAACAGAGTGGGAGGGAGTGGGAGTGATTATGTGTCTGTGAGAGAGAATGGGACTGCGATATACCTGGTGCACGTAATTCAAGTCCTGATAGAGAAGTTTGCCATGCAATGCTGAATCAAATTTGCTGTGCGCTTTGTTCATTCTGGAACATGGAGTCCAACCTCGAATCGTTGGGTTTTCGCCTGTCTTGTACATTGTTGTTTCGGCACTCGTGGCATTTCCTTGTAGGGACGTGATGGAGTTGCCGGTCAGGATGGACCAGTTGGAGACCGTGGTGATCCAGTAAGTGATGTTGTCATTGTGCCAGTTACTGCAGGCATGTATGTTATAATTGTTTTAAAAAAAGAGCATACAACGTGTGGTGTTCTAGTGTACACCGCTACTTGTGTACCCTGACCTGAACAGAAATATAATTAAGCACCGCTGTGCTCTAACGCTTCGTCTATCATACCATTCCTGTGCTGCATGCTGACCGACTTTGGATGAAAACCGTGCAACTCATTTTCAAATTGTTGCCTTTCATACACCCGTTCATGTGTTTTGTAGTCGTGCCAGTTTACTGATTGTGGCCCTGCTATTGGATCTTCTTTCCTTCTGTGGTCTAGGGTATCCCAGGAAGCGGAGGCCAGAAGGGAATTCAGGGTCCAGCTGGACCACCCGGCGAGAAGGGATCGCCCGGCGTGCAGGGACAGCCTGGTCGTGAGGTAAGCAGTATGCCTCTAAGGGGATGATGCTTACACACTGCAAGTCCCCTTAAACTCATACCCCCCCCTGATTAAGTTCTTCACAGGTCTGTTAAGAACACGATATGTCCCATTCTGAATTTCTCTCGCATTCTGGCACAATCTGGGGACCTCCTCCCACACACGGTACCTTGCCCATCTGAGAACGTGAGTCTGTGGGTCACTGGGAATCGTCTGGAACACATGTGTAAAGAACACATGGATTACGTGTCTCCCCAAGTCATATTCCCCAAGTCATATTCCCCAAGTCATATTCCCCAAGTCGTGCTACACCGCGCCCTTTCTCAGTGGTACCTGTCCTTTGCCATTTTTGCTTTGCACAGGGACAATCCGGACGTGATGGAGAAGTCGGAACAAAGGGAGAGCCAGTGAGTAGTTGTTTAGGTATTTTGTATTCTCCCTGCCTCCGAATTCTCTGGTGCCCTGTAAACAGCTGTCTGCCAAACTAATCAACATCAAGGAAGGTACAGCTGCTTCTAATTGTATGAGATGAACCGTTTAGCTTTGTCCCACAGGATGTATTGGGTGTGACAAATAAGGGAACGCAGTAATGACATGTGTGACCTGGATTTGTTTGGTGAGGCGATAATATAGGTGACGGTGATAATGTGGTGTATCCTTAACGTTGCAAGGTCCCATTCCTACTACCTTTATATGCTCTTTTCTCATTTCCACTTGTACTTTGTGTGGCTGTTGCTTCTAACTGCACTCTAGGGACCAGACGGAAACATCGGCCAGAAGGGAGAGCTTGGCACACGCGGAGCACGAGTAAGTTGCAGTCCTTGCTTTCCCCTAACATCCCTGTATTGATTTCTAGACTTGCTAGACTGTAGTACAGTTGAAATTGCTCTTCCTCCTTCGTTCGTCCGGGTGCGTATGACTCTGACGAGTCCTTTGATATATGATCTATTTTCTTGTGTCTCGTGCAGGGACCATCCGGCTCACAAGGAATTTCAGGCATTGCAGGAAACACTGGCGTACCTGTAAGTCATACTTGAAAGTGCATGCCATTGATTAGTATACAGATATCTGTCCTTGAACGTTTCCCGGCGGTGGAAAGTGTATGAGATTGAAACTGCAACTATTGGATGTGACGGTACTACATCAGTCCTTTACATGTCTGTACATATTACACCTTTGCAAGTTCACAACCCACAGTATTATTCCTGATGTTTGGGCTTGCAAACATCTCAGTGTGTGTCTCTTGGCGTGTGTTTGATCGTGTAGGGCAAGCGTGGACGCGTTGGCAAGACTGGATTCCGCGGTGCACGTGGTCCCCAGGGTGCTACCGGCCCCTCCGGCCATGCTGGTCCCCGTGGCCCCAAGGGCGTCCGAGTAAGTCTGAGTCACTACTCCCATGTTTCTTGTCAAGGTTGTCTTGTGTTGACTGTGGTACATCATCGCTCTCATATTTCCTGTGAAGCCGGTTGTTATCTGGTGTTGACTGTTCTAATGAACACTGGGAAGGTGCATATCGTGCCAAACACGCGTGTCGTGTGAGAAATTGATCTCCTTAGTGGGGAGAAAGGATCAGCGAGGAATTCAGTCTGTAGTGTGAGGGAAACACACATATATTAAGATACCTGATGTACCTTTTTGATCCAACCTCTGCTACTCTAGGGAGATGGCGGACCGACTGGACCTGCTGGACAATCTGGACGCAAGGGAGAAGCTGTAAGTCTAAAGTTTTTGCCAGCATTTTGTCCACTCTGTTTATGAATAGACTTACGGATCTCTTTCGATTTGTTGTTCATTTTCTGTTTCAAGAGTGTATGAATCCAACAGGTCATCTTCCTCCTTCTTCTCCTCCTCCTCCTCCTCCTCCTCCTCCTCCTCCTACTTCTCTTCTCCTTCTTCTTCTTCCTCTTACTTCACTTTCTCTGTCTGCCTGTCTGTCTGTCCATCTCTTTCCCCGTTCTCTCACTTTTTGTTTATCTCAACTCTGACGGTGGGCCTGGCTGTGTTCTCTTCTTTCTTCTTACATCTGTGCACATTATGATATTGGTTTGTTCAGGGCACTGATGGCAAACCCGGTGACAACGGCCGTGACGGAGCTGCTGTAAGTCACTGCTTCTAATGATGCTCAGCGAGTGATCTGAGAAAGGTGTATCATTCTTTGCTCAAGTGAAGGACAGTAGAGAGCCTCACAATGATTGTTGCGCCACAATTTGGGTTCTTTCAACACACCATCCATCTTTTATGGATTGCACTTCCTCACGTCCTCGGCAATTCTTGAATCATACGTGTGCCGGTTGTGGAGATGTTTGCAGGGAAAGTATTGTGACCGTTTCTGGTTTGTTTTTCTTCATAGGGACTTCCTGGCAAAGACGGTGAGCCAGGCGCTCCTGGTAACCCCGGAACAAACGGACAAGACGGACAGGATGGACAACCAGGACAGCCAGGCTCAAAGGTAAGCTGTTGTCGTAGCTATTCTTGGGAGTACCCTTTCCACGTTTGACGTCTTCTGTCACGATCTTAAGTGCAGGACTCAGTCTGTACCGGTATCGTTACACTGCAGAAATAAGGAACGTTGACTTCAGAAATAAGGAACGTTGCCTTCAGACCCGAGGCTCCAATAACATGGTCCATGTGCATGCTGTGTGCTCTAGGGCAGTGTGTCATTCGGCTCTGTTCTTGGGCTGCTATCGAGTACTATTGCCAGTAATTATCAACTTAACTTGTACATGTATGTCGTCACACACAGCTATTTAAAACTACAATTAGAAACGGGAGACGAACAAGAAAGCGTCCTTGTTCGTGATCATTTAATGGTGATAGCGCAGGCCATTGTGTGACCTTGTAAGGTCAGTACAACGAATGAATTTTCATTTGATCTGTCTGATCTGTTTCTCTGTACTTGTTATCTACAGGGTGCCCGAGGTGGACGTGGCTCAATGGGCAGCCGTGGTGAACGTGGCGCCAAGGGTGGAGCTGGTGGAAACGGACTTGACGGCGCTGATGGAGTTCCAGGATCCCAGGTAAGCCCCCTAGTTTGACTTGTGTCCGTGTTTTGTGATTGGTTTCTCTCACCAGTTCACAGGAATTTTATGCTCCTGATTGACCATTCAAACCGTCAGCTGTAAAATGATCATTAGTTTCGTTCTTATTATTCACTCATAAATTACCATTTAGTGCGATAACTAGAGTTTACTGCAGCAACAAATTTGTTCTCTCCTTTGCCCTGATCACCACTTTTCACCGGCACACTGCAAGTACTCTGTTATCATCTGAACACCAGTTTAGCCCGGGCAACGATGTACATACTGCATATCCACTGCCTGATGATACTCGACCGGTACCAGTCAGAGCAGCTCAACAAGGCGTCAATCCCGTAGACTGTGAAGAAAGATCCAAGCCACGCTTTCTGCTGCTTGCTCACTGCACGGAACAGCAGTGACGAAAGTTCCATTGTAAAAGTACTCTCAAATGATGTGTTCTGGATGCGAACAAATAATTCAGTGTTCGTGTTCTCCATTTTAAAGGCACACTTAGAAGAAATTCTAGGGTAACTCAGTATACGTTCACAATTCCATTCGTTCTTCCTATCTCGTCCTGCACTACAGGGAGCATCTGGAGAGCAGGGTCCCGCTGGCCCACGAGGCGTGAAGGGACAGCCGGTAAGAATGCATTGCAGTAGCTCAGTTGTCTCAGCGGTAGCAATGCCTGCGACCTGTTGTGAGGCGCAATGAGTATCAAGAGTGCGTTTATACTGTATAGCTGATTGTGATCTCTACTCCTTGTCTGTGGATAGTGCACTTGGCACATTCGTCGAAGTGTGAATTGATTGATGAGATTATTTTTCATTGGTGATATGCCTTGATGGTTGTCGTTGTGTGATGTGAGTGATTCTATGTTGTGTTCACTGGGCTGTGTAGGGTGACCAAGGTCCACCAGGAGTTACAGGTGTTGACGGCGGACAGGGACCATCCGTAAGTACTGTCACCGCAGTCTACCCGTCACCTTCATTTTGCCAGTGTAGCTGAAGGCTGACACCATCGGACATTGCATCGATCGTATATTGCAAGTATTGTGACTTATTAGGGCTAACTTGTTGGAGACTGCCTCGATACCTTTCAGTATAGGTCCGTTCTGCCAGCTACGAATAAACCGGTCTATACTTGTTTCAAGGATATTCTGTGCTAGTCTGAGGTGGATCGGTCGGTCTAGCTGGTGTTCTTGTTCATAGGAAAGTTCATGATGAACTAGAGACAATCTGTTTCGACATGTGCATGTGCCTGTGTGTGTGTATGTGTATGTGTGTGTGTGTGTGTGTGTGTGTGTGTGTGTGTGTGTGTGTGTGTGTCTGTGTCTATTCCTGTGTCTTTTGTCTGTGTACCTGTGTCTATGTGTGTCTGTGTATCTGTGTATTTGTCTCCGTCTCCGTCTCTGTCTCTGCCCATACTTATGTTTGCATGTGTTTCTGTGTGTAAAGGGAGCCAAAGGAGCTGATGGAGTAGCTGGTGACCGCGGCCAAAAGGGAGAAGCTGTAAGTGGATTACATGGGTCGCATATGTGTGTGTGTGTGTGTGTGCTGTGTGCATATGTACGTGTGTGCACTTTTTCCTGTGCGCTGTGTGTGGGGTGGGGGCAAGATGAAGGATACATGATGTGGAGATTGAGCCTCACGGAGCATTTATGTGCATAGTTCTGGATCTCTCATCTACTCCACAAATACTTTCGGATAATGCTTACCAACTTGTTGCAACTGTGTCGTACCATTGAAACTTGACAATACGTTCTTTTGCTTTTTTGTCTTTCCATTTGTTTTGCTACTTGTGCACAGGGACTGCCAGGAAATGATGGAGCTCAGGGTGATGCCGGCCCAGCTGTAAGTGATTGTCACACTGCCGGCTAGGATGAACACAGGTCGGCAAGCATACATTGGATCACAGTCTGCCAGTGATTATATCAAACTGCTCTCTTTTTTTTGTCAATACTCTATCTGCTGTCAGTCTCTGGCCGTCCGAATCATAACCCAATGGTGAGCTTCTCCTGTCCGTGCATCTTATATGTTTGGTTGTAGGGCCCAGACGGACGAGATGGCAGCAACGGTGATGTTGGAGATCCAGTAAGTGAAGAAGTGCTAAGTGGATCACTAGCCTGATGATGCATGCAGCTCTTTTTTTGCCTTACGCTTTGAAATTGGTGAAAATGTATTCTAAAATGGTGATTTATCTACTGGAAAACGGTTCCATTCAGCTGTCATTTTGACAGCAGAATAGAACTTTTCACCAAATATTGTCTGTATTCGCCTATCTTTTCTTCTTGGGTTTTCTGTTGTTATTTTTGTTGTAGTGTGATGAATTTTGCTATGTTTAACTGTGATGCAGAACTGCTGAGCAATCTAGGGCTAGTAGAGGTGACTGGTTTCTTTCTCCCCATCTGCTTTGCAGGGTGATCCAGGCCCAGCCGGTCCTCAGGGACTCCCAGGCACTGCTGGCGACATCGGCCCAGACGGCCCGCGCGGCGATCCAGGTGATGCTGGTCGCCCGGGCAACCCCGGCGTTGCTGGTCTGACCGGCAGCATTGGAAACCCCGGACCCCAGGGCCGCACCGGCCAGCCCGGCGCCAACGGAGGTGACGGAGCCATGGGACCAGTCGGACCTCAAGGAAGCAAGGGACTGCCAGGTGCTGTCGGTGCTGATGGACCTTCCGGCCCTAAGGTCAGTTAACTGTTTGTGATCCACTCTGCTTGGTACCGCTACCAGCCATGCAGCAGCGTTGTTTTAAGAAACAGCTGAATTACGTTTCTACTCGATGTGCTCCGTGATTTTCTCCAAGCATGTAGCTTTCATGGCATTAACATGATCTTGATGGCCTGCCTAGCTTGTATAACCATGTCTTTCTGTTTGTATCTTTGTGTGCCGTGTATAGGGTGCTGATGGAGACACAGGTGATGCAGGCGGACAAGGAGTCCAGGGCGCCGACGTAAGCACTCTATCTCACCCAATCACTTTGATGTTACTGTGGTGACAGAGAGGCTCCTATACCATGCACTGTACTGCGATGGAAAGTTTCCATTTGCTAGGTTTCAGACGCCGTTCCACTCACGAACATTTTGATTTTGACCTTTGTCATTGTATTTCGTGGATTCTCTGATCAAAGCAAGTGCGGAAAGACTTGCCGTCTTCATCATGTCTTGAGTAGGCTATTACCAGCCAACTCTAACGTCTTGCTCTTTACATATTGTGTGTTGTTTCCATAGGGTGTTGCTGGAGAAAATGGTCAAGACGGAGTTGTTGGAGACAGAGGAGATCGCGTAAGAAGGATAAAAAATTATATATGTCTGCTTCATGTCAACTGTGGCATAGTTTCCCGGGAACGGAATATTGAACTGAAAATTGCTGTTGATAACAATATGAGGCACACCCATCACAAATGCGAGTCATGAAGCAAGCACTCAAAAGTATTGAACAATTTCAAAAGAATCCAAAGCAATTGTAAATGTATATTTTGTATTCGTGTGTGCGTACTGCAGGGCCCAAGCGGAGCTGACGGCAACCCTGGAGCACGTGGCGTTGTTGGAGAAGTTGTAAGAAAATGAGTTCCCTCAATCCCAGCTGTTGCATGCGAATTGTCGTCACAGACATGTGTGTGTGTGTGTGTGTGTGTGTGTGTGTGTTTGGATGCCTTCTTTGCTGCTACGCTCTCCTCACAAGATAGGAGCATCTTCTCTTTTCACTTGAGCACTCAGCCAGTACAAGCATGCACACCTGAACACTGATGTACACTGCGCAGCCTCGACCGGTGTCAGTCAATGTAATGTGCTTTCACAGACATGCATCGACATCTGCCCATGGGATTCTTCATGTATCAGCCCGGCACAGAGCTCGGTGCCAGTCTAGTTGGTAGTCTCAACTTGCTATTGCAGGTAGATAACTTTCTTCATATCGCTTTGCTCTCTATACAGGGCCCAGCTGGACCTCAAGGACCCCGCGGACCAGCAGGTCCCCCTGGCAGTGGTGTAAGTGCACAGACTATCATCTTTGTTTGTGATGCCGGCAAATAGGTATGATCTGGTGCGCAGTGATGGAACAATAGGGTAAAGCTTGTTTTGTGGTACAGAATTGACCTGAGCTCATGGTTAAGCAAGTCTGCATCATCTGCTGTAAGTTCCGTTTCCTTGTCCCCATTCCTCCTCCATGCGTATTTTCCTGCTTTCTACATATCCCATGCACATACATGTAGATTTTCGCTATTTTATCTGCAGCATTTCACTGAGCTGTAGATCTGCCTGAAAAAACAACAATAACAGTGTGACACGTTTGAGATCACATATACATTCGTCGGTATACACGCTCATATATCTGTGTGTGTGTGTGTGTGTGTGTGTGTGTGTGTGTTTGTGTCTGTGCTTGCTTGTATCACCTTGTCACTGATTTGACTGTGATAGGGTAGCAAGGGTGGTGTTGGTAACGCCGGCCCACCTGGACCATCCGGTACACCTGGAACACCTGGATCACCTGGTAACATGGGAAATATGGGAGCCATGGGAGACCCCGTAAGTGGTGCATGTACCGCTTCACACGCACACTCTTTTCTTCAGTAGTCTGGCATTGACGGAGCCTTGAACAGAACATGGTACTTGCTCTGAAAATCTCCGGTTTGATGTGCGCTAGCCGTATCATGATAGCTGTAACACGCTGCTAATGCGCTTTAATAATGTGTTCAGTGCATTGCTGCGCTCAAGATTAGATCCCGAAACTCTTGAATATGCTGCATGCATATGTGTTCTGTGGCTTGATGCTAGATATGTGTGCAACATTATTCCTCCGTGATTTAGGCATGAGCCCACGAAGTAACACGTTAGTTTTCAGAGTTGACCAGTGTCAATTTTTTGGGGCACCCAGGTATTATAGGGATTTGAGGATATTCAATAGTTCTAGGGTTCATGAACCTTTTTCACTGGATCAACATCCGGAATGAGTACTCAATATGGAAAGGTTCACTGACTGGCATTTGTTTTTTGCTGCCTAATCTGCTTTAGGGTCAAGGTGGCCGCGACGGACCTGATGGTGAGAAGGGTGGCCCTGGAAGGACTGTAAGTAAAGTGGATAGTCAGGAGCCTTTGCTTTGATGCTTTGCCAACTTTTCAATTTCTCTCCTTTGACTTCCCGTTTTTCCTTCTTCTGCGCCTTGATCTTTGAAGGGTAGTGGCGTTCCTACGGATGTGGAACTCGACCTCTAGCCGAGTCTCACGCGAACCGTGAAATTTAATAATTGTTCCTTCTTCTGGGCTCGTACTACTGTTTGATCAAGATCACAGCATATTCGACTGTAGATTGCAGTTAATTAACATGTATGTGTCTTTCCAGGTGTCCTGACCAGACCAGATCTTGCTGTGTGTACTTGCATTGGACTGTTTCAATCACAGGGCGCACAGGGACTTCGTGGACCAACCGGTATCAAGGGAGGCACTGGCGAAACTGTAAGTATTAGATGGCCTACACATCTAAATTTCCGATGAGACCAGGTCTGTGTTTTTTTGTAGCTATTCTGATGATGCGTTTGTACCTTTGCCGTGCTGCTATCCAGGAGGTAATACTTTCAAAGTGACATCAATGTGTTTGCGTACGCATTTGGGTTGCTATTACCCGAGGATGTGCACAACAACTTGTATAAGCACTGTCCTATTCGTGCTACATGATTAGCCTTTGAGTAGGTGTCAGCAGAATCCTGTATATACTGTACTAGCAGCAAGATCCGGGATGATGGACGGCCCTGAGATAATGGACTGCTTGCCGAGGCAAGACATTGCAAGCCATTGCCAAGCATGAAAACAAATTGTTTGTTTTGCCTTTCCAGGGCGAGAGCGGTTCCAATGGCAATCCCGGTGCTGATGGCGAAGATGGCGCTATGGTAAGTAAACGTATTATCTTCTAGTATGTTATCTAACAACACCAACGCTGTAAGCGTGAACGAGAGCTGTTGAGGCGATCATATCTGTTTGCCGTGAAATGCATTATCTTCATACTTATCATCATCTCTGTTTTGATTTGAAACTCATCCCAGAACAGCAATGCCTGCACTAGCCTGCAAACAAACTGATTGCTAAGTGACTAGAGTGGAGTCGATATAATTCCATGCTTCAGGTTTGATGCAGCAAATGATGCGCCGGCTAATCCACTGTTTTAACACTGTGGCCAGCACCCTGCCACGTTGCATACTGTCTCAGGCCTGGACCCCATATTCCTGCATAAACAGGGTCACTGCACTGGAATATCAGGTGCTCCGGCCAAATGGGATATTTGACCGGAAATGAACATTGTTGACGAAAACATCCACTTTTGCACGAATTGGATGGGTCAACTCTTTCAATAGAAGGTGGCCAGCCCGGGCACTGCAGCCCTGATAAAAGCATACCTTTTCTTTTTTGATTGTGTCAGATTTAGTCTTCTTCTTGCTATCCAGGTGATTGACTGTGAATTCTCTGTGCACCTTGTCCTTTAGGGTTCCCCTGGACCCCGTGGATCAACTGGAGCAACTGGCGCAGCCGGCTCGCCTGTAAGTTGTCTGCATTTTGCCCTGTGCAGCCACTGGATCAGTGCAAAGCAAACCCTTGTGAATTCAGTAAACTGAGATTGCACCACTCATTCCTGGACATATTAGTAGATTTGAGTTTGCATAAAGTACGTGGAACATTTTGCAGCTGGACGTTTGCTCTGTCCACCACTAAGAACAATGCATTGATCCCGCGGTCTAGTTATAAGGTGCTTGTGATGTGTGCTGACTGGTGGTGCTCTTTGTGGCGTATGTTTTCAGGGTGAGACAGGCATTGCTGGCGAGGCTGGCCCACTAGGACTTCACGGAGAGAAGGGAGGACCAGGCGATTCAGGCCAGGCTGGACCGAGCGGTGTCGAAGGACCAGCTGTAAGTAACAAAGCCGCTACTCTTACCATTTCGGCATGTACTTGCAATGTGCTTTTCAGATGGTGTTTTTTTTAGAGACGTTAGCATATGGAAGTTCTTTTGATTTAAATTTTTAAATTTAATCAACGAAGCATTCAGCCCGCCGCATATAAATGCCGGGTTTCTACCTTTGGATCATTGTAAGGGACATCCCATGTTCTTGCGAACCTTCCTTGCAATAGCTGAAGAGATCAGACATGTTGATTCAAGATCAATTCATTCGTGAAGCATTTGCCTTACTGTCATGTGCTTTTCTAGGGCCCCGTCGGAGACAATGGCGAAGTCGGTCTGCCCGGATCACCAGGACCTGCTGGATCACCAGGAAACCGTGGACCCCAGGGCCCAACTGGCAAGCCCGGCGCACAGGGACCCCCCGGTGCTGCAGGCTCACGTGGACAAGCCGGACCCCCAGGAAACCCTGTACGTACAACTCGTGTGTGTGTGTGTGTGTGTGTGTGTGTGTCCGTGTGTGTGTGCGTGTGTGTGTGTGTGTGCTTGCGTGTGTGTGTGTGTGTGTGTGTGCTTGCGTGTGTGTGCTTGCGTGTATGTGTGTGTGTGTGTGTGTGTGTGTGTGTGTGCATATGACTGTGCTCCCACTGTGTGAGCGCCTGAACATTTACGCTCTGAATGGACTGTGTGTGGGCAAATGACCTCTTGAACATGAGAGTACACTGGTGATTTTGTGGGTGACTAGTCAAGGTAGTCATACTTGCAATAACTAAGCCAGTACAAATCCTCATGTTTGTCTGCATGGCTGAGAGTTTTACTGTTGTCATTTACTCTGTGGGGATACAGGGCCAAAATGGACGTGATGGAAAGCAAGGCGTAGGCGGTGCAGTTGGTGATCGTGGTGATGTCGGCGAGCCAGGAAGAAGCGGATCCGGAGGTTCCGGTGGTGTTCCCGGTAATGTCGGTGCACCTGGACTTCCAGGACCCCGCGGTTCCGCAGGAAGCAAGGTAAGCATTTTTAAGTGACATTTGCCTGTGCACGCCATTGGCACTGTCCTATTTCCTCCCAATTGCGACATTGTTGAATGCTACTGTATTGTGTTTAGCGCTGTGTCGCTAGGAGTATTACTAACCGTAATAGTTCAACATTAGCTTAATGCATTTACCAGTATGGTCAGATCTGGATGCTTCAATATTTTTGTGCACTAGCTACAGAGATCACGCACCTCTATCCTTGGTACACTAATTTCCGTTGACGGTCTCTATATTTCTCGTGTTCTCTTTCTGCTCCCATTGCATGTAGGGTGAGACAGGTCGCCCTGGTATTCCCGGTGTCCAAGGAGAGACAGGACCCAAGGTACAATTCCTATTGTGCCTTACAAGGAAATGTCTGTTTGCATTGTGTTTTCATATGTTTGCCGGACAGTGAAGAAGATTGCTTTTTGAGGCACATGTCTTGAGCAAATCTTGAAATTCCATTGGTCTGTACGATCTTGTTTGCTAAGGAAATATCTGTCTGCTGGTGTATTTTGCATGTTTTAGGGCCCACAAGGTCCACGAGGCTACGCAGGTATGCAAGGACAAGCCGGCAGCGTGGTAAGCTATCTCTCAACTGCGGCTGTAGCCTTCACACACTCATTGCCATATCCACCGCTCCATATTGGTATTATCAACCTTGCCTTTTACCCCAAGTGTTTACTAAAATGTTGTTCACTAAGATGTCTTCTCTACAGTTTCAAAAAAATGACAAGGTATCATTCTGCATAGACTATTGATTGTGGCTCCAACGTAATGGATTTCCGGAGATAGAGAACTGAGATTTGTGGTTTGCCTCAAAGTAGCAAAATTTGCATTCTGTGTTGATTTCAGGGACCAGCAGGTATTCCTGGACCGTATGGACCACGTGGACGTGATGGTCAACCTGGACAAGGTGGACCAATGGGACCCCCTGGTGCTGACGTGAGTTTAAATGCCACTGTGTGGAGAGGCTGCTGATATAGTTTGATGTCTGAAATTTGCTAACTGACCACTCTGTACATGGCAGTGTATGTGACGTAGATATGATGTGAATGGCTTGCATGATTTTGCAGCTGATTGCTGCAGTAAAGTAGCAATGTGTTTGCTCTACGCAGAGGTATGACTGTGTGTGTGTGTGGGGGGGGGGGGGGGGGGTTAAATATAGCATTGTAAGCCTTGGGTGCTCAGTTTAAAAAGACATTGCATTAGCCCTCACAGGAAATAAGGATGTTCTACTGTGTGACGAAATAGCATAAAACTGCATTGGGCAGAAGAAGCTGGTAGAAGATATGCCACACCATTGCAATCACTGCTTTGCCACTGAAGGCGAATACATTCAAAACACCTTCATACTGGACTTTTTAGATGGCTAAAATGTACTGGAACTCAGTTACCATTATATACAATGATGTCAACCTAAACTTCAACTGATCCCACTGTTCTCTCCTCTTTTTCCTGCATATCTTGTTTTTTCTGCTCAGGGTATGGACGGAGAACCCGTAAGTAAATTGTAACCTAGCCCAATGGTCATGTATGGCTTCATGTCACAGCATTGCACCCCATTGTACACCCTATTGCACCCTATTGTACACCCTATTGTGCACGTATATTTATTCTCGGAGACCCCCTTGATTTAGGCTTCGGCCTTTGGGGAATCCCTCAAATAATAATAATAATAATAATTGTGAATCTCTGATCGGATACGACTTGAACATTGTTGTAATGTCTCAGACATTGCACTTTCACTTACTCTGCCTTTAAACGTTCGCTGATGCACACGTGAGTTCAGTGCAATGTTTAATTTTTTCTCTTTCCTCTGTTCTCTTCCTATCTCTTTTCCACAGGGACCAGCTGGAGCTCCCGTAAGTTCTTGTCTTGCATTTCCTCTGGCTTAATAAACGTATGCTGTATTTGATCGCTGGCGGCATCTATGCATCAGATTTCCCGTGTCTTTTCTGACGATACCTTCTTATACTGAAAAATGTACATCCACGCAAACTGATGTATAGTATAATACTCAAGTATGCGTATCAAGGGATGATCTCCTGATTTCTGGCCTTCAGAGGTTATGCAATTACATCTTCAGTCGAGATGCTTGGGCAAAGTCTCTGCACAGCTATGCACTAGCGACTCATGCTGTATGCATAGCACCCAGACGCGGTTCCACCGACTCACTACCATGACACCATTCGCATGGCCGCTATAGTTTGTAATGCAACTGAAGTTGGCTTTTTGCATGTATCCGTGTTGTGACTGTATCTGTAGGGACCACCAGGACCGGCTGCACCATGGGTCCATGGCGTCACCAAGGGACGTCAATCAAGTGTAAGTTAACAAGCAGTTCCTCACTGTCACTGTCACCACCAATATATTTTTTATCGCTTGGTTTATATTATATTATTGACTCCTGATGATGGCTCCTGGCTGAAAATTTGATCGAGATATTGTAATTCGCAGCGAAGAGACCACTTGATTTGAAGATGGTGTGTGTAAAAAAAGTGTTTTCATATTATTGACTCGTCTTTCACTGGAGAAAGATCACATGCAAAACAGTGGCAATGGTCATGCATCCAAGTGACAATCTTAGCCTGACATTTCTGTTCATGTTTCTCCTATTCCTCTGTGCAGGACAAGGGCAATGGCAAGAGCAGCTCTGTTGTCTACTACCGTGGCCAAGTCACTGAGGAGGTATGTAATGAACAAAGACAAAAGTTCTCTTCTTCTCTCGCTCTTTGTGGTGGGGCTTACCCCCCCCCCCCTCACCGCTTTATGAGCTACATCTGCACCTTAATCTTTGAGGGTGGTGGAGTTCGTGTGGATGCAGAAACTCCGTGTGATTGAGTCTCATGCGGGCCGTGGATTTTTTTGTTGCCTGGTGTTTGTTGAGTGTGACATAACTGTTAATTGGAGTTGCAACCGACCATTTTGAATTCTGTGTTAAAGAGCTCTACCCACAGTACTCGAGAAATGTTTTTTTGAGCAATAGAATTAGTTTACTGCTGTGTACTCAGCTTGAGTACTGAGGGCGGTGTAGTTGTGGGACATGTATTGCTATTGTTCAAGTATGTGATTGCAGTTCTCATAAGTCGGCTCGGGTCTCACCAGTAATCTGATCATTTTCCTTTTGCTCTCCCGCAGATGGAGAACCGCCCCGAGTCATTCGAGAGCTGGGTCATCTTCTCATTCGAGTGTATGCGCCGTCCCAATGGTAGCCAGGCTTGCCCGGCAAGATGCTGCAGCGATCTCATGAACGATTATCCAGAGCTTGAGTCTGGTGAGTTGGAGCATTGCGATAAATCAAATGTCTTGGCCTGTGTTCGATGGTGCATGATGTGTTGGAGAGAGGTAATAAAGCCTAGCGGGAATCTTCCAGCTGGGGTTGCTGTGAAATTCTTTTGCTGTTGTTCATGATGGTGATACTGGTTGTTTTGGTCTGTGTGTACTTTGTTCCAGGAAATTACTATATTGACCCGAACATGGGTAACATTGAGGACGCTGTGCTCGCCTACTGCAACAAGAGCAACGCTATCACCCAGACTTGCCTGCGCACAGACATCTCAGTAAGTCTTCGCATCTAACATAGGAGCACACACACACAAACACACGCACGCACACGCATGCACACGCACGCACACACACACACACACACGCATGCAGGCACACACATACACTTTGAAGGAGTTTCTGGGAGCATTATATCACTTCATCAACAGAGACCGTGCGTGGTGACCAATGCATTCCTAAGTCCAGTCTCTGTACTGACTACCGGATAAGGTTTTTATGCAGAAAGAATGCCTGGAATAGACTCTTTACATGAACAACATTTGCTTTGGCGCATTAGCTTGAAACTTAAAATTGTTATGTTTGTGTGATGTTTTCTAGGAGTGTCCCCAGAGGAACGCCCTGATGAGCTGTGGAACAAAGATGCGCATGACATGCACATACTCCAACTGCGCATCTCCTGACACGCAGAACTTCAAGATGCGCGGTGCCGACAACACCCTTCTGACCGCCCAGAGCCCAGAAATCGAAATGATCCCCATGAACGTAAGTCAACCCAACTAGTTCATAGTGTACCGCTGTACAAGCCTCAATGTCATATTATGTTGCCAACACTCCCTTGAACCAATTATTTAGCATAGCACAACTCATGATAGCGACCATCCACATCTATGTGAACAACAATTGCATGTTTCCAAGGCCAAGAACAGTTTCCTCTTTTTTCAGTGACATGTGTACTTCGAAGTAGTGCTATATAGGTTTCTATGAATAATCAATCATTCAAAGAATTCCACAAGTTAACAAGGTGTAGAGGATATCTGTCTAATTGGGCGACATAACAAGTACAGCATTCATTGGCACTAGTTTTGTTACTGGTTGTAAAGATCAACTGCTGGTACTGTTATTGATGGACACACATTCGGGAATGCCGGTCAGGGTGGAGGGTGGAGCAAATTCCCTTCATCCTTGGAAATTTTATTACATTAAGAGTAGTGTTTTCATCAACCACCACACCATGACTGCGCTCTCCAGCCGACCTTGACACGTACCCCTTACCCCGTTAGTTATTGAGAGTCTTTTTTGGCTACAGGGCAGCGTTCTGTTTCATGTTGAATAGCCAATGCTGGGTGTCTGGAATCTCAATAGCAATTTATTTCTGTGTGCGTGTGTGTGTTTGACATGCAGAACGAGGTCAACGTCCAGGTGACGGGAGACATGAGGCTGTTCCCTCTGCAGAACAAGTACGCACATCACCTGTGTGGCCACAGCAGCATCGCAACTTGCCACTCAACGTGCTACGGCAACTACTAAGCTGACACGGGTGCTGCAGCCGTCGCAACTTTTTCAAACGAGTGATCTTAGGGACTTGCCACAGGCGCTGTCTGGGCAACGTCCGCACTCAGCTCCAGCCCAACGGAACTAACGGAAACCACGCCATATTGACCTCCCAGTTCCTTTGACATGCATTCCTACAACACACATGCACTCACTCTAACATCAATTCCCTCTGCAAGCAATGTGTCCAGGATTTATCACCGGTTGCTTACACAGTACTGCTCGTTGAATCCTGGCACTAGCCTAGTCACACCCATAGCTGTTCACCAATGGCGATCAGCACCCGACCCACTCTCCCTCTTCCCGCTCATCCACCCACTCATCGCATCCACGCACACACGTCAACCTGGGCCCAGTGCGCATAGATTCGTCCACTTCTCGCATCTACAAACAGTTCACCACCGCCCTTTAGATTTGCTGTTTATACAAAACTGCTGCTGCTGTCGCTACCAGTACGAAGCACGCGCATGCCGCCAGTAACCCACACACCATCACGAAAGCTAGCCTCTGAACTGGCTAACTGTCTCTCTGATGACTCCTTTCTGGACTCTAAGGCAATAATGGTATGGTTTGGTATTTTTTTGGTTTATCTCGTTCAATAGCTTCGCACAAGCAACTGTCTTGAAGGCCAGTGATCAGGCCTGTTCTGACTGTTTATCACTAAGTTCCTATCAACATTGTCATCATCTCCTGCTGTTTTTCATCTCCATAATTCCATTGTGATTTTCTCGTCCAGAAATCCCGTGCCTACTGGATTCGTCTCTTTAACTATTACTTGTACAGTTCTGCTGATGAAGATCATGCAACTACTAACGCCATCTTCGGGCAGTAATACCACATGCTTTGCCATTGGTCTGGTGCGATTTGTCACGAACGTCGTTCAGTTCTGGAGATCTCACACTGAGTGAGGGGCCCAGTGGGCACTAGCAGCTAACAGCATATTCCGGCAACAGTCGTCGTACACTATAGCCATTAGTAAAGTACATGTTCATGTGCAGCAGCATAATACCAATTGAACGAGGATAATTATGATTCTTACCTGGAGAGTGACAGTGCATGAAATGGATCCAGGGCCGTATCACCTTCTCCGGCCGGGCCCTATTTCGAAAAAGGCTGACCACCCTTATTTTGTGCAAAACGTGTTTTTCGGCAATGCGTATTTCCGGTCAAGTACCAAATTCGAAGCTTATCTCGAAGCCTGTTTTGAATGTTTTGAATGTTTTGAATGCAGACCTGATTCTCCAGATACGTACTCTAGTAAGATCTACTGATGGCGAATTTGGGTTGTCATTTTGCCATGGTTTTAACTGAGTATCATTTCACACCATTTTAGTGAGTAAACCCGCTCTCAAAGTACCGGTAGTACTAATAAGCAGGGAGTCGTATATAAACCCGGGCTTATATACCACTACCTGCTACAATACATGTTTGACGATAACAGTATCTTAAAATTGATTGCATAATCATTGTACTGACCTCTAGCTCTCTGTAAGGGTTGTTCGATTGGTAGAATCGGTATCCCGATCCACCGGATCCACTGGATTCGCACCCTTTCGATTGGTCGAATCCGGATCCGTCGGATTTGGATCCGGTCAACCCAACTCGGGGAGGAGGGTTGACCGGATCCAACGGATCCAAATGTGACCTCTGTGCGTATATGACGGGTGAAAATCATTTTTGTATACATCGTGGTACGCACACGTGGATCGAGATGTCGATAGAGCTTGCGCTAGCTTTTTGGCTTTTTACGACGCGCGCGATGAGTACGACTTTCCCCTTTTTGGGTGACTTGTGAGCGCCATTTTATTATTTCGTCAACATGGCAACAGTCAAGGTCCAAAGTAATTTTTTAATTAAGTGTTCAATTGACTCTGAAGGATCCGACGGATCTGAGATCTGGATCCCGATCCTTACCAATCCAACATGCCCTTACTCTTTACTGTAGATTATGAAGGGTGAAAGGGTGAAAGGGTTAGTGCGAAGGGATTCGATTCGGAGCATGTACTTACCGTTGTCTTTGCGTCTCCATGGTCAACACCGTACCAGTTGCCAAAGATACTTTGGCGTGAGCTCACGCCACAAATATTTTCGTAAGCGAACTCGACTAGACAATAGTAATACAGTCGTCGTAAATCTGATTAATTTCTGCCTACATTGCTACAAGTACACGCTCATTCTTACTGGCCTAGGGCCACCGGTAGTTAGACTTAGAGTTACACTGTTAATGTTACAGTATCAAGTGTCACACACCTCATAAATATTAGCACTTCCTTTAGTTTTCAAGTTAGTTACCAGGGAGTCGTTTAAACGACTCCCTGCTTTTTACTTCCATCAGCAGTCGAAACTTTTCGTGTGTACTAGGCTAAGCCATGGCGAGCGGTACTAAGGACGACTTGTTGAAAACAAGAAAAGCAGGACTGAGGGCCGCTAGCGCAAAGCTTCGCAAGGCTGAGAGAGAACAGATCTGCATTGCTGCTACAGCTGAAGCACAACAGTGCGATGAAGAAATCATTGAACGACTCTTGCGAGGAAAGGAGACCGTCGGAAATCTTGGTGACTGCTGTCCCGCTCAAAAAGACAAATCAAAAAGAGTGCAAGGGCAACTCGTCTTCGATGGTTGTTTCGAAAGTGGTACGAACGTCTAAACTCTGCATTAAATTTTTTTGTTTGTAGTTTACATCCATGCATGTCTTCATGTAGCTATATATTTATAGTGTGTTCATTCCTTTACCCGTGTGTCTTTGGTACTTAAATGTATCATGATCGAGTGGAAGACTCACTTTGGTAAGAGAAAGGTTACAATGGACTTTTCCATTCATCCTGTGCTCAGGTAACCTGGGACGTGTGGATATTGTATCACCAATTGAGTACGACATCTACATTCGGCCAGATACGTGCAATGGAAAGTATGTCACAGTAGGATGTAAGGAATCAAATTTAAACCAACGTCACCCCAATGAGTTGCAGGAATGGATACACAAATAACACAAGAATGTCAGTAAGAGTGTGGCGCACGTGATCACACATACACACTCACATGTGTGCGCCAGCTCCCCCCCCCCTCTCTCTCTCTCTCTCTCTCTCTCTCTCTCTCTCTCTTTTTCTCTCTCTCCCCATCTATCCATCCATCTATCACACACGCACACACACATACGCAAACACATACACAAACTCACACAGCGCCATGTGGTTAGCATAATTATTATTGTAATTCGAGGTTCCCAATTCAAGATCACCTTCATGACGAGAAAATGCGGTGTACCGTATTTCCCCGATTGTAAGTCACACTCCTATTTCCAGGTCTATGTCATATCGTTTCGATATATTCACTTCAGTAGTAATCGTGCTCGGTTGTAAGACGCACCCCCTTGCTGGCCCTGAAGTTGAGTGTATAAGGGTGCGACTTATAATAATAATAATATTCGCGGGATCCGCGTTAGCATCACTTGAAAGAAAGTGTTCAGAAACACACAAACTATAGCCTTCGCTTCCGCAGGCCACCACCATGCCTTTTCACCTTAGTGGCGAATGCATACCTCACAAGTGAGTCAGGGGAGAGGAGGTGAGTCTCTCAACCAATCGGGCGTGTAACGGCCCATAACCCTGTAAACTGCATTCTTGTTATCCTCACTCCGAGCTGTGAGTACCCAGTTGACCGTGGGTGTCGGCGCAGTTCAACACGCGTAAAAAGTCTTTTTACACGCTCCCTGCTACCAGCGCGGGTCTCGAACTCGGGACCTCATGATTCACAGGCAGGCCTGCAAACCAATCGGCCATATGCGTTGGTGCGACTTATATGCAGGAAAATACGGTAAATAGCACAGTAGAAACATTGTGATGCATCTTACACTGGTGCTTGGATTTTCGGTACATGCTCAGCGTTCATTGAATGTTTGGTGTGTTGTGTTGGTACACAGGTACACAGTGTGGTTTTACTTCTCTGTGACCAACACTCATCCTGGCCAGGTGAGTTAAACCTTTAAACCTGGCAGCATGGTCAATGGATTTTGGATGCACTGCACAGCACATCACGTACAGTCAACTTTGCGTATAACGACTCTCGGCCGGGCATCAGAAAAGTGTCCTTATTCGCGAAGTGTCGTTATACCCGAAGTCTCATTATAATGCATACAGACTTTGCTTGAATGGACTTTGCTCTGGGCATGGAAATTCTGTCGTGATTCGCGAATTGTCGTTATATCCACAGTCGTTATTAGCGAAGTTGACTGTACTCATAATGCGAGTCAATGTACCGGAGAAAAAGCACGAAAAAAGGAATACTGCACCCAACACAATCAGTGGCATGAGGTACGGTATATGGTACAAATGTGTGCGTTCAGGGAGCCCGTTGTACTGTAAGACCTCTTTGGAAAGTTCTACTGTCCTCGCTGGCGATGGATTCTACTGCCCTGGCTAACAACGCATGGGTCTACTTGAAGACGGTTGTGCTTGTGATCAGAAATTGTTCATATGTGTTACACTCCGTATGGCATCAATTCTCTATTTGTCGTCACGGTCTCTATATTATGGCATCACCTGTTTACTCCGTGCCTATATGGCTTCACTGCGACTTTCTCTATATAACTCCAGACGCGACTTTCCCTATATTACATCTCCACTAAGGTTGAGACTTTCTCTGTATGACTCCAACTCAAGTTTTGTGTGGAGAAGTTGGCAATCTGAGTTGGAGTCATACAGAGAAAATCTCAACCTGAGTGGAGATACATGTATATAGGGAAAGTCGCGTCTGGAGTTATATAGAGAATGACCTGGAGTTATATAGAGAATGACCTGGAGTTATATAGAGAAAGTCGCAGTGAAGCCGTATACAGGTGAACACATATGGAGGAGTGAACACATATAGAGGAGTGAACACATATAGAGGAGTGAACACATATAGAGGAGTGAACACATATAGAGGAGTGAACACATATAGAGGAGTGAACACATATAGAGGAGTGAACACATATAGAGGAGTGAACACATATAGAGGAGTGAACACATATAGAGGAGTGAACACATATAGAGGAGTGAACACATATAGAGGAGTGAACACATATAGAGGAGTGAACACATATAGAGGAGTGAACACATATAGAGGAGTGAACACATATAGAGGAGTGAACACATATAGAGGAGTGAACACATATAGAGGAGTGAACACATATAGAGGAGTGAACACATATAGAGGAGTGAACACATATAGAGGAGTGAACACATATAGAGGAGTGAACACATATAGAGGAGTGAACACATATAGAGGAGTGAACACATATAGAGGAGTGAACACATATAGAGGAGTGAAGACATATAGAGGAGTGAACACATATAGAGGAGTGAACACATATAGAGGAGTGAACACATATAGAGAAGTGAACACATATAGAGGAGTGAACACATATAGAGGAGTGAACACATATAGAGGAGTGAACACATATAGAGGAGTGAACACATATAGAGGAGTGAACACATATAGAGAAGTGAACACATATAGAGGAGTGAACACATATAGAGGAGTGAACACATATAGAGGAGTGAACACATATAGAGGAGTGAACACATATAGAGGAGTGAACACATATAGAGGAGTGATGCCATATAGAGGAGTGAACACATATAGAGGAGTGAACACATATAGAGAGCTGGCACTACTGAGTACTACATATAATTTATATGACATACCATATTCCTCATCTCTCTCTCTCTCACTCAATCACTTTCTCTTTCTCTCTCTCAACCCCAGGTCAATTCATAACACTGTGGCTTTGTGCCGCAATACACCGGTACAGAGCCACAGTGTCAGCTTGGCCTTCACTGCTGTTGTGTTCTGGTATTATATTCATGCACCAATGTGTGCGTCAGTTACATGACGAGCGTGTACATGTAGTTGCAGATCAGCACAACAGTGAGCTGAGCAAGGCAGCACCTTCACAGCATACTGTGAATCTCTAAAGGTTTCCTGATGTTCCATGTTGTCTGACCTGTGTGTGCGTGTGTGTGCAGGATGTGATCTTTTCTTTCGTGAATCAAAGTAAAACCAAAAGCCTCTATCGTCATGGCATGGCCCCATGTGTGTTCTCAACCAGTCGCCCACTATGGTCAGTGTTTTCAACTGTGAACATCAATATTCGAAAAAGCATGTATTCCAATTTTGCACTGTTCCTTGTTGTGTGCCCTGAAAAATGGTATGTTGTGTGTGTGTCTGATATGTAGGCCATGCCCTCCATGTCCCCTTTCACCGTAATTAGATCCATATTGAGCAAATGATCAGAGTATAAGAAAATGTATTTCGTCACTAACTTAGTGACCCTGCATTGATGACTGAGCTCGTTCTTCTCGTCATGTATTCTTCTTGACCGCTCAGGATGAGGATACCGGATGACCGCGCTTACTACTACCAATGTCCAGACCACAATGACCACTACGTGCTCTCAGTCTTGTTCAACTTTGACAGAGCTGAAGACACATACTGGGTGAGACTGCTTGCTGGGATTGCCATTGTTACAGCGCCTATACTCATGTACAGGGCTTGACAGTGTGTCCTCGTAATCAGGCCGGAGTCATGAAAATGGTGACTTTTCGATCCACTCAGGTCCAGGTCTATTTTGGTCCATACGTTTAGGGTGTTTTCCTTCGCTGGTGAGTGGCACATCCACCGGTGCTGTGACCTCCTGTCTGGGATCCATCCCTGTTACAGAAAACGTTCCATCAGCATGCGACACGAGGGCCACCCGGTAGTATTATAGTTCAAAATGATCAGTTGAATCCTACTGGAACCACAAGTCTCTATGTATTGATATCTGACCTCATTACTGTCAAGCTCTATACATGTATACTTCCTACGTCATCTATGATGTCATCTATGATGTCATCTATGATGTCATCTATGATGGATAATCATATCCAATACCCCGCCTGTTGGGCCGTGATTGGGCAAGTCAAATCTTTCTGACAGGCATACTATCTCCACTATTACGACGAGCAGTGAAATTGTCTAGGGCTCAAGGATAGGATCTGCGAACACCAAGACTGCCTGGTTTGTTCAGCCTTAATCTACAGATTGAAATGCTGAATGACATGCCTTTGGAGACAGCATTCATGGGGATGATGTATATGATATACGTTCCTATGGTAGTTATGGGAAGTTGCGAGCAAGAACCTGGCCTGGCATGAGGGAAGCATGGATTAAGCGAATGGGATTTTCGATCTTTGACCACTTTGTGGTGGGTCTGATCATCTACTCTACATGGCTGGATTATTGCAAGATCCGCTATGCCACGACTGTATGGGACCTGGTTCTAAAGACCACCTGGGTTAAACGACTGCTTTTGCTTGCACAGTCGGGTGGTCGCTTAAACCAGGTTTTACTTTACAAGCATTATTTAGGTCAGAAGATATGATCTTGCTTGTAAAGGTCCATTCTAGTACTATCCCCCATGGCTGTAGCTCACACAGACTGTTTTGAAAAAGAGGTTTCTCATAAACTGTACACAATGTCATAATTATTATTGTTTTCCTTTGCAGTTTGCTTACTGCTTCCCGTACACTCACAGTGACCTCCTGAGGTACCTTGGTGAGCTGGACGATCGCAAATTCCCATTCTACAGAAGGGAAAGTCTAACGAAAACCACGGTTAGTGTGTACGAGTGTGCAAGTACATTCTCCCTTGTATTGATGTTTTCCTGCGTTGTGGATGCAGCAGCCAACTGTTCTTTTTTGGTTGCATGTGAGTGGGATACCTGTAGTCCATGTGAATGGGATACCTGTAGTCCATGTGAATGGGATACCTGTAGTCCATGTGAACTTCAGAGTAACAGTCTAGTCTACTTTGGTGTCCGAGTTTTGAACTGGATCCAGTGTGAGCACTGTGTTTTTATTTGCTTTCATTCCTCTTCCTCCTCCTCCTCTTCTGTGTTCTGCAGCAAGGTCGACATCTGGATTTACTCACTATCACAAATCCTAGTAGGTTCAAAAGCTTCTTTCCAACTTTTAAAATTTTTATTTTAGTATCTCTATCTGCGCCTTGACCCTTGAGGATGATGGTGCTCCTGTGGATCCGAAAAAAAATCTGTCTGACCGATTCTCATGCAAGCAGGGAAAATTCGTTTTGATGGTATTGATTGAAGATAGGAGAGTGTTTGTTCCCCACGCTGGAGCTCGCTCTTTTCCGTCATGTATTGAAGATGCTCTTGTTCAAAAACAATGCGTAAATGATTAAAAAAAATGTTTCAAAAAATATGATCCGCCAATGTCTTGACAATCACGTTTCTCTTTCAGATAATTTGGAAGTTGATGAGGCGCAGGACCCGAAGCGGAAGATTCCGGCTGTCGTTATAACTGCTCGTGTCCATCCCGGCGAGACTCCGTCGTCTTATGTGTGCGATGGTGAGTAAAAGTTCTGATATGTCACATTTTGTTGTCTTTGTGTTCACTTATGAAGTCCATCTGTACTTGTTGTATGCTCTGATCATCTTTACTGGCTATTGTGCGAGCTCTGCCTTCAAGAGTACCAACAATGATTTTCGGTAACAGTATCATTTGCCGTGTATCGTCCACCTTGTCACCTAAGCTCTTTCAAGCGCACCATATGTGACTAGGACATAACCAACCATACAGCTGTACCGTATCTTCCCATTTAAGTTGCACACCAATTGTAGATTGACTCCATATTTGCCATATTTTAAGCACGATTGACCTTCATGGAGCCATACCTTGACATGTACACTGCATTGTGTACTATGTGCTATCGACACGTACAGATTCCCAGTATAAAGTGCATGTACATGGAGCACTGGGGCTTGAAAGTTTAGTTTTGGTGCATAAAACATCGACATGATCATTACCTGGAGAATGTGCGAACCGCTACTTTCAAGTGTCTGTGTCGGTGATGGTGCTTGCATCTGTTTATGCGTTATGCTCAGGTGTGATCAATTTCTTGATCAGTGACGATGAGCTGGCTGTCAGCTTAAGAAATAAGGTTATATTTTACATTGGTAAGCTCTGCCTATGCCCATGCTCACACTCAATGGTCATCTGACATTCTCTTGCCTATACAACGGAACTCGCGTAGTACGTACTCTGGTAATACGTACACTTGTTTAGTACGGACGTTGTCTGTTAGTACGCACGTTGTCTGTGGTGTGGGTGTATTGCCCAAGACTGAAGTATGTTTGGATTAGAGGCACAGTGGAAAATATGTACACTTTCCTGTTCCGCACGTGGGTACGTCTTATCAGTGTTCCACTGTATCTGGCAATAGAGATGTTGCGCCCAACGAAAATTTGTAAGATTTGGCCGTAACAGCCTGGAGTAACGAAAGTCGAACGAACTTTTGTCAACTTTCGACGGAAAAAGAGCTCTACAATGAAAAGTACTTTCACTGCCACGCAGTAATGTACAAACACCTGCATACTGCCATGCACTTAGTAGTGTGTGCATGCCTGTCCGTCGAGACCTACATGTCTGATTTCCCGGATACCGAAAATCTTGATGTTACCACTTTTGCGCAAGCTCCGAATCAGCCAATTCCTGTAGCATTGATGTCGTTGCCTGATCGGTTGAGCACTATGAAACTTCACTATGTGTAGCCTGTCAATGTCGTTGACCTTCCCTGTAACGTCCAGGCACGTTTCACTGCGTCCCATTCCTAGACATGCCGACAAGAGTTTGGTGTTATTTGGTTGTCTTTGCTGTAGTTCCCATGTTGAATCCCGATGGAGTGTTCCTCGGCAATTATAGGTGAGTCATTTTGCCTCGACGCGGATGTATTAAATTGTGTTATGGTAACTGCTGTTCATAAAGTACCGCTACCTGTGGAACCTGGTTTCAACAAACACTCATGGTGCATGAAATCGCGTGGTGGGCCTTGCATCGTCCACAACTATTTGAAAACTATGGTAATCCCCGCATTGCTGCCTGGGGTCATCGCCCAGAATATCCCTTTGCTTGTCCTCCGATGCCTTCTTTGCAGATGCTCTATGCATGGCTATGATCTGAATAGAGTGTGGAATGAAACGGATGCTGAGCCATGGATGCATCCGACAATTGACGCCGTCCGTGACTTCGTCCACAAGATAAGCCTTGATCCGGTATGGATACTGCCTTTGTAACTTTTCAAGTGTGACATGAAGGGTTGGCAAATGCACCTTTGCAGAAGTAGTGCAGGGTATTTTACAGAACAAAAAGGTTGTGCTCAAACGTTTTAACTGTACCGCACCCATGCACATTCCTGTATTTCAAAAATACATTAGCTTCAACCAAATTCCTATCATAGTATGGCATCCACTACGAGGTGATTTGTAATAATTTTACATGAAAGTAAAAAAGGCTATCATTCCGTTGCCCTGGCGAGTTTTGAAGTGTGCATGGTCTCATTCTGTCACTATGAATGTCCTCTATCCACGTATGGACTTCTTGATCGAACATCACAAACATGAGAGACACAGTGTGGGGTTGCTTTGCATGCATTTTTTCACCCAGAAAAAGTGTGTACAAAATTTTACAAGTCAGTAAAATAGGGTCTAACATCAACTAATATGACCTAAATGTGTCAATAAGCTTGCAATGGGAAATCAAGATACATCTGAAGCAAGTCACATGCAGAGAAAGCAGACTGGTTTTGCAGGTTGCCCAACGTATTGGTTTCTGTACGTCGTCAACTGCGGTTCAAAACGATAGGGTATCTTTGACCGCCTGCCGGCATTGTAGAGCATGAGCACGCATACCTTATCTTGCTGCTCCATTTCTTTCAACTTGCAGTGCATCCTCATGCGTGAAATAACCACACTAAGCAAAGATACCATCCATGATGCGCGCCAGCCGTCCCACGACAGGGTGCCTTCGTGCATCTGGGCCACAGTGCATTTAACCGGCACATACTGACAATGTCGGGGATTCCATACTCTCCAAGACAAGTGCAGTGACTCCTTCACCTGATTCATATACTTCTGTGTTGGAAGAAGACTGCAGACCACCCTCAATGGGTGTTCTGCCGTCAACACCCAACATACATTCATGCCGCATTTCCTGCATTTGCAGGCTTTGCCATCGTGAATCTCTACCAGCACTTCTGAGGTAGCAAGCTAAGTTTCATACGTAGGTCTACTGAACAGCTAATTATTTACCTGTATGCCATAAGCATCAGCAGCTTCGGACTTGGATTTGAATCACCTTTCATGATAGGTGAGTGAAAGACACATTTTGTCAAAATTGCAGTTTCTGACCTTCACCTTTTTGGCTAATCTCTTCTTCAGCCCTGCTACTTTGACGGTGTGACAGACTCAATGCTGGCATCGGTGACCAGCCTAGGGTTTCCACCTGCCGTGCAATACGCTCGCTGGCTCTTGGACGTCCTTCAAGCATCCATTGAGGGATATTTTACCTCTTTGACCACAAATTCACGAATTTCAATCCATGATTGATATCTCACAAGGCCGTGGAAGAAAAAATTCCGCTGAACGCTGCCGATGCTTACAAACTACAATACAATGGCAACTGACTTGTCTGTCGAACTAACAAAAACACTTCATGGGAAGAATGCAATCGCCCTCAACAATGATATTTTACTCGATTTGTAAAATTATATGCCATGTAATTTTTTTACAAATCACCTCGTACTTTGGAACATTTGAAACGTGCATCAATTCTGTTCTTGGCACATGCTGATGTCAGATAGCCAGCAGATATCATTGCGTTGTTCGGAAAGCTAATGCATGAAAAAGGTTTGGTTGGAAAAACAGGAGTTTGATAGATAACCCATCTCGTCTCCGTGAGCTGTGCGTGTGAGTTAAACATATGGGAAGGAGAAGAACCCCTTGTTGGTATGACAGGAGTGGTTTTCAGCTAGTATTCTTCACCGGGTATAACTCCTTGTTACTGCCAGGGTGGGTCCAGCTAGTGAGTGGGTTTCATGTAAAAATAAGTGGTGGGCATGCATGATTTTCCCGTGACAGTGGACTGAGTGGTGTTGGACTCAGTGCTGCATAGTCTTACCACTCAAACCAAGTCACAGTACAGGTGAGAAGGTGAGAAGGAGGGAGAGAGAGAGAGAGAGCAAGATGCATAGTAGAGACAGAGAGATATAGAGATGAATCCGAGACCCTTGGTGGGAGGAGTTACTTCTGCCCCACCCCCACTTCCATCCAATATGCCACCGCCCCCAATGTGCAGCATCTGATGGTTCTATGGTATTAAAAAGGAGAGAAATAAGGAAGGTATGAGGTCTTTCAGACCTACCTTACAAAGCGATGATAATCGAATGGGTCATTGTTTTCGGGTTAAATTATGTTGCCTGGATTCCTTGTAGCCATGTGTTTTCTTTGGCCTACTTTATGCCCACCTGTCTTTGCTATTTTAGAGACAACACCTGCATTATGTGTTTGACCTTCATGCGCATACCACACTTTGTGATGGTAAGGAACTTTCTTCTGAAACCATGTCATAATATTGTGCCAAGTTTACATAATAATCTATAACTGAGTACTTTGCATCTGCTGATCATAGGCACGTGGCAAGTGCACAAAATGCTCGTGTGGTCCTCATACAACTTACAGTATCTAGGTGCTTTCATACATTGTGAACATGAGTAAAGATATAAAACAATGATAGGAGGCTAAAGTATGTGTAAAACCAAGAGTACATGAAAACCAGAGTGTGCAGCTTGGGGCCTTTTCTGCTATGGGTGTCTGTCATGGCGAAATTCCGTGATTAGATCATATTTGGCCCAGATCTGAGGCGGGAAATGGCGTAGTGCGTACAACTGAGCTGCAGTTGTGCAGAAAGAGACCTGCTTGAATCCTGCTTGTACGCACTACATCACTAAAATGATGTAATCACGGAATTTCGCCGTGACAGCAACCCATCCGAGCTGCACACTCTGGATTTCATGTACTCTTGGTAAAACACATCAGGTATGCTGTGAGGTGAGATGACACTCAGTCAGTCAGCTTTTAAGCAGATGTAAACACTCTAAAATATAAGAATGCTTCTTTTTGGGTCTTAGAATTTCGGGAGCGCACGTAACTTGTGCTTTCTGTCTGCTGCCCAGCGTTTATCTACGGGAATGAATTTGATGATGAAACACGCACAGAGATGCAGTCACACTTCCCGAAAAAGCTGAGCACCCGGAGCAAAGACTTCAGTCTGGTGAGTGGTGCTCCTTGCTAGGAGTTGCAAATGCATGTTTTCCCAATGCTGTTATACGGTTGAAGCCACCTCTAGCTGGCGTTTCCGATTGATCAGAGGGTTTGTAAGCAGAGGCCGTGCCACTGTGAGACACTGGGAACATGTAACACGGTGTCACCTTGCTTTACAAAGCCGTTGTTCAGTGCAGACTCTTATGTAGTGACTGGGAATGCTCGTTTTGCTTCTCTGCACCTCTAGGAGAAAACTCACTACAACTGCGAGGAGTACAAGGCAGGGACTGCAAGACGGTACGTACTGGAAGCTGTGGACCACTAGCAATCGAGTTAGTCACAGTGTATTTACCGCCATATTGCCAGATGTGCATTTACCACCATACCAATCAACCGTAATTGTCTTGAATATAAAATGTTGTTAGCAGAAATGATTCTTGGCTGACCTGGTGACATTTGTGTATTCTTATGTTTAGGTACCTTGGCGGTGTTCATCCTCGGCTAAACGCATACACTGTTGAGATCTCATGTTACGGCTACATTAACAAGAGGGATGACAGCGTTATCGGCTATACTCCGGAATCTTGTATCCTCTACTGTTCACTTGGCTGCTCCCTGCATGAGGTGAATATTGAAAAAGTACTTTGCATAGTTGGTGCAGTGTATGACCCTTGATTGTACTTTGGTCATGCATTGCTGTTTAGTGAATGCACGTGTGTGACTGCTAGTGTAGATTCTGGTATTGTCGGATAAAACTTGAAAAGCATAAGTTTTACAAGTTTGACCTGTCAGAGTAGTGTCACAGAGGGGTTGGGGTGGGGGGGGGGGCATATGTGAAGTACCTGTCTCCATAATGCTTTGCTTTTCTAATTGGTATAAGCCTTGACATAAATATTGCGTGAAGATGAAGAGTTCGGTGCCAACCTCGCTAGGACGTTTGGCGATGTCTTCCGACTGCGCTCTTAGCGGTCAGATGTGGAACATGAAAATGCTCCCAGCGCAATTGTGTACAACATGTGCTGTTCTACCCCTAGTTCCTGGTGACTTTTGGACTAAATCAGTGTCATTGTAGACCCTTTGGGAATCACAGGCTATCTGATATGAACTCATCATCCGGGCTTCATGTTTCAAGAACTGGGCTATTTGCAGCGCGATGTAAAGGTCTTACTTCGAAGTATGTGCCGGAAATGTAATGATATGGACGTATTTCTTGCTGCTCTCAAAACCAGAGGGATATGGCAGAGAACAGAGTATGATAGGCCATATTTCTATTTTTTCTCTCTCACAGTAATTTATGTTGTTGTGCTCCATCGAATAATTATGGTTGGGGCTGTGTGTGACGTCGAGCATCCACGATAAAATGTTTTGCAACGACCCATTTTCTCATATATTCCATTCAGTCTGATCATAACCGGTTATATGGATTGATCCCGGTTCTAGGTATTGACCAAAGGATGTTCTTCTGTTGCCCCACTTCTCACACCAAACAGTTCACAACAGTTTTTGATCCAATTCAGAATGTTAAGTAAAATAGGTGTCCTATCAAATTTTTTTTTTAAACCCTACTTGTACATGGAAACAAGTTAACAGTCTGATTATAGCAATGAAATGGTTGAACTGCACACTCATTCTAAACACACATTAAGGCAAAGTTGGTGGATTATTTCCAATGATGGTTTTGTTGTGATATCAGTTGGATTAGCATCATAATTTTTATTGTTGATACATGTACAAGAGAAAAAATAACAGATTACATAGAAAGAAGGTGCAACAATTGTGAAAACAAGAAAGAGAGTGTGAAAATATGACCAAGTTGGTGCTGAGGACATTAAAAAGTTTCCCTCAATTGGAGGTGTTAGAAGCTGTATTTATATGCAAACTAAAAAAAGACTCTGTCACCGCACTCACCTTCTTTCCGTAATTCTCACACGCATCAATACAGTTTGTAGTCCATGTTGGTGTTTGTTCCTGTTGCAAAATTTAATGTATCCCACGCGTTTCATGCACCACATATTGCACTTTAATGCCCTCAGATCAGCACCAACTTGGTTTATATTGTTATGTCATCCTACATCGTGACAAGCAACCCTATTCCGTTGCATGCAAACTCTACGTTATGGGTGCACCGGTGATATTAAATCAGAAAGATCGAGATCTATTACAATCTACAGTATAGTATGGGTCTACAAACAGTACAGCTATGTCGTGTGTGAACGTCACCCACCAACACTACATGTATACACCCACGACCACGTACCTGCCAGGGCAGGTACGTCTGTGACATTGTAGATCTACAGTCATGCTCTCACTAGTGCACTGTCTCAGGCAGGGAGTGTCGTACAAGGGTTTTCACGACTCCCTGGTGAATACGACAGCTTCATAACGACACACTGAGTCTTATGAAACTGTTCTGAATTTCAGGACGATGGATAGATCAAGCTCATGAGTTATGAAGGCAGGGTGTTGACTGTGGGCGAGGAGAAGATCTACAAAGACAAGTGCGTGGGATCATTTAGTGGGCCTATGGTAAATACTTCGTCATGACGTGTTGTCAATGTTGACGTGCAGAGCCCCCGACATACATGTAGCTGTGGGATCCTCACTGCTATGCTGTCCCCGGGGAAAATTGCGGAAAAAAATCGCAAAAAACGCGGGGAAAAACGCGGCATAATATGGCATAGTTTGCGGTGAATTTGCGGTAAATATGCGGTGAATAATATTGATGTGCGGCAATTTTCAGTGAGTATGTAGTGAAATCAATCAGTTACAAGTCTATGCATGGTGTAAGCACTCGTCATATTTGAGTAAAAAGCCGCCACGATGAGACGTTAACGCGTTGTTGACCGAACAGTGCACTGTGTGTACGTGTAGTGCAACAAAAAAGTTCAAAAAACGCGGAAAAATCGCGGAAAACGCGGTCTTTTAAAAAATCGCAAAAAACGCGGATAAAAACGCGGCCGCGGAATTGCAATTTTCCCCTGGGACAGGCTATGGCAGTGCAAAGATTGTCAGTAGATCTACCAGGGACTCGGTCGTATTCAAGGTACTGCGACTCCCTGGTCAGTACACCATGGTAGATCTACACAATCATGTGCTATCGCCACGAATCGATGTAACCGTATGACTAGGAGTAGGAGCCCATTGCACTCAAGCCAAAGTCTTGATCTTGAGCCTTGCCTTCTTGGGCCTTGCATCTTCCGCACTGTGGGTGGCCTGTCCGAGGCTGCCAGCGCTAATTACGACTTCGCGATTGTGGTATGTTCTGGACGCATCATTAGGAGGTCATATGTTTTGCACTGCTGCATTCCTGGCACATGATGATTTTGACAAGATAAATAAAACAGTATTCGGCGCGAGATGAAAACAATCATTCATTATGCGAGCACTCCTTGTGCAAACTGCTGTGCGTTTTTGAAACAAATCCCGGCAGTCTCCGAATCGTTTGCAGAACATTTGGCAGGATATCACTCCTGAAGAGTCTCTTTCCGATATAGTACCTTTCTTGTGAGGCCAGTGGACAGGAGCGTGCACAGTTGAGCGAATTCTAAAGTAGACCGGCCGAGCAACGCGGCTTGGGAATGAAGGGCTTCCTTGTAGCCCTGTGGCTTCAGATGGCAGCCGTTAGCGTGCTCCAGGCACGATATGGACACGCACTGGTCGGAGTCGGCGTGCGGGACACGTTCTTTCTGGAACTACCTAGTCGCAATGTGCGGCAGCTGGACGTCTTGCCCGATGCCAATAGCACAGTTCTTTACATTGACTCGGCCCTGGACAATCTGAACGTGATGAACAACGATTGGATATGTGAGTATAAACTATAACGTCGCTGCGTTCTTGTTACAAATGACACTGTTACTCATTGTGAAAATGTTTTGCAGACACGTCTAGTTCCACCTTAGTTTCTGGTTCTTCTGCCTATCTGGTCCAGAAGAGCTTGACCACAGAGTGATGTGTTTTCTTCACTGAAATAATTCAGTCTCATGAACCTGGTGCTGGGTGTGTGCTGTCAACTGGGTGAAGTGTCCATATTATAACCAGGCCATGGATTGTAATAGGTATTACCAGGCAAAGAAAACACTTCGAGAACTTGAACAACTCAAAACGGTTAGTTGTCACTCTCTTCATGTACAGAGATATCATCATGTCATCAAGAAACCACTTGGATTGAAGATGGTGTGTGTGTAAGGTTTTCTGTCATCAAGAGTATAAATATTATTAGCCCTGGGTGCTTATAATTTATACTCTTGATGTCATGTGAATGTAGCTGGCTTTCTTGACCGGCATGTCTGAGATGATAAGTCTTTAGAGTTTAGTATGTAACATTATTTTTTTTTTTATTATTATTTCACCGTCCAATGGCAGAAGCCAATGCAAAGGAGGGGGCGTTAGCCAGCCATGGCAAGAGAAGAAAAAAAAGAAGAAAGAATGAAGGAAAGAAGATGATAATCGGAAGAAAATAATGCATCAGCGGGGTGAAATGTATCGCTATGTTGACCATGGTGGAGAGCGGCGAGATAAGCTAGCAAAAGAGGCGAGCGAGCCTACAACGTGGCATGACATTTAACATGGTCTATGAACTGTCTAATATTGGATATTGTCTTCATTTCCATGGGCAGCTTGAGCCAATACGAGTATGCAGAGAAGATAGGAGATTTGGTAAACATAGTTGACAAAGCTCTGGGAAGTACTATGCCATTGCGAGTGTCCCGTGCGAAAGTAAACCAATTATACTTGGTGAGATGTTCAGGGACAATGTTGAGTTTAATACGATGGACCAGAACGCATGACTGTCTCTGCGACAGGATAGAGATGGGGCTGGTGGAGGCCAAACTATATAGATCAGTAGAGGGGAAAAGAGTGGGTTTACGAAAAATAATTTTCAACACACGTTTATGATGTATTTCTAGTGTCTGTACAGCAGATTTACTAAGCAGGGAATGCCAAGCAGTGGCGCCGTACAGAAAGATAGGAAGGAGGTAGCATTTATAAAAGAGACGAATACATTCGGGAGACAAGTGGGAGCAGTGAGACATCAGGCAACCTACAGATTTGCTAACTTTGTTGCATACAAAATCTACGTGAGAATTCCAGGACAATTGCGAGTCAAATACAACACCCAAATGCCTGTGCGTATCTAGCTATCTACAATAGTAATATTAATAGCCGAATCAAGTCCGGGAAGGGTAAATGTAGGAGGGTGGTCTATTTGAGGGAGAAAGACTATTTCTGTTTTCAAGATATTGGGTTTCAGACGCCATCACAACATCCATTCATGAACAACATTGATTCCAGTCTGAAGCTTCGTACACAGGTTTGCAATGTCAGCGTCAAACTGAATGAGGGCTGTGTCATCAGCAAATGGTGACAAACCATCTATACAGTCAGGTAGATCGTTTATATACAACAAGAATAGTAGAGGCCCCAGTATAGATCCCTGGGGGACTCCCGACTTCACAGGCAGTGGGTCTGAGAGTACCCCTTCGACTGACACTGATTGCGTTCTATCTGTTAGGTAGTCCGTAATCCACGCCAGAGACGCTCCGGAAACATTGTACATCGCAGATAATTTAGCTAGGAGTCCACGGAACCATACCGTGTCAAACGCCTTGGCTAGGTCGAAAAAACACATGCCAACATGTTGGTGGTCATGACGAAGGGCCACAATGTCCTGCACAAGGCGTGTCAGCTGCATGGTGGTTGAGTCTCCTCGTTGAAAACCAGATTGGACTGGGGCAAGGGCCGGCGACACATGAGCATAAAGCTTATCAAAGAATAATCGCTCACATAGTTTCGATACACAGGACAACAAGGAGATAGGACGGTAATTGCTGGCTTGTGACTTGGAGCCTTTGCTCTTGTAAACCGGAACAACCTTCGCGAGTTTCCATGCTGCTGGAAATTTACCCGTCGAAAAGGACACATTAAAAATGCGGCAGAGGGGGTACGAAATCGACGGGGCAAGTTTCTTCAGGACATCATTCGTAATGGTGTCCAAGCCAGGACTGCGGCGAGACTTTAGTCGGGCGATAGCCTTTCTAACATCCGCAGTTGTGGTGATGACCTGAACAAATGTTTCATGAAGTTGGCTGTGGGCACGAAGAGCTGGAAGTGATAACGACGGATCATCCGGCACAGCAACGGAGGCGAACTGCTGGTTGAGGACTGTAGCCTTGTCGAAACTGCCAGAAACTGGATGACCGCCTTCATCAATGAGGTGAGGAAGGCCACGATCCTGCTGACGATTCCGCTGAGAACGAACAAACTGGTACATGTTAAGGTTACCTGACGCCATGCTGGCCTGTATAGATGCCAAATAGTCACGGTGAAGAGATCGAGATAAGTTTCGTACTCTGTTACGCTGAACTTTGAAGGCAGACTGGTTAGCTGGGGTTGGGAACTTCCTATATCGGCTGTAGAGTTCGTACTTCAACTTGATGGCAAGTACTAAATCTCGATTAACCCACGGAGGATATTTCCTAGATACAGCTCGCTGGGTGGAGGAAGAGATTTTCCGATAAGGCGACAGGTAGTGGGAAAATGCATCATTCAAGGAAGAGGAGAATCTGGCTAATGCGTCGTCGACATCTGGTGTGTCCATGAGATCATACCAGTTGAGCGAGGAAAGGTACATATTTACTGCTACCCAGACAGAAGGTGGCACTTGCGCAAAATTGTATGGAGTGGCTGGGGAACTACGGGCAGGATAGCATGGTACTTCCTTTGTAGGCATTCGGGTTACAGTTCTGTAGAAAAGGGTGGTAACTACCTGTGAATGGTCGGACGCACCAAGCGGGGCAGCATCGTCGACAGAGAATACTGATTGAGGACGATTGGTAGCGAGCAAGTCTAGGCACGACAGGGTTCCGTTTGGAGAGGTGTGAGTGGGAAAATCTACCAGCTGGGAGAGACCGAAGCTGGAGAATATATGCGAAAGTTCCTTTCCAGCGCGTGATGTAGCGTCACCGCTCCACCAGTCAGAGTTGTGAGCATTGTAGTCACCAGTGAGGAATATATCAACGGATGAGAGGTCTACAGCCCGTAGGGTATCCGTCATCATGTCACAAAATGAGGTAAGTTCAGGTAGGGATTGCGAAGGAGGGCGATACTTTCAGCCAATGAGTATAGGATTAGCACCCAGGTCTGCAGGAAGTCCAAGCTCAACCCATATGTTTTCGCATTGGGGAGAGTCAAGGTCTGAGCGCTGGGCTGCATGCAAAAATGTCCCATCTCGTACAAGGATGGCAACACCACCATAACCTCGGAACTGGGCCCTTTGGTTCGCTGGTATTGGCCTATCTCGACGGAAGCACGTATAACCAGGTACACTGAGCATATGTATCGGGCAGAGCCAGGTTTCTGTCAGACATAGGATAGTCGGTGTGTTGGATCGACACAATGCATGGAGTTCAGGGATTTTGTTCGACACGGAGCGACAATTAATCGTAACAATAGTGATGTTATGTTGAGTCTTAGGAAAATATGGGAAGGCCTGGGCGCTCAGCGGTGCGGAAGCCATCATTCTGACGACGTGGAGGTTTTACCTGGTTTGTTCGTATTTGAATCTGCAAACCGCCACTTTCTTACGGTGTGCTGGATAGTTGCAGGCCAGAATCCGTCACCCAGTACCTTTTCCGTAGCTGAGGCTGGGAATGTCACTCTGGCGTAAGCTGTTCCGAAGGTGCGGGATTCCAAGATGGTGCAGTTGAGCACATCCACTGCACGCTCTTGACACCAATCCTTGATGGAGTCGGCACTGCAGCCCATGTGGACGTTTCCTACATAGAATATCGCTTTGTCCACCTTTTCGACACCTGTCAGGACTACAGGGTTTGTTTCGACCGTGGGCATAGGCTTGACGTACCGAGATGTGACCCGACGTCGTACAACATCGACCCAAGAGCTCTGTCCATCTGATTTGTTGCAGGAACTGCTGTCCGTAGTGACGTGACCGTTGCCAGCAGGTCTAGGTGCTGTACGAGTAGTGTCGCTGGACTGGGAAGCGGCACGTGGTTGCGAGTGCATACCGGTAGTACGGTCATTTGAACTTGAGCGTGCATGCTGCGATGTGGAGGTGTGCTGTGATTGCGGTGCAGTGGTGATGGATGTGTCAGTTTCATACAGGGAGGGCTCTACGGTAACTTCGTTAGCACTTGTGCGACGGTTGTGGGTGTCATTGGCAGTTTGAGAAAGTGCGCCTGTAGTGAAGTTCCTCAGCTCTAGTACTTCCAATTTTAGGCTGGAAACCTCATCCCGAAGTGAAGAAACAATGGCATTATCATGCTTCGCTTGCTCAAGTTGCTCTCTTAGCTCTATCACCACACATACAAGCTCGTTTAGAGACTTCAGACTACTACTAGTACTGACCTCATTGGCCTTGATCGGGGTTAGTTACTTACACCCACACCAGCTTGTCTTAGGGAAACCACAAGATCAACTCGGCTCTTTGACTCGGCTCCGTCAATAGGATGCTGTTTGGCAAGATGCCGCAGCTCTTCGAAAGTCAGCAAGGCGAGGTCGATGTCCATATTCAATGTCATATTCCTAGTGTGTCCAGATCAAGTTCTCTGCCACAGGGACCTAAAGTAAGCGGAGCTTAAAAACTTGCATCCGCACCTCATGTACATGACATGAGCACGTAGGTGTGTAGCATGATGTCACTGCAGTGGCAAGTGAAATCAGACCTCATGAACCTCATGAAGGCAGAAGTGCAGCATACTAGTAGTCAAGTGGACCTTGTTGTGCTCATGCCGGTCATGGCGCAAAGGCAGCACATAGCCTAGCGCTGTTACTGTAAGACTCGTGTCAGTCGCGACGTTGGTGGATACAGCTTGCCAACACTGTAGGCATGCAGGTACTCACAGATGTACATTCTGAGTACAACGTGATATGCACTACATGTATGTTGATGCAGTAATGTTCTGATTTCCACCATTCTTCAGATGGTTCATTTGTCAGCTGCTATGAGAGCGCCCAGCCACCCATGAGCGAAGCCGAAACTGAGCTAGCACCGCAGCCGTTGCAGTTCAATGAAGTTTCACAAGTGGTGGGTATCAATCACGTGCACCGTAAGAATCATCCCGCCAGGCCCGACTGTTCGCTGCCAATCGTGGCCGAAAACCCCGTGACCAATCTTACAGCACGCCTAGACGGTGAGCTGTGCCAGGCCGACTTATCAACTGGTGCCGTTGTTGCCGGTGATTATGACAACGATGGACATGTCGATCTTTACTTCACGGTTCATAGCGGTCCCAGCCGCCTCTACCGTAACAAAGGTACGCTGGCCATGTATGTATGTTTGTGTTCATGCGTGCGTATGTGTGCGTGTGTGTTTGTGTGTGTGTTTGTTTTTGTGTGTGTGTGTGTTTGAATGTCTTGTAAGTTTTAGTACTTCCCATGCTTGTGGTGCTGCAAAGCTGTACGCGTGTATTCAGTCCTGGCTACTTGAGTAAGGTTATGTTTGTGTCTATAAAGACAGTATATACATATAATATATGTTGAACATTCAGGTGACGGCACTTTTGAAGATGTGAGTGTACGCACAAGGATTGGTCCAAAGAAGTTCGCCAGTGGCGCAGTGTTTGTTGACGTGGACGATGACGGAGACCTCGATCTGTACGTGACTACGCTGGGTGACACACGCCATTATCTCTACATCAACCATGTAAGTCCCTATGCCCAGCCTAGCCAAGTCACTTGGCCGTTAGTACAGACATTTGCAGGTGCTGTGTGTATAACACATACACGTCACTGGGACAGTTGATAATGGACGTGGAGCTTCCTCAAACAATCTGAGTGGCGTTATGATGTGATTCCGAAGAAGCGATGCATTTCTGCCCTGTTCCCAATGGAGACGGGGCTAACGACAGGATTAGTATTTTTCCCTCGTTCTAAAATCTCTGGAGATAGCATTGCTGACCAGCAGCACGAATGCTTTGTGTGATTGTTACCTGTTACCTGCACAGCACGGCGGACTCTTCTTCACCGAAGAGGCTGAGATGAGAGGAGTGTCGTTACGCCGACCAGATGGCCGTGTTCTATCTGGAATGACACCTAGCGCCGGGGATTATGACCGTGATGGCTTCCCAGACATCTATGTCACCGAGTGGCTGTATTCCTATGTTGCTCAGGTATTAGTTGATACTGTTCTGTATCGTTTTGTACAGCGTTAAGGCATCATTTGGATTGTGTCGACCGCAATAACGGTTTAATATTCCAATTTATATTGCAATAATGTTGTGTTTATGTCCTGGTATGCATGCACTAGCATGCCTGCTCTCTCTTTCCTTCCCTTGCCATGTGTACTTGAAGCATATCTACATGTGTTTGATTATGATTTCAGCCAGCTGCATCACTTCTGCTGCACAACAGGGGATCTCGAATGGCAGGGTAAGCACAAGTCTCCTGGTTTAGCTGGAAAATCGCTGTTGCCTTCTGCATTCTTTATCAACTTGCCTGGGCACTACCCTGTGCCAAATGTCACTACGTGGCACGTTGCACAATACAGCCCGGTGCAGTACATGTATTTTTCCTAGGTTTTGAAAGTTTTTCATCACATCCTATTACACGTTTTTAGAGGTCTTTCCCTTTTCACAATCACACTCCTAACTTCTCGTCTACTTCAAGTATGTGCTACCTGTGTAGCTCCTAACGGCACTACGTGACTGCTCTGCTCTCTGTTTTCAGCTACTTTGAGGATGCCACCCAGTCGGCTGGATTGGCGTCTGCTATTGGCAGTTCAAGTCAGCGAGGAACGTTCACATTCTGCTCTTCTTTCACTGTAAGCTGAGACCAATGTCCTGCATGCAGCAGGGTATCTGCCTGGGAGATTCATCCGTGTCTGTTTGGTGCATTTAATATGTAGATGGTGACCTTTTCATCATGATTGTGATTCTCCCCTGGACACCAATACAGAGAAAAAAAAGCTTGGTTGTCATAAAGGTGTTGTGCTTGAATTAATGTTTCCTATCTATAGGATATGGACAATGACGGCTGGCAAGACCTAATCATCACTGGGGACTTTGGAACATCCAAGGTCTTCTGGAACAACCAGAACGGCACATTCACGGAGTGCACAGAAGCGTGTGGTATTACCGTCAGTCCCGTGAGTGTACTTGAACTATGTTATAAACGCAGGAAAGCCCGAGCTCTATAGGTTAGTGCGAAGGAAAAGTAAGCCGAGGGCTTCTTGTCACTGGAAACACTTCATTTGCTCCGTGTGCTTGAGGTGTCAGATGGTGTTTTGTACAGTATCAGGACAGTTAAAGTGGTGGTGGTGGTTGGGTGGAGAGGGGGGGGGGGGGTGACTGGGCCGGCAAGCAATGGGGAGTAACGGTTAGGGTATGTATCTTGAGTGCCTGTCCACCTATAGCGCAGCTAGCCTGTTACTCTAACGTACCTTTCACTGTGATCATAGAATGTATATCATTACATTGTACATCCTCTACACATACCTATACGCATGCAAGTCGACTCGTAAGCAGCTCATATAGCTCAATGTTTGTAGTGTGTTATCCATCAAAGACCGCTTTAGGAGCTGCTTTGGGAGATGCATCTGCGCCTTGATCCTTGAAGGGTGGTGGCGTTCCTACGGATGCGGAAAACTAGGCCTCTAGCCGAGTCTCACGCAAGCCGTGAATTATTATTATCCATCAATGTGTGCACAGGATGCTATGGGCCATGCTATTGGCGACTGGAACATTGATGGTGTAATGGATTGGTGGATGACGGCTATCCATGATCAATCCGACTTTGATTGCAAGTCAGCTGGCTGCAAGTTCTCAACAGCCGGCAACATATTCTACGCCAACCAGGGAAACAGAAGACTGCAAGATCTGACTACTCATGTTAGTTTCGAAACATTCTCTTTCCTATCTCTTACGGTGTAGTGCTGTGATGACCGTGCTTGTGCGTGGAGGTAGTGACGGCTGCTCAGTCTTCTCAATGATATGGCAAACAGAAAGTAGGGTTGGTCACGGTGTATATCCCTACCTATATACTGTGCTCTAGTCCCGCATGTCCCTGCACTACAGTGTTACCCGGGGGAAGAAACAACTAAAGCTGATGGCGAATACTTCATTAAAAACAGTTTCCTCTGAGACGAGAATGTGATAATACGGAGGATTAGCAAGACGAAATTCGCATTCGCGTTCGCTCTGCAAGGAAAGTCGAACTCAGTGACGGAATTCGCGTTATGAGAAGGATTAGCAAACAGACTTCGCACATGCATGACGTTGACACGTCGTCCATTGTGTGCAGACAGTATAGCGTAGTAAATGTATGACTGTCCTGACACGAATCCGCGATTCGTGTTCCGACTACTTTTCCGAACGAAAAATGCGAAAGTTCGCAATCCAGTTCGCTAACTGAAAAATGTTTGCGAACGCGAACGCGAATTTCGTCTTGCTAATCCTCCGTAATACTCCGAAAAGGACACACTTCAGGCTTGACTTACTTCATCTTGAGCATTTAAAAATGTGAATGGGTACCATATGAACTTCAGTTGCACCAAGATTTCCCCCACTGCAAATGTCACTGTTTTGTCATTATGACCGTTATGCTGCTGCTGCCCAGGTTGGAATACGCAAAGGTTTCTGGGGCTGGGGCAACTCCATGGTCGACTTCAACAATGATCGCTGGTTAGACTTCATCATGACTAATGGTAAGCTAAAGCTGGCTGAAGTGAAGCATTTGTGTACACACAAGCTTCTGGACCTGTGGGTGCTATCCGGATGAAGTGTGGCAAAAGCATGCTCCCTGTATGAATGTTGAAATTGGGGGAGGGGGTATCAAATTGCACTGTCTCGGTGAAGCAGATTCTAGCTGCTTTTGATTGTCATGTTCTGTTTTGATGCTACTCTCCAGGGTTTGATGATGCTGCCGCGACCACAGATGACAGGTTCCGTGACCAGCCGATGAGGCTTTGGGAGAATCTGGGCCCAGAGAAAGGTGGCAAAACCATTGAGGTAGGACTAGTGTTGTGAGGCGTTTTACTTCAGTATCCACACGCTACAGCCTCCCTTGATGGGTAACCAATAATACACGTCAATTACACCTGTAGTCCGCTAGCGGGACCCAGCAGTAGTCTACTTTTGACTTTGATTTAGATTGTTCACCCGTTTTCATGGTTTTGAGTAGCCACTGGGTTGCTGCGCTGTGTTCCATCCCGGAGAATGCAAGTACCGGGCAATGATTATGAACTGATTAGTATCCGCAGCTCGATCTGGATCATGTGATCAGGAGTAGAACAATTCTGTCCAAGGAGAATAGAATGCTTTCCGTAATGTTTTTTTTCCATACCGTACAATCATGTGAATGCTCCATCGTTGCTGATCTGCCATAGCCGGTCTTTCATTGCATCCTGTTCACAGAAGCCTGTGTTATTTTTGGTCGTTCTTCCAGTCCTCCAGCAAATACAACATCGATTCCACCCATTCGGGACGTGGCTTGATCAAGGTGGATTATGACAGTGAGTTTCACTTCTAAGCTACCAAAAATTCCTCTGCTCTTAGTGGCTGCTAGTAGTAGATTTCTGTGGAATGATCGATAGTGCTCTCTCATCAATAGTGTGAGCTAAATCCTGATCATGCACGATACTTGCCGAGCCTGGCGTAGAAATTATTTCTTACTCGTGTAGCATAGTGGAGGATCTGACTCTCTTTGCTCAAGGTTCATCTCATATAACGATGGGGAAAGTGTCGATCCGATCCACTTCTGTAAATGTGCATGCCCGGTTTAGACGATGGAGATGAGGACATCATTGTAGCCAGCAACGTCGGACATCCAGCTGTGTTTCGAAATGATGGTGGAAATCGCAACAACTGGATCAAAGTAAAAGTTATGCGAAGGTGAGGTTTCATGCTGTAAAAAATCCAATGGCATTATCGTGTTGCTCTACCAGATTGAGCTCATTGCGCAGCATTGGCAAGTACAATCCGGATAGTTGTACACTTGCAGTGCTGGTGGTTGTCGAGAACACCTTGCCGTCCTGACACCCCCCCCCCTCTCTCTCTCTCTCTCTCTGTCTTTCCCTCTCTGTTCCCCTGCATGTCTCTCTCTCTTTCTGTCCCTGTATGTCTCTGTCTCTGTCTGTCTCTGTGTCTGTCTCAGTCTCTCTCTGTATCTCTCTGTGTCTCTTTGCCTGTCTGTGTCTCTGTGTCTCTCTGCCTTTTGGTCTCTCTGTCTGTCTGAGTGTCTGTGTCTCTCTGTCGCTCTCGCTCTGTCTCTCTCTATGTCTCTCTCGGTGTCTCTGTGCCTCTGTGTCTCTGTATGCCTCTGTCTGTCTGTCTGTCTCTGTCTCACTCTGTCTCTCTCTCTGTCTCACTCTGTCTGTCTCTATGTCTCTCTGTGTCTCTCTATGTCTCTCTCTATCTCTGTCTCTGTCTCTGTCTCTCTCTCTGTGTGTGTCTCTCTCTCTGTCTCTCTCTCTCTGTCTCTCTCTCTCTCTCTCTCTCTCTCTCTCTCTCTCTCTCTCTCTCTCTCTCTCTCTCTCTCTCTCTCTCTCTCTCTCTCTCTCTCTCTCTCTCGCTCTCCCTTTCTCCCCCTCTCTCTCTCTATATATAGTGTCATCAAATTTGGTTCAGACTATTACTATGGTCTGCAGGGGGCAACATGTAAGGAAGTCTGTGTGTGGCTGTGTGTGTATGTGTGTGTATGTGTGTGCATGCGTGTGTGTGTGTGTGTATTTCCAGGTGCACTGACATGGTACGACAATGTCATGTACTGGGCAGCAGAGTACAAGTCACTTCACAAGATGGCATAACACAGGTACTGGTGGCACATAGTGCTAGCGGCTCTCGTGAAAGCTACATGTAGTTGAAAGCGACACTCGGTTATTACATGCTGCATGGTGCATAGTGATGGTTCAGTGCTGCTGGTGTTCGATGATATCGTACGCTGACACAGGTGCTTGCTGTCTTGCTTTCATTGGACTACAGACCCAGGAGATCGGCTCTGGATCGCACTTCATGGCGCAGAACGAACTGACGGCTCACTTTGGACTGGGCGCCAGCCAATCAGATGTGACGATCAAAGTGACATTCCCCAACCAGTTCAGTGACACGACGTATACCAATGTCTCGGTTAACAGGCTGGTGAGGATCATGGCACCGCCCAGGTAAGCAGAGTCTGCCGGTAAAACAGTTAGTATTGTCTTAGTCAGACATCTACATGTATTCTTGCTAGGAAGCAGAAGGATATTTTGCCTTCCTGTACATTTCTGCTTGATGCATAAGTGTTAACACTCGCTTCGAAGGGTAGCCAAGTGCGCTATTCACATTATTATACAAACGTATCTGGTGAAGTGAATGTGCACCCATATCTGGGAAATCGTTTCAATGACGACATGCGTCGTGATCTTGACCTTGGTGCTGTTAGTATAGAATATTAGCACTATTGTATACTAATCAACTAGACTTCTTCCCTGTTTTTTCTTCTTCATTTCTGCAGTTTCTTCAGCCACACCACGCTGCCATATTCTAACCTGGACCAATGCCAAAACGCCATCATTGTCAATGTAACTCAGGTGGGTGAGGACTACTGATGACTTCCAGTATCCATCATTAGAGTGGCAGCACACCAGCACAACAGCACAAAAAGACTTGTTGCTCCTGCTCCATGAGAATGCAGTGACATTCCATGTATTTCTTTCTTAAAGTGACTAGTGTGTGTGTATGGGGTGAAGTGACTGGTGTGTGTGCGTGTGTGTGTGTGTGTGTGTGTGTGTGTGTGTGTGTGTGTGTGTGTGTGCGTGTGTGTGTATGGAGTGTGTGAAGTGGGGGAGGCGCACATTACGCACTTACTTGACTACAGGGTGTATGAGTTGATGTCGTTTCTAAGTGTGCTGGCACTACAGTCTTCACAGACTTCATACAGCTTACTCATGTATGTTTTACTGCACCTGTTGGTTGGAACAGCCGGAAATCGGATCAACGCATGTGAATCCTGGAGGCAGAAGTATCAAGTATGATGTTGACGGAGAGGAATTGCTAGAGCGACTGGAGGATCCCGCAAACCGGAATGAGATCAAATTCTCCTACAAGATTGCCCTGCACCCCCCGCACACTAGTGAGAAGGCAGCGCCATCGCTCTCTGGAAACGTAGTCATGTACTACATCAACGCTGCAACTATGGGTACCCGGACGGAATGTGCACGTGATGGAAATAACATTGGTAATGCGCCACAGCCAGATATCGGTGCACGGTGAGTCTCTGCTACAGTACAATACTATTTCTGCTACTTTAGAGGATAAACTGCTCGGCCAAACAGATCCATATCAATGTATCGATCACCTTGTTTGCCAACTGAACTGTAGAGTAGAGCTGTATTTCTCATCCATGCCTGTTTCTGGATATCAATAGTCATCCATCCATGCTAAGAAGCAATACCGTAAAAGTCCGTAAATAAGTACGTATTTACTTTCGAATTTAGTGACCACGCCCGTACTAACTTTCGGGCGGGTACTAACTTTCGGGCACGAACTAACCTTCGGACCTGACTTGTGTGTAGTGGAGAAGTCATTTTCATGTCGATGTACATGCTACGTGCTGCATGTGCGCATCGTACCGGTACTTATTTCGGGCAGTACGTTTATCGGGCTTGACTTGACTTCAACAGACAGAGCCAAAAGAATGAAGGGGGTGTTTCTTTCGGGCAGGTACTTATTTACGGACTTTTACGGTAATACTATAAGTTGAAAAATCAATTACAACGCCAATAACATTTCCCCTTCATCTCCTTCCGCCTTCTGTGACATGTGTTCATTGATGTGTTCAGACCATTCAATGCACATAGCAACAATCTCGACAACACACTTTGGGGTTCATCCAGTCGTGTGCTTCGTCGGGACTTTCCATCAGCATATTCAGACGGAATTGACAGCCCGGCTGGTCAGTGTCCACACGCGACATCAGCCGCAATTTCTGAAAGCCCTGCGCAATCACGTTGCCCATTCTCCAATGACTTTCTCGGATCTGGCTCAACGCGCCCATCTCCACGGTCGATCAGTAATGCAATCTTTGCTCAGGTAAGGTCTCTCGAGTTCTGGTAAGCGCTGGAAATATACAGTGTGTCTCTCTATGTTGCGTGGAAACTGTGTTTTTGTTACAGCGTCCATCAGACAGCACATGATCTGTGTGTGCTGTCTGATGTTCGGTTGTGCATGGAACTAATTGTTACGGCAACGCAGTTCTCTTTACCTTTCTCTGTGTGTGCGTTGACGAGATCTCAGTGGACACACTCGATACAGCATGGCTGGACTTGTTAGTCTAATTCCTGTTTGTCTTTCTGTCAACGTGTGCATCTCTCACAGGATCATTCTTTGTACACTGAACTTGGCCTGAATGATCTGCACACGCAGTATGGACAGGTAGGGCATATTCTACATACCCCGGGGGAGGATTGTGCTCTGGTGTAAATTCTTTTTTTCAGAACCCAGATTCTTCCTCCCAGTTATTTGACATTTTTGCATCATCCATTTCAACCTGCACGATTCACATGCATCAAATAGATGTCAGTGACTGTGTGGTTCCTCGCATCTTGTGACAATAAATTAATGCTCTTACTCCCTATTTCCTTCCTGCATGGAATTGACTTCAGTTCATCGCGCATGACTTGGACTTCACATCGCCCCTGCCTACTACTGATCCTGGACCTACTCGGACTGGATTGTGGCTTCCAATACCCGTTCCCAAGGTCAGTGGATGGTGCATTATGAGTGAACGTGCACATGTTCAGCCAGGGTTTTCCGGTTGCTCGTGTTCTGCCAGGGTTTTCCAATTGCACATGTTTACCCAGGGCTTTCCAGCTGTTAAAATTAACATCAGAAAAGTCACGGGTGGTAAACCTGCATTTTTTACTCAAGAGTTTACAAGACTATTTCCAAGGCAACAGCACGCCAGCTTTATTAGGCATCACCTATCTCACTTGTCAGCACTATTGTTTAGTTTACTAATGAGACGTAAATACGCCAGTACCAGTTAGAGTGTCTGCAATGTGCTAGTTGTGGAAGGAGGTCATATTGAATGTCTTGCTGCCTATATCTTTCTGCAGGGAGACCTCACATTTGATGTGTATGACGAGGGTGGCAAGTACTTGCCATTCACCAGATCAATCTTCCAACAGAGGTATTGTACTTTGCCTATGGTTGCTATCACTTTAGAATCTAGAGCCAGGCATGCTTAGCCACCAGATTGACAGTGCATAATATGTGCATAGTGCTTGGGTGCGGTGATGTGGACTTGACTGAACTTTGCTTTCAGTTGCAGTAGAGACTGCCAATGGTCAGCCAATCATACTGATGTGCAGAACTGTGTGCTGCCATATTAGTTTCAACCCTACTGTAGTGAGCAGTAGATATACGTGTTGTCACTGTTTCACGCTGGTACCTACCTGTTCGTTGGTGGTCACTTTACAGCTGTTCTGGGAAAGAACTGTCAAGATCCAGGGAGCAAGTCAACAAGATCACAAGCGTCATCGATGGTAACATGGTCTACGGCTCTTCAAAGGAGCGGAATTCTTTCCTAAGAAGCCATGTTGGTGGCGAGATGCTTGTTCAGTCGACTCCGCATGGGGATATGTTACCAGTAAGAACTCTTTGTGGTGCTTAGACATCACCACATCACCATCGTGTATGTGTGGTGATGTGTCTTGGATCATTTTCTGTTTGTTTATACTCGTACTTCCTGCATTTTTCAAGTATGCGTTCATGTACATAGACAATGTTGGCCAGTGAAATCCGATCACAGGCGCACTATCTGCACCTGGAGTTTTAAGATACCCTTGTTCTGGAGCGAGTGGTCGGATTTCGCTAGCTATCACTGAAGTTATGTACGATGCAAATCCTCACGTTCCGCAGAGTCTGTCCACTCACTATTTAACATGACGGTGCATATTTTTGGCATGCATGTGTTAGTCATACTAGCAGAATGTGTGTGTGTGTGTTTTTTTTTTTACGAAAGTCCACTATATTCCCAGATGTGTGCGAGAAGTGGTGGCGGGGCCAGGCTGCTCTGCCGACCTTAAAGGTCTCGGCGTCTACGCAGACAAAGCGCGCCTTTGTACCTCAAGGACTAGCGTTACAACGTATTCCCCCCCCCCCCTCTCTCTCTCTCTCTGTCCTGCCATTTCCAGCTGAACAACTTCAGCATATCCAACGATAACCCCGTCGGTCGTAAGGGAGACAAGCTGCTGGTTGCTGGAGACACGAGATGCAATGTCCAGCCTGGCTTGATGGCCCTGCACACTCTGTTTGTCAGAGAGCACAATCGCCTGTGCCGTCGCTATCGAGCGGCGCACCCCAATGTAAGACAAACACCACTACAGTAGACTGTATGCATTTTTGTGTGACACTAAAGTAGGACTGGAGTGTCACATTTGAAAAGAGCCTGCAATAATTACTGTCCAGTATTAAAGGTGGGTGTGTTGATGGTTGTATAATGTGGACAAGAGGAATAAATACTAGTCTTGCAATCAACTCCTCTCTCTAGCTTTGCACTCCTTGTGTAACTGGTAGGAGCAGCTGAAGGTGGCCTGGCCAGTCATATAAAAATACACAGTCTGCAGTGTTAAGGTATTGCGCAAGACACCTCCAATAGTCCCAACACCCTACCGTAGATGTACATGTAGATGTGATTTCAACATGCTGTATCCCTGTGCAGGCAAGCGACGAGGAAGTCTTCCAGTATGCCCGGCGCATTGTCATAGCTGAGCTGCAGGCCATCACCTACCGTGAATACCTTCCCGCCATATTTGGCAGGGACGTGCCTGCTTACACTGGCTACAAGGCAGACGTTCAGCCCGAAGTGAGCAATGTGTTTGCCACCGCATCTTTCCGGTATGTCAATTCTGTCTTGAGAACGGTATTTTTAAGCTGCGTGTGAATGTAGATTTTGCTAGAATAGGTGTTTCAATGGGGCATATGCTGCCTATGTGGGACCAATCTAGGATTCATGGCTAAGTGTGATGTGGTATAAAACTAGATGAATTGATCTTCTACTGTGTGTGCGTGTGTGTGTGCGTCTGTGTGTGTGTGTGTGTGTGTGTGTGTGTGTGTGTGTGTGTGTGTGTGTGTGTGTGTGTGTGTGAATAGTGCTGTACATCGACTCAACTTGTGAATGGTGGCAGGATGTGGGCCTGGTGATCATCTACTTAAACGAGGGGGTCTCAGCCTCAGGATAGACTTGTAGTACCTAACATAAGCATCTGCATGCGGGACCCACACACCGAGCTTTAAATAGCAGAATGTGTTGTGTTTGCACTCTGTGACTCTTGGTGGTTATAGATTTGGACATTCTCAAGTCAACACCCATCTTTGGAGGCTCACCGAGGATGGCTGGGTAGCGAAAGGTGGTCATCTGCTGTTGAGAGAGGCTTACTTCGCTCCGGAACGATTGTTGCGCAACGGTGGCATGGAACCTTTGCTTCTAGGATCAATTTTCCAACGGGCTCAGAAGGTGGATTCGAAGGTACAGTCTCCCAGGAAGGAGCCAGAGCTATTTCTTCCTATTCATCTCACTTGCAACTGGCTGTGGAAACTGACAAACAATGGCGCCATCTACATCCGTGTGTACCCATACTCCCAATGGTGGCTCATTGTGATGCCGTCGCTACACTGTCACTCAAAATGCATGCTGTTCCATTTGTTGAATTATACGCTCTGGCAGCCTGTGTGATCTTTCCCGTTACAACTGGTGTCAAAGAAATGGAGATAAATTGCGCGTATGGATTGCACATTCCTATCTGTCCAACGTAGATGATCGATGAGATGAGGAATTTGCTGTTTCCGCGCGATCACCGCAACCGCCACCCGGGTATGGATCTAGCATCATTGAACATTCAGCGTGGTAGAGATCATGGTCTGCCAGACTACAACACAGTCCGAGAAGGCCTGGGATTGCCAAGTAAGTCACCAGCGATTGCATTACAAGGAGTCGAGTGAAGAGATTTACTTTACTAGCTGGCACTGTTGGTTTGTGACAATCTAGACCCTTGCTACAACATCATCCTAACAGACAGGTGTTGCTGTGGGGTGCATCATTATGTACTGGCTAAGTAGCTAAGTGTACATCCACTAGCTTGGTCAACATAGTGCTAAGTGGCAGCCCTTCCGTCTACGCTGAGTGGAGGTGAAACTCTTTACCTTTCTTCACACTGACAAGCTACAACTGTGCGTGTTTCCTGCAGGAGTTGCCTCATTCGACGAGATCTCACATGATCCACAGGTGGTTGCGGCGTTGAGCTCAGTCTACCCGACAGTAGACGATATTGATGTGTGGGTTGGTGGGCTTGCTGAGGATAAGATGCACCGCGAATCGGCAGTGGGGCCGACTTTCTACCGGTGAGTTGAAACTGAGACGTGTGTAACAAGTTACGATGAGCACAAACAGACTGGGCATGGTGGCTGTTGCTATCATTCACCTTGAAGGTCTCTATAGCATGTTGCCTTCGTACAACTTTAAATTGCTGAAATTGCTGAGTAAATTGCTTCCAGGCCTTCTTGAGGTATGCAATTAGCTTCGTCTATACCCATCTAGACCATTGGGTTTTCAAGTCATACTATCAGCGGCATCTAAGTCATCCATCTTGCGTCCCCGGTGTGTTTGTGCTCAGGAACCTGATGTCGAACTTCTTGCGAGTTCGTGACGGTGATCGCTATTGGTACGAGAACATCATGACACGACAGGTGAGTAGAATTCTACGCCTGCCAGTGTACAGTATTATCATACATCATCATCGGTCAGATACAGTCGACCTACCCTTACAACGATAACCTCTATAACGATATTACACTTATAACGATATTTTTCTGCCAAACCAAACCACTCCATTGACTTGTCTATACAATGCCTTACCTCTATAACAATATTGCTATAACGATATTACCCCTATAACGATATAAAAAGGGCTGACCAATCGACATTTTCCATTTTATAACAATATCTAGCAGGCAACATGTAGAGCCCACTATCTAGGTAGGGCAAGCTTCACTTGATAAGTCGCGGGGACATGACGAAATGCAATGGGGGCACCCGTGGGCACCTTGCTGTGCACATAATGTGCATGTACGTCAGTTTTTTTTACGCTATGAAGAATGCAAAAAATGAACAGAATTCATGCATTATGACGTATGTGTATGAAATGAACCAGTTACCCCTATAACAATATTACCCTTATAACAATATTTCTTGGTGTGACGCAAATATCGTTATAAGGGTAGGTCGACTGTAGTTGGAATGTGGAGATGCTTCAAACCAGACGTCTACATGGGAAATACTGCGCAGTGATGTATTCTGCGTAGCGTGAAATTGATGACACCTTTTTCTGGTAGATATCATGAACATGCACATGTAGGCAAATGGCCGTGCCTCTCCGCAGATTTGAGAATTAAGAATTTGAGATTATCATTTTCTCTCTCTTTTAATGGTGTTCTATTGCTGATGCATCCTGTAGGAAATAGAGGAAGTTGAGAGCATGACAATGCTTGAAGTTATCCGCAAGAACAGCGACGTCAAGGCGCCGAGGGCCCGCCACTCTTTCTATTCGCCATCTCACTGCCGCGCCGTTGTCAACCACCGGTGCCGTCGGGTGATGCTGCAGACCTCAGCGGAAGAGGACGTGTCGACGCCAGCACCCCCTAGCCATACTTCCGCGCCGCCAGCGCAGTATTTGCCGCCCATCCACAGAGCTTGTCAGGAGAATGCAGTCACAAAGCGCACTCTCAAGCGGGCTATCAGGAAGCGGCAAACAGGTGAGTCCTTCATGCTAGGTAAAACCTTGTATTTAGTTGTAACTTCCAATGGTGTATGTATGATAAAATTGAGACTATGATAGCATTTTTGTGTCCTTATAAAAGTAACAAGTATTCACTTCCAGAACAACTTGTCGAGAAAGTTTGAGTTTGTAACACGTACTGCCACTAAGGTTAAATTAGTTTTACCAACTCACACCTTCCTATTCTCAATTTATTATGCTTTAACTGATTTTTATTTCCTGCTTTGCGTCCATTCCGTATGTTCAGTGCTGATTGGTGGCCTTCAAGGTGTTGTGTTCAATGGGTCATCAGACATTGACGTAGTGCTACGCTTGCAGAGCACTTACAGCCTGGAGCCACAGGGTCTGTACCGAGTGGGGGACACAGTTACAACACCCTGGCCTGTGCACAGGTGCCACTGTATTCCCGTGCAGACGCGTGGCTACGTCGCCATTGCCAACCAGCGCGGCATCCGCACTGTCTATGCCGTTACCAATGACTACCAGTCGGACCTTGTCGAGGCATTCCTTGCATGGCTGGAGCCGTTTCGGCAGAAGGCACTGAGCACCAGTCCATGATCAAAATAGGCATGTTGAGTGTCAGCATCAACCTCCAGTATGGTTCCAAATGTCGTACTTTCCGACTCCTCGGCATCTTGGCGGTACATTGGTGGACAACTACACAAACTATTACACTAATAGGCCGTCATTCCTATTCCAGTGACACTACTTTTTCATACACTGTAGGTCATTTCATTCCTGTAAGAATAATTATAATTATATTGCACACTACTAAAACGTGCAACCCATAGTTAGATCATTGATTTCTGCAGGCAAAGAGTATTAGCACTTTACGATTGCGCGTTTAGGATTTTTTTAATAATCCCGGAATGCCGAGCAGTCTCCTTTCTATTTCTGCTTTCAAACGGAAGGCTCACTACACATCACAAGAATACACACACACACTTCGCATACAAATTTCAGCTGGACACATCAGCGCTTTAGGAAACCTTAGCAGATTATATTGAGCAGTGGCCCTAAATTGGACATACAAATATTCACTTGAACACTTTCTTTCTAATGCTCTATGCTATATATTTGGGATATTGCTGATGAACTCGCAAATATATTTCGTACTATTGCGTATGGTAGTAGTTCACGTTGAAAATTAAAGATAAATGAAGACAATTAAAAAAAACGTGGGCGTCTGCTGAACTTGACGAATGAAAAAGTAATGACAATTTGTGGGGGAAAGTAATCTTTCGCCAATGTTGTGAGCACCAACTAAACATGAAAAATGCAAAAACAAAACCAGCGGTGTGTGAAAAGCACTACTTAGCTGAAGCAGCGCAGCTGAAGTACAAAAGATGAGATGAGTTAGGCAATATGGAATGCAAAAAAGACCTAATGGGTGGTAGCGTTCGCTTATGAATACTACATAGCACATACAGTGTTTGCTTTACAACAACTTGAATGCATGTGCCCGTGTGCTCGCGCATAAATCAGAAGATGATCATGATGACTGGTGGATAAAGCACGACTCACCTTGTGTAGCTTTCCAATAGAACCGGAGAAGTGTACGTAGTGTGTGCTGTGCTGTGCTGAGGCAAAAAAGTCATGAGTGGCATGCAGGCTGAAGACCTAAGTCACCTTACAAGCAAGGTGCTGTTGCCCAGGTGTGCCTAGTGATGAGCTGGTGCGTTAGCCATGGCCTGTTGCGCATACAATGTCTTCACAACGTCGTCGGATGGTGGTGTGCCGAAGTAAGCAAGAGGCTTTTCTGGTGAGTCCGCCATCTTAGTCTCTGGTGGCTTGAAAGCTAGCGGAGGCAGATTGCTGACATTGCCTGCGGTAGATCCTGGAATAACTGCAACCTGGGCATGTGTTTGTGTTGTCTCACCTTGCAGCACGGCTGACCCAGCTGAAGCAGTGCTAGAGCCACTGTACGCTACTGGCTGAGGCATATACTGTTGCTGCTGTTGTTGCTGCTGCTGCTGTGGAGCACTACTACTAGCGGCAGCTGGTATGCTTGTACTGTTCCATGATGACATGGGGTATGCTGCTGTTGAAGAGCTAGTAGAAGTGGCGGTGGCGGAGTAGCCAGTTGGTTGGGCTGGGGTGGCTGTAGCTTGTGAAGATGCACCGGGAGAAGATGCTTGATCCAGACTCCCGACACCACTGGGAGCAGATGCGTACTGGAACATGGCGGAAAAGTGCAACTGCAGTATTCTTTTCAGATCCTCGCTAACTGCACAAGCACAAAGAAAGAAGAAAAAAGAAAATGAGATGCTCGGCTTTAAGACCTGGCCAGTCTCGATGATAAAGTGGTAGCCTGGAGGGGAGGTGGAGAAAACTGGACGTGACAGGTGGTCCACACAGGTTCATTGGCTCAGTGTGTGGTGTGTGTGTGTGGGGGGGGGGGGGGAGGGAAGGAAAAACAACGTGTCAAAATGGTATACAATTAACCTTTTGAGCACGACGCTACCTGAATGCCGTCCCACGTCAACACCTGCAAAAGTTACGCTTTTCCTATGAAAGTACTACCTGTTCAAGGATCGATAACTTTACCTTCCCTTGGAATGGACGAATTCCACGATCTTGAGCTTCCTGGAAAGGTCTTGAGACGAGGAACAAAATAGTTCCAAACTCAGCTCGGAGCGAAACCAAACCCCATGCTACAGTCTGGCCAACTTCACCCACGTGCTCAACAGACTTGAGCACGGGCAAGAGACCAAATCCTCAGCTGCCCTTTCGCCCTCCTTGCTCATATCAAGCTCAATTTTTTTAGGGCTCCCGAGATCCACCACCATCATTTAAATCTAGTTTCCATGGCAGCAGGTAGCGCAAAAATGATCGAAAATGCAAAATATGCGTTCTGAAGACTGCGCAAAAATTCTCTTTGAATTTGCTGCGTCGAGTCGCATATCTCAACAACCCGGGGTCGTATCGCTTCGGCGATTGTTTCTATCGCAAGCTGAGAGTTTTCTCTTCCAGATACTTATTTCGATCGTGAGAATCGACCAAAAATTGACTGAGTTGCAATAGTTTGAACGCACGCGGTCCAGGCAAATCGCTTATGTGCGCGATGTACACTCAGGACGTAATAATATGTTCTCCGTGGTGCAGTGGCATTCTGAATGACGTATTATTACGTCCTTCGTGCTGAACAGGTTTGCTGCCCAACTTCCAACACTGAGAAATGACAGAAGAAAGAAAAAACAGTACTTCAAAGACAATGGCAAGCGACGCCTACCTTTGTGATCATACGAGTGGTGCCTGGTGAGCAATATTTTACGCAAGAAGTTGGCCATTGCTCCTGTAGCCAATACACACTCGTCCATGGGCAGATCTTCAAAGTACTCAAAATCCACAGCAAACGGATTGGAAGGACAGGGCTGCATAGACAACTGAATCACTTCACCCATGATATCCCATGGATGAATGACTGAAATAAACCAAACATAGCCACATATACGCACACACGTATCCCAAACAACCACACACACACACATCGCAGTGAGAATAGGTGATCACAATGGTGAGCTATACTTCCTCCTCTGGACGGGGGTTCAGCCTGGGTTGGCGAACCTACTACTTCAACATAGACAGTCCTCTGTGCATTGATGCAAAGCAGAGGAACTTGGACTACAACCATGGTTGAAATTGGTCATTCTAACCCATACCCGCCTGATAGCCACCAACAGTGTTCAGCAGGTTGGCGAGGACTTAGAAAGAACAGTGTGTGTATCTCTTTAAACACAGTGCCATGCAGACACACACTGGCTGCGTTCGATTACGCACTTGAATCGATTCAAGTGCATTCAAGTTGTTCGATTTTCATGTCATGAGCCCTGGAATCCATTCGGAATCCATTCACCCTATTGACATGGGGTGATGTGAATTGCGCGAATCGATTCGCGGGCATAATCGAACGCACTCACTGCAGCATTCAAACCCACCTGTGTCCAACCAACGACTTGTTGCGCGTAGCTTCAGGGGATTGTCCTCCTTGCCTTTGCCATGCCCACTACCACTCAAGCGGACAAGCCTTTCATGATCAGATCGAACCTAGACAAAGCAAAGTATTTCAAAAAGCAATGCCATCACAACACAATGAATCATGCAATGCACATCGTGACCAGTACCAGCCAGAGGTGCACACAAACAGATTACTTAACATGTTGGGATGCCGCTTCCCATAGTTCCGTGACCATGCATATACATGGTTTCCTCCCTGCGCACTCCTTTCCACACGTGCAATATCACACTCTACTGAACCCTGCATACACACATTGCTCCCCACTCATGCTTTTCCCCGTATACAATCCATACTGGACATGCATCACTGGTCTCGGTAGCTGCATATGAACACTGTCTCCATACTTCCCATGGCCACTCAGGCCATGGCCGTACCAAAAAAAAATCCCAAAAAGTCGGTCCACGTGGCCGTGGAACGTCCAAAACCGGGGAGAAAAAGTTTCGATGTATGATTTTGTACAGGGAGTCGCCCAGAGTGCAGGATTTGCCGTCTAAATTCCAAAAATTTTCTGGGGGAGGACCCCCAGACCCCCATAAAGATGGCCCTTCGGCCGCACCGCTCCACAGAAGCTGCCTCCGGCCCTGCTCCTCTCTCTGTCTCTCTCTCTTTCTGTGTATGTGTGTGTGTGTGTGTCTCTCTCTCTGTGTCTCCGCCTCTGTCTCGCTGTCTCTCTGTGGCTCTTTGTGAGCTGTGGGCGCAGGTAAACTTAATAAGTATCAGCCCTATCTCAAAGGTCATGGGACACCACCACCACCACCACCAACAGCAACAACAACAGCAGCAACAACAACAACAACAACAACAACAACAACAACAACAACAACAACAACAACAACAACAACAACAACAACAACAACAACAACAACAACAACAACAACAACAACAACAACAACAACAACAACAACAACAACAACAACAACAACAACAACAACAACAACAACAACAACAACAACAACAACAACAGCAGCAACAACAACAGCAACAACAGCAGCAACAACAGCAACAACAGCAACAACAACAACAACAACAATAACAACAACAACAACAACAACAGCAGCCGCTACAGCAGCAAAACTAAAAGCAGACCTCGTTAGCAGAGGGCAATTGCATGCAGGTGTGTAGATACACATGCGAGACAGAGTTTCACTCTGCATGGCAGATAATAGACAACACTTACCCAGACGTACGGACAGTTGTAGCGCTGGTAGCATGCGAGCAGAAACAGTGTGGAGTTGTGTTCCTGAAACAGCCGAGAAATAAAAATTAGTACGTGTAGCATAATGATAAAGCACAGTTAGGTACCGTCAACAGAATGTGTACACTCCGATCTGACTACCAACATTGCACGGCTGTTCCGAGTGCGACATTTATCAATATGGCGCCGTACCGTAGCAACCCGCATCGCAACAGCTCGCGTACGCACAGCGTGCCGACGCGTGCAGTCTTTCCGCACATTTTTCAAATTTATCGAAGAAAGTTTTTGTTTTGGGGGCGATGGATTCGTGCTTTGGAGAGCTCGTATGAGGCCATGCTGGAGGAAAATAAGTCTACCAAGACCTGGAAGCCTCCCTTCGGCGAAGTACTGAAGTTAGTATGTCCTGGAGTCAATACAGGAATTGTTTTCAAGACGATGCAGTGTAATAAATTCTAGTAATGTAGTGCATCATGGAATTAGTTGTGTTTGAAACTTCGGAACAAGAAGGGGGCACGTTTGCTTGACTCACTACCATCATGACGTGAACAGATGGAACCCCACTGCTCTTATTCTAGTACATGTTCTCCCCTGAGGACAGCTTACAGCCAGATTTCCGTGGATAAGAAAAGAGCACAAATAAATCGTTAGACTGATTGCAATTCATCTTGGAGAAGGAGAAGGATAGAATTCGATCGTCTGCTACTCTCTCAACGCAAAGTTGATGACATAGCAGCTACATGTACGTCTCTTCATGCGTGTGCTCTTCACCTTGGGATCAATGTGAGGATTTTAGGATTGCTGGAAATCAGATTCTGTATACTATTGGACAGCAGTTTCTGCATTGCACATGCTCCACAGTGCTCATCGGCAAGGATGTTGAATTTGCGGGTAACCCTTCACCACCCTACTCTCCATACTATTCCAGATCAGCACTAACTGAACATTGAAGTGTTTCATTTCCAGTAGAATGTGCTCCTCCAATAAGTGCGGCATTGGAGGCGGTGATATTTATTGCCACAGTTGCACTGCTGATCCTCGTCATGAAAGAAGCAATGGATGATGATCAAGTCAACCAGTGGGCTTGCAGTGATAAGCAAAGTACCACAATACATCATCAAGTGTCATAGCATGGCGGAGTTGGTTGCCCGCAACGCTTCCATGTTGGTGTTGTTAGTGTACAAATAGAGGATATCTTCCAGTCTCCAACTTTTACAGCACATGGACCTGCTATAGGTGTTATTCTTCTATCAATGCTTGTTTCAAGTCACAGAATTATTTAGCTTCTTACAGCTTTGATTTAATTCGCCGTATTGTAATTAATGTGAAGAAGAGGTTGATGCGATTTCGGCGATACTTGGGGAATTGTGTGTTGCTCCCTACGTGGGAGCTTGCGCTATTCCTGCCGACTTGAATTCTCACTTGACCGACTTGTTATTTTAAAATGAATTCATGGACATCTGTCAATTCAGCAGGTGAACTGCATTGCCATCAAGCCCTGAGCCAGCTCCATAGGAATGGCACGGCCATGAAGATGTGTGATGCTGTGTATCTTATTCGCATCAGAATAATAACCTGGTTGTTTCGGCTACACAATCCGGTAGCAACAGATACTCTGCATAATGCAGCTTGTCCAGTAGTCCTCACTAAAGGAGAAAGCAGTTTAGGAGGGACTCTAGTGAGGAGTGTACGAGGATAGCCTATTAGTGTTCTACATAATCATTTGCATATTGAACATGTTACATGTAATTATCATGAACGCCGAGAGTGGTAAAACCGGGTACGGCCATCACCAGCGGCTGCGGCCCTGTCCTGAGTGCCATGCTGTGCTTAGTGCTGATGTAGTGCAAGATATAATATAAGCTGCATCATGGTTGTCGTTTGTTGTTGTTCAATTACTTGAAGTATTTCAGTATGGTCTTTACGCATGCAAGTGTGTGCTTTTCAGCAGGATCGTCGAAAGACTACATTGTGCGTGGCCTAAATCTGCAGTAACACTAGTAATACAAAAAACCCATGCCTATGTGTCTACACGTAAGGCCTCAGACAGATGGGGAATCTTGCATCTCTGACATTTAAAATCTCCACACAATGTCCTGTTTCTACATACATTTCGAAAGCATGAATTTCAAAAAATGTTCATTGGATGCATGTCTGATTTGATCTTGCTAACATCCAGAACGAAGCATGCACGGATCCCTCCTATGGCGGACGAAACCGGGGTCTTCGTTAGAAATTGAGGCAGGAGAACACACCTCCACTCGTCCTGCATATATCAGCAAACACTTGCAATTGACGTCCAAGTACGCCACGCAAATCGACTTGGGCACGAAAACGATAATCTGGGCGGCAATGAAAATATAACTACGACGTAGGAAAAGGACAAACCTTTCAATGAAAATTGGCGTGAAGGCTGCCAAAAATTCTGCACCCCTTAGGAGGAAGCCTCGAATGTGAGCCAATTCTGATAAACACCAATGGCCGGCACGACGAGGAAGAACGAAACGAAAAAGATCGTAACTTCACTTTCCCATTGCGCATTTTGACGATCAAAATATCTGCATGCGCAGCTTGAAGGCAGGAAGGTGAATTCGCTTAGACTTCGCGAATCCAGCGTAGAAAACGGCTGGAATCGACAGAAACATAGGCGAAACCTTGCCGAATATTTCCAGAGATTTGAAAAAGGCAGCAAGGTCGCGTACGACAGCATCATGGATCACTGGGGCGACGGGAAAATGTCGTACCGTACATAATGTCGCTGGATTATGCATGCATAACAGCCGTGATTGATGGGCACCACTTCATTAATACCAAAAGAGCGGTGCGAACACGGTATTTGGAGTCTGAAACAATGCACCCAAAGTACAACACACCATACTCTCGTATATGTTCGCTATAGTCCTCACCACAGGGAACATTTCTCTCTCCGAGGGACTTGCAGGTGGCAGACCGACATCGATGAAACCAAACCCACTCAGCCTGTGATGTACACAAATCAAAGTGAAACATTGATCTTCACACTGGTCATGAAGAATCATCTGCACCACAACATTGGGCGTCTTGCGGGCACACATGCACCTACACACACACACACACACACACACACACACACACACACACACGCACACACACACACACTCACACACACGACATGATGTACACAGCTAAAATGATAGCCAACGATCGTGACACGTAGCAGGCTAGTTTGGAGTTAGCCGCAGGCAATAGGTGGGTACATTGTGTTAGGCATCCACATTGCATATTGTAGCTTGGAGTGAACCAGGATATAAATTATTAGTTTTCAATCAAGCCAAACATCTGCGATGAGTCGACAGTGCTCCGAAGCTAGATTTGTCAAAATCCAATTTAGCAGCCAGGAATCGATCAATGCACATAGCACCACCGATACTAATAAGTAATAACCATACCTTTTCTGCGTGTGAGTAGACAACAGAAGTGACTGCCTACAAACGCACACAGACACACACATAGAAACACAGATACACACATAGAAACACAGACGCACACATAGAGAATACAAAAGTATACAAGCAATAAGGTGAACACTAAAGTTGACGTGAAAGACTACAATTGTCATCAACCATCCATACAAGGCACTGCAACCAACATAATATTATCACAGTAAACCAAATCACAAAACCAAGTCTGTACACTGGAATTAGAACTCGTACATTGCTCTTCCCCCCCCCCCCCCCACCACCACGAAAAAAAACATGTACAAACACAACAATGAAAGCTGCCAGACACTAGGAGTAGCAATATGGAGAGAGTTAACATGGCGTCAGCACTTCGAGCACAATAAGAAAATGTACATACGGAGGAGGTACATAGCGCCTTACTCATTTCGTGGCAGTGATGAAAGTGCCTGACCTTCATAGCTACTGTTCAGCGATCCACTGGCAGACGACGGGCAACTGAAACCAATGGGCTGCAAAAAAGACACACGGTAGGGCGATGCAGAGTGCGGGTGAAGAGCAGGCCAATCAAGTAAAACAGAGAACAACTTGGCTCGCCCAGCTGTTCACAACATTCTTTTACATGCCGGATGAGTACACACGCCCACCATTCCTGGTGCACTGCAACACGGCATCCAAGCACCCTGCATGCGCACACACAGTGACTTGTTGTAGACAGAACCGCTGACAGTAACAGTGTGTTCCATGCACTGAGACTGCGAGGAACAACACAACTGATGTGGCTCTACACTGTGGATCCAGTGTATGAAGTGGTTGAACAGGAGAGACAAGAGTGATACCAGTGCTTATTTCAAAAATGTTTTACTGCTTGGGCAGTGACATACCATGCACGGATGAGTTTCACACGTCGGGCAGAAACAACACTTGCATATATGCGGTAAAAGCCAGGGCAGAAACAACACTTGCATGTGCACATCAATGTGAGGTGGGCGTGCAAAGCGGTAAAAGCCAGGGCAGAAACAACACTTGCATACACACATCAATGTGAGGTGGGTGTGCAAAGCGGTAAAAGCCAGGGCAGAAACAACACTTGCATATGCACATCAATGTGAGGTGGGTGTGCAAAGTGGTAAAAGCCAGGGCAGAAACAACACTTGCATACACACATCAATGTGAGGTGGGTGTGCAAAGCGGTAAAAGCCAGGGCAGAAACAACACTTGCATATGCACATCAATGTGAGGTGGGTGTGCAAAGTGGTAAAAGCCAGAGCCCTGTGCACCTAGGACATACCATGGTGAGATAGTTAGACAGACAGGCATGTGCAAACTGGGAATACAACAATATACCATACCTGGTTTTTGACACACAACAGTAGCTCTTCGCGGCCGCGGGGGTGCAAAGTGAAGTGTAAAAATCCCTACACCGTAGAGCAACAGTGAAAATGACAACATGATACAGCAGTGCTTACAGTGTCACCTCAGCCTGTGACCTTGCGGGTGCACCCCGTACCCCGTGCTACACCTTGTAGCATCAAGAGTAAAGAGTGTGCAACTTGACAACTGCTAAGGGCGCGTTTGGTTGGTACGATCTAGAACAGGATCGAACAGCTGGTGCACATGGAGCAGCCTCATGTCAACCAAACGGTACTCCAGAAACAGAGCACATTTTTTGTGAAAAATATGCCAAACTTGGTGCATTCTTCAAAATGTGTATGGGTCACTGTGTACGGTACGACGAGTCCAACCCAAAAGCGTTTGCACGTGATCATTTGGGACCAAAATCGATGTTCCCGCCAGGTTTCACTGTGAAAAAGTGAAACTGCTCGGTCTGCTCCGGCCTCGAGGCTGGAGCAAGCAGAATATGTTCTGGCCGACCCAGAACAGGTACAGTCCCAACCAAACGCGCTGTTCTGGTGAATCCTGTTCTAGATCGTACCAACCAAACGCGCCCAAAGCCTACAGTAGAATTTTTACGGCATCCGTCGTTTTCTGTCATTTGGTTCGCTGATGCCATCATGCGTAGCCAGAGATCAAAAGTGCAAAGAACTTGTAGATCACAGCTACGGTAAACGAAGCAGAACAACGGACGGTAGATCCATGCTTCCTAAATCTAATGAACCCGATCTACATGACCATACGCACTTGATCATAAACCTGCCAAAAAAGACCCACTTTTCTAATTGTCCGCAAACTCCAACGCAGCCATTTACACATTCCGGTGTATGTAAATTTGAATTTGAATCGCAGTGAAGAGACCGTTTTTGGAGTTTGGAATTGAGAAGTGAAGTTTCCGAAATGTAAAAAAGACACAATAAAAAATTCTGTCGTGGGAGAGTCCATCGCAGCTCAAGAGCTGCACCCTCGCCTCTTGATTACGTACTCTTGGTAGCATGTAATACAGTACAATAACTGTGTACTGTATTTCGAATGGGGCTCCATCGAATATCCCATCCTATTTGAAAAACATTTCAAGGTACATTTGAGAATGGTGTGTATAAGGTTTTTCATCTATTAAACTGAAAATACTTGTATATAAATAAACAGCAATGAAAAATATCAATTGTGCACTCATAATCATGTATAAACAATTAATATGAAACAATTCCAGAACGTTTTCGTGTGACCATCATCAGTGGAACATCGTCACATAGTAAGAATCACTAAAACAACCAGTTATATAGCTAGAGTAACATGAAAAGAAGCGTGAGAATGCAGCACAGCTAGCGGTTATGCATAACGCGTGTAGTGTGAACCTTTGCAGTGTATCTGAGAATGGTAGCAGTAGATGAATGTGGCAGCTGTGAGTGCGTGTGAACAATGTGACGATGTTCCACTGATGATGGTCACACGAAAACGTTCTGGAATTGTTTCATATTAATTGTTTATACATGATTATGAGTGCACAATTGATATTTTTCATTGCTATTTTACGACTGTTGTCTCCTCGTCGGTTATTTAAATATAAATAAACAATGATAAAAAAACACTTCTGTCTCCAACACACGGAAAAAGATGAACATAGTATCGTGATGCATTCTGCACTACTACTAGTACTAGTCATTTTCAGCTCTCTCAACTCCACAACACTGAAAGAGTCAGTTTGAACACTGAAAGAGAGAAAACGTAATGGAACTGACAATAAAATTGACACGATTACTCAGCCAGATCACTGCACGATGTTGATAAATACACACCGGGGCTGCCGAGTTCAATTATGTACCCGTCATTTCGCGTTTTCTTACCTTGACTGTTGAGCATCGCAACAATTCGGACATAAACCCATTCAATTTCTTCTTGTCGTGGGTCTGAAAAAAAGGTCAGAACCGCACTTGAAGAATTCTAATTCTGCTCTCGAATGGAAAACGAGTTTCACTCAGTCTTTACCTTGTCAGGGCTAGCCATTATGGGGACTGATAGAAAGCACACCGTTGCCAGAGATTTACTTGCTCATTCTACCCAGAGTGGGAGTAGATCTACTAGTACTAGTAGCTTACAGACCTATGCTGGATAATCACAATAGTTATAATGAAAACATCTCCAAACTACAAAATACTGTACATTGAAAACATGGACTTCGCATCGATCGACCTGGCATGCAGCAGAGTCAATCAGTGCCAGCTGACTGGCAGCCTGGCACAGTGGCAGGCCAGGGTGGGGATATCCCGCGTTTGTGAACAAAAAATTTGAACCGAAATCTTTTGGAAAAGCTTACTGCATGCAGTCACTGTACTCTGTAGTACATGTACTCACATCATCGCGATGCATCTACATTGTAGATCCTGCGCTTGGTCAATGCATGCCACTGCCAGTGTCATGATCATCCGAATTAGTAGATCTACGCAGGCTACTATCAGTTTTTAGTATTCGCATCATCAACAAGAGTCCATGGCGGATAATGGACTCTTGTATCATCAAGACTAACCCTCTGGGGGTTATGAACTCTTGGTATCATCAAGAGTGCATAACCCTCAGCATTATTATTATTACAAGTATTCTTCACTTGACTTGCTATCCGATAGGCATATGCGGCCATGATAATGCCGGCAGAAAAATTGGCAGAATTCGGTACTCAAGTTTTCTGGTAAGTTTCATGTATGTTTGGTATGTGGATAAGAAATGGAGCAGAATTCGAGGAATTGCCCGCCATAAGGTTTGTATGGTTCTGCCAATTTCACTGCTTTTCGAGCAGAATCTGCCATCTTTTCGAGCATTATCCGCACACCCCTAGTATCCGATCACGGTAGCAAGAGTACCGTCTTGATGGTAGGCCAGGGCTATTTTTTTTTACACAATGCACCTCCTACTGGTACTGAGACCATAACAAAGAGAGGAGAAGAAGAAGACAAAAGAAAATAATGATCGAGACAACAAAGGAGAACGACAGACAATGTACTAGTAGGGGCTCTCAGGGAGCCTGTGCCGGTGAGGCGGGACTAGCAACGCCGACCTACATTATAGGGTCTCGGCCTTAGCGCTATCCAGCGCACCATGGACGAGATTATGAAACACATGTAAATAGATAAGTGAGGGGGGGGGGCTGATTGTGGATATACGGGGTGTTACAGCGAGTCTGTAGCCCAATACCAGCGGCTTTGTCGTAGGTGCTGATGCACCTTGCCCTTGAACGACTGGAGGGACGTCAGGTGTGGCGGAGACTGCAGCACAGTTGGGGGCAAGTTGTTCCACTCGTCAATGATGCTGTAGGAGAAGCAGCATCGCACGTAATCAGGAGAGGAAGCCGGGGGGATGTTCTGTAGCTGGGACTCGTGGCGCGCCGAGTGGTCGGACTGAGTTCGAGGACAGGTTGGCGAAGGAAGCTGGGGGGGGGGGGGGGGACCAGCGACGTTAGTTGCGGTGGCCCTGCCAGACACATCAGTTTACACAATGTCATATAGCTGAGGGCGGCGACCAATCACCTTGCTGCCAAACTCTGGAGGAGGACATCAGGGCCAAAAATGTGGAGGGTGCGTCTCTGCACTCGATCGAGAAGGCGCAGATGGCTTGAAGCTGCTCCCATCCATACCAATGGCGCATACTCTAGGACTGGCCTCACAAAACCTCTGTAGACGGGTCGTTTGCCAGCACCATCGAGTACGCGAGCAGCTTTGCGCAGGAAGCCCAACCGAGAAGTCGCCTTGAGTGCTGTGTTGTGGAGGTGGGTCTTGAAGGAAAGGCCCAAGTCAAATGTGATGCCGAGCAGTTTTACCTCCGATAGCTCAGACACAGTGTGATCTCCAAACGTGAGGTCCATGATAGGCCACCTGTGCCGCTGATGGGCTATCGTCATGAGCTGTGACTTTGTGGGCTCAAACCTGATCCGCCACTTCTTGCCCCAGTCATGGAGCGCATCCAGGGTGGCTTGTAAGCTTTTCTTACTGTTTGGGAGCAGTTCCGGTGATCCAATACAGGTGTAGACAGTTGTATCATCGGCGAAGGTGGCCAGTGAACATCCAGGAGCTAGGCACTGCTCCGCATCGTTTACATAGACAAGGAACAGAGTTGGCCCCAGTATGCTCCCCTGGGGTACTCCCGACTCTATAGGGTAGGGGGACGAACTCTGGCCATTCACAACAGCCTGTAGCTTCCTGATGGACAAATAATCTGTCAGCCAGGTCAGGGCTCCGCCACGGATGCCGAGTGTCTGCAGCTTGTAGATCACTGACTAGGTGACTCCGATGTGTGAAACCTTGTCGAAGGCGCTTGCGATATCTACCGCAAGAACCATCGAGCATCCTCCACTTCATGGTGAGAGTCCACTCATGATTCAAGGCAGTGAGGAGGTAGGCTGTTCCTAGGCCTCGTCTGAAGTGAAGCCAACTTGGCGTGCAGAGAGGAGGTGGTGGCGCTCAAGGTAGTTTACTAGCTGGTGATTAATGATTCCTTCCATGACCTTGGAGCAGATGGACAAGAGGGATACCGGGCGATAGTTTGCTGGCATAATCAGTAGTGCATTGCCACCAGATAGGGTCCAGCGGATAATACCGGCATTATATTCTGCATTATGAGACTATCCGAGCATCAGAGCATTATGGAGCATTAGAAAGGACCAAGACGAGCATTATGTGAGGTTTGAGCGGCATAACGAGTTTCATAGTGGATAATGTCGGGAAATCTCAGGTTTTTGGCTACAACCAGCTAAAGCCATGAGGTGCAACGCCATGACATTGTATTGTACCTGCACATGACTTTGTGATTGTGTAGACACGTAACACCTTTAGCACTAATGCCTACATAATCATTTACCCGACCACATCATGCCATTGCTACATAAAGTCTTTATGTAGCAATGTACCGGTAGTCAGGTAAATGTACATGCGATGTAGCACACCCATTGCCCAACGTTACCGTAACTGAGGCTGTTACACAAAATCCGTAACGATGATTTACGAGGAGTTTTTTTTAGAAATCATGGAGAGCCATGGAGGAGACTAGCATTGTCTGTGGTTCGACTGTTATTGCCCCGTCTCAGCGTCTGACGAAGTTTAAAAATATCTAGGACTGACTCTCGATTCAACTTTAAGTTTCAGTGCCCACGTTAACTCCCTCAGGGAAGACATCGGAAAGAAACTAAGTGCTTTTCGACGTGGAAGGAGGAACCTTGCTGTCCAGGCCAGAAGGCAGTTATACTTGTCAGTAGTCCAGAGCAAGCTCGAGTACGCCAGCACTGCCTACGTCCACTGCCTCGCTGACAAAGTGAGAGATCAGCTGCTACGCATAAGTAAGAGAGCACTTAGATGCATATTTGAGCATGACACATTCACGCGGACATCATACCTGCTTGAGCGATACCACATAATTAGCCTAGACAAAAGATATCATACTAAGTCCATATTCTTCGTGTTCCGTTGCATCCACAATATCTGCAGTTCACTCCTCTCTGACATGTTCTCCCTTCGCCGTGACTGCGCTCACACAGATAGAGTAACCCGCTGCCAAGTCAATTATTCCCTTTCCTTACCCATTGTGCAAGCTCAAGCTGGATACCGATCTATTTCAGTCCTTGGTGCTGACCGCTTTAATGCGCTTCCCGAATCCCTTCGCACAAATCATATCTCCAATTCATTTCGCCAGGAGCTTAAAGGGGAAGTTAAGGCAAAATTTAAATTTCACCAGTTGTAGTCTTCGGGGTGCTGAGTCGAATGGTCGTGGTCCGAGGAAGCTGAGACGCTCCCTTCCTACTTGAATCCCAATCGAACTCGCGCACTTCCACCGAAACTGGGTGACTGCGCCCTACTAGATGGGGATTTGTATGCAAAATGTCACTAAAAGCGCCATTTCGTTCTTATAAAAGCACGGATGACCGCGATTGGCCCATATGTTGTAGTCTTTTGGACGCTGAGTCGATTGGTTTTGGTCCGAAAAGGCTGCGATGCAGCGTTCCTCCTTTATTCCCAATCGAACATGGTTGAACAAGCGGTCACGTGCTCCTGGGTGCCCAAATCACCTGGTCACCACGCCAGCAGGCGACAACTTTCACACCAAGGTTCAACTCGAGTTCAACTCGAGTGACAGGACTGCACCCAAAAAAGGTCAAACAGGCTAGTAAGTTGTACCCTGCAGGCACGGTGACCAGGTGACTGGTGTACGCAGGAGCACGTGACCGCTTGTTCAACCATGTTCGATTGGGAATAAAGGAGGAACGCTGCATCGCAGCCTTTTCGGACCAAAACTAATCGACTCAGCGTCCAAAAGACTACAACATGGCCAATCGCGGTCATCCATGCTTTTATAAGAACGAAATGGCGCTTTTAGTGACATTTTGCATACAAATCCCCATCTAGTAGGGCGCAGTCACCCAGTTTCGGTGGAAGTCCGCGAGTTCGATTGGGATTCAAGTAGGAAGGGAGCGTCTCAGCTTCCTCGGACCACGACCATTCGACTCAGCACCCCGAAGACTACAACTGGTGAAATTTTAATTTTTGCCTTAACTTCCCCTTTAACAATTTCATTAATCTTGGGCACCCTGTAAGAAGACCTTAGGGTCTGTTGGGAATTCCCAAGTATAATAATAAATACAATACAATACAATACTAGATCGACCTCTGGGTTATGGGCCCAGCACGCTTCCGCTGCATCTCTTGCGATAATGAAGTAAACACTGATCCATTGATAAATTTGGACCTGGATGAAGGAGCGGCTATAAACAGAAAGAGCTTGTTCCAACTAACTGCCTCTGCCGAGTCCAGCTCAGGAGGCTCGAAAAGAACTTCTCATGCCGGCGGACGCAGTACCCAGTCGATTTGAGTGCTCAGCAACGAATGTCGTATTTTCCTGGGGAAGCACGAATAGTTCGTCGTGGACTATTGTAATGAGGCGCGTGCCCCGTATGGGTTCCTGGGTGCCCGGAACCCCCCTTTTTTCGCTCAAAATGCAGGATTTTGCTTCATTTTTTGAAAATTTTCCCGGGGGAGGCCCCCGAAACCCCACTTGAAGGGCACCGGCGCACGTGCCTGGTAATGCAAGGCCTACAGTCAAGTGCTATCAGAAAAGAAGAGTATTATGGCCAACCATTTATCTC